CATGCGCACGTCTTCATATTGCCTTAGCCATTGATCGGTCGCGGGGTGCCCGGATAATTCATGCACTGATACTGCGCCTACCGTGACGCGCTTCTTGGTCGTAAGTTCGCGGAAATGTTAGCGGTGTAGGGATTCATTTCTGGCTGGGCTTGTAGAGACTGTTTTTACCTTACCTTATGTTGGCACTTTTGTAGCTTACATAAGAAGTTATCTTTTCACCAGTTATGAGTAGGAGTCAGAGTACTCAGCAAGTTTTCATGATATTTCCTCTCCTCTGAGCCTTGAGCCTGGTCCAGAAACCCTTTAGGGTCGAATAGCAGCTAGGTTCTGCAAGACCCAACATTGTTCAGACTCACTCTCTGAATTGTTGTACCTTCAACTGGAGCCCACCGCGAGGGTTTCTTGTGTTTCTAGGCTCTCTAAGCTCACCAATCATCCCCCAAATTCGCCTATTATCCTACCACAGTCATTCATTACCAGCTTCTCCCATATTCCCAAGTTTTCAGCATCTTCTCCTCCTCCCCAGCGCATTGATAAGTGTTTTTCTCACGCGGTTTTCGAGCGGATCTCTCGCAAACTTAGGGTCGTATTCCCCACGTCCGTCCGGTCATTTTGAGCCCTGGTTCATCGAATTTGGAGCAGTAGTTGTGGAGTTATCGAGTTTTTGGTGTTTTTGAGAAGTTGAGGAGAGATAAGGGTTTTCTGGGTGCTCTAAGGCCTGTCTCATCTAGCTCTTTTGGCCATTTACCATCCCTCAGTGGCTCTGTCCATTGCCCCAATCCGCTTTTTGATAGGACCAGCCCTTGTTGCCCTGCACCATACCCCTTCCTCCTCCTCCCTCTTGCACCTCTGCACATTTTCGCACTTTCACCAGCCCATTTCGCATCGGAACCCCATAGACCCTATACCCGTTTTGAAGCCCTCGTTCATGGCTTTCATTCGCGCATATCCGCGCCTTCGCGCGCGCTCAGCTGTTGGCTCGCTATCCGCATTTTCGCGTTCCCCCCAAATTTTGCGCCCCATTTTTGCGTTTTCTTTATATCTCGTCGCCCCGTGATCGCGCGCCCATCGCCTTAGGCGCGTTCTGACCGCATTCACCGCCGCTTTCCATCCATCCGCTCCGCTTCTTGATACGCCCACCCGCGCCCTCGCTACTCGCCGTTTTCGCTATTTTCGCATGTTTTCACCATTTCCTTCATATCTCCCTCAGTTCTTCACCAAACCTAGTCGACCCTATACTCATTTCGAAGCCCTCGTTCGCCTCTTTCGATCCGTCTACTTCCCGTCGTCATCCGCGCAACCACCACTTCGCATTTTATCGTTTTTATCGTTTTACCAGTCCCCCAGTACTGATGCGGTTCGCCTGGCACAAGAGATGTCAGGGAAAACAGGTGCTGGGGTCATCGTTTTATTGGATTGCCCTGACCCTCACTCACTGGCGCAGTTTACCTGGCATACGCGTCAAGGAAACAAAAGGTGTTTGAGGACCCCCAGGTTAGTAGTTTTCTTAGTTTAGCTTAGCTTTGGTTTGCATAGGTAGATGACTGGGGACAGTCATGATTCAAAGTTCCCATGAGATGTAGGGATTCATTTCTGGCTGGGCTTGTAGAGACTGTTTTTACCTTACCTTATGTTGGCACTTTTGTAGCTTACATAAGAAGTTATCTTTTCACCAGTTACCAGTAGGAGTCAGAGTCTTCAGTAGTTTTCTATCATATTTCCTCTTCTCTGAGCCTTGAGCCTGGTCCAGAAACCCTTTAGGGTCGAATAGCAGCTAGGTTCTGCAAGACCCAACATTGTTCAGACTCACTCTCTGAATTGTTGTACCTTCAGCGGACATCGGGAGATACAGCTAATAATTCCCTTACAGGAATGTTGAGATTGGAATCAAGAAGGCGCTCGACAACGCGTTTGTCGGCCTCCTTGTCCTCGAGCGCGAATGCATACCGATACGATGATGATTGTGATGGTGCTGGTACTGATGCTGATGACGATGACGATGCTAATGCTGATGGTTGTGAAGGGGATGGCGCTGATGATGATGATGATGATGGCGCGGCCGAGGATGGCGAGGCGCCTTTGGGAGGCGCCTTTCCGCTCGTTGGCGCGTTTGAAGGCGCTACTTTCGCTAGTTCTTTCCTTTACCTTTGTCAGACGACGCTTGTATTTCGGGAGAGACTATCCTCCTCTACCGTGGCTTGCTTAGATGCGGGTCTCGGACGCCCGCGCGCGTTTCGCTGGGTACTTCAACGCCATCAAAGCGGATGTTTTTACCTTTGGTGTTGCGCTTCTGGTCGCGCTTTGCAGCTACATAGGCTAGGCCTCTTTCATGAGGTCCACCGTCTCATTGTCCTCCTCAGGTTCCGTTTGTGCGACTGTGTGCACGAACGCAGACGAGCCTACTTCAATTACTGCGTCGATCTCGTCGAACGCGCGATAGAAAAGTCCTGCTGTCGCGCCTGCGCTAGCGGTCGTATCCGGTGTAGCGCGGTTTGCGTAGTGTCGATCTAGTCGCTCCTTGAGTATTCCTCGTCCTGGAATCCACTCGCCATTTGGCAAAACAAGCTTGCGCGTCTCCTCGCTAACCTTACATTTACCCGCGTCGATGTACCTTTGTTTCTCCGTGCAACGAGCATAATAATGTTCGAGACTGCCACAAAAGGCACAGTCGTTGAATGCAGACGCCTCGCTTATATTCGCGCTTGGTTACCATACCTTGCGCGGGCGATTGCGCTGACGTGGTAGCTGCAACTAGATTAGTGAATGATGCTGCCGTTGGCGCGCTAATCGTTGCGCTTGACGCGGGCGCATTCGCCGGTAACACGAACTGTCCAGCTGTAAAAATGTTCATGAACGGGTATGGATCCTGCGGGTAATGATCAGGGAATTTAATCATGAGGCGCGTGCGGATCAGCGCCTGGGTATCCTTGGGGATTCCTTCCATGAATATGCGATCGCGCTCGGCTTTCCAATGCGATCTTCTGCCAATAGCGGCTGCATGACCTTCTTAAATGCGCGAAGGTAGTTGCTTAGCTCTTGGTATGAGGGCATCGATTTGTTCGCGTATTCATGCGCGATGGCTTGTAGATCAGCGAGCGCGTAGCGCCTCTTGCCATCCCATCCAGGATACATTACCTTTACCTCTTTTAAGAACGCGTTGTAATCGCTTACTTGCGCCTCTGGCATGCCTCCCCAAAGTTCTCGGTCATCGCGCTCTAGGTAGCGGATGATACCTTTGATGCGATCGAGCCCTTGTAGACCTACATCATCAGCGAGCTGCTCGTATAGGTCGATAAAATCTGCGAGGTTGTCCGTGGTGCCGTCAAATTTAGGCGCGTCCGTTGTTCCACGGACAGGCATTCTGGTTCTTGCTGTGGTCATGACAGGCGGTTGGGATATTGCGGGCGCTGAGGTCTTCTGATTGATTGGCGCTTGGTGCGCGTATACGAAGGGAAGGTTTGTTATAACAGTGCCGCCTGGGATTGAAGGCGGCGCGCGCGGGGTTTCGAAGGCTTCTTGCTTGATCTTTGGTATTCCCACTGTAGGAAGCGCGTTCTCGTGCGCCGGGATGCTGGCGCGTTAAGCGGGGTGTTGCTAGAATCTGTTAGTTCGGTTAGCGCGCTTAGCGCTGATAGGTTAGAAGAAATGAAAGGGGGTTGATTGGGCGTGTGGAGGAACGCTCCGGGAAGTTGGCTTCTTGGGTTATCTATTGCTTCAAAGTCGTCGGACGACTCTTCTTTGACAGATTCTTCCGGCGATGGCGTGACTGGCGATATCGGCTGTCTAGGCGCGCGCTAAGAGCGCTAGATCTGGTCGTGGCGGTTCTGAGATGTTGCGCGAGCGACCGCGCGGGGTTGAAGAATAAGGGTCCTGGTAGAATTGATTCAATTGCTCTGTCGAATGCGGCGATGGCTTCTTCTCTAGCTCTGCGACGACTGTTGGGTCTGAGTACCCGACCGGTTGTCTCAGAAGTGTCCCTCGCGGTGGGCTCCAGTTGAAGGTGAGGAATCTTGACTGTGGGTGAAAACACTAAAAGAAAGGGGGCTCTACAGCAAGACCTGGATACGAGAATACAACTCGACCCAAAGGACAGCTACTGAGAGAAGTTCCTCGCGAATAAGGTGGAGGGAAACTGTCAACTAGACGGGCGCTGGTAGGCGCGGAAGTAACGCGCACGAAGGCGCGCGTAGCGATATGAAGGCGCGCGTGAGCGCGCGAGGCGCGCGAGATGCGAGAGGTGCGCGCGTATGCGGGAGCGCACTTATGAGTGATAAGGGATATGGTTTCAAGTATAGTAGAGGCGCGAGCTGTAGCAGATGGAGAAGTATAATCAGATTTCTAGTACTAAGGTGCACTATACAACTTGCAGTATACTGTGATAAATGGGGAAAAGTAGTACCGAAGTAAAAGAACTTCCCTCTATTTAAGAAGGGAGATAGCGCTATGCGGCGCTTCCGAGCGCGGTACCGAACCGAGTAACCATATCAACTCTAAATATAATCTAAAGTCTAAGATAGACTTTCTGTATGTAAGCGCGGGATCGGACCGAGTGCACATCAATTCAATGAAAGAGATAAGAATAACGCACCAGCAAATCAGTGAGGACATAGGACGGATCGGACGGGTAGGCACGAGAAGACCTAAGGGGAGGCGCACGGACGCGCGCGGAAGCGCGCGAGTGCGTATGAGGCGCGCGAACGAGGCGCGAACGTATGGCGCGCGCGCGGGAGCGTGTATGACTGATCCTTCGGATAAGAGCTGGAATATGTAAGGAATATGTGGTTCGTGGGACCATATGTCCGGCATTGAGAGGCGCGAGTCTCTACAGCGTCCAGATAACTTGGAGCTCTCCGGGTCGGAAACCCCCATGGATTCCAGCAGGACTGCAGGCTCGTCATTCGCATTCTCGGTTGCACCACTTGCAACAAAGTCTCTGCAGGATGCTCAGAGAACCCAGCGGTTTCCTCGGCGAATACTGTACGCACATCTGATTGATGATCATAAATCAAATGACCTGCAACACCAGGCACGGGGCCATCTTCAGGGTACTCGTCCATGATGTCCTCGTCCAAACGCACGTTCCGGTATAAGTGATTGTGCGCGCAGAGCCATCGAAGGAATGCCCATACCAACTTCTTGCGTACCTGAAACATTGTCTTCAATGACTTGTCGGTCAGTTTTGTGGGTCCAACAAAGACGACGGACAGCATGCCATTGATATCAGCGGGTGTGCGAGGAAGAACTGTTACTGTAGAGATCACATTAGTTTCATGCGCACATGTATTACCATGCAGAATGAACAGCTGGGCTGCGTCTGTCGACTGATATAGTCGAGTGACATGAGCTGTATTGCGATAAACAGCGCATACCATTTCTTCAACCCAAGTGAGGTCACGAAACTGGTGTGGGAGATGTCCTCGATAAAGATGGTTGGCCAAAGCGAGACGCGGGACCTTTGCATGACTCAGAGATGAAAAACAATCCGCGCAGACATTTAAGGATGCACGGAGATTGGTCTGAGTGGTCACCCCAGCTTTGTCGAGCATGACGCCATTGAGCCATGGAGTCGTATATAAATTCAGAGGACACGCACTGAACAACACAATTGCGGAGAATGAACGCATCTTCCAACATGAGGACGTCAAGGTGCATAGGCAGGGCGGATGTCTGTGGATCAGGTTCAATGTCACACACCCTTGTATCTTGAGTCTGACGGGAGCATACTGCGCACACCTTACCCGGTTGCCAACACGTTGCATCCCTGTAGTTGCGCAGACAATCTAAAACCACCTTGCGAGGGACTACAGTTGGCAATCTGGAGGATATTTCAGCGCGACCTTGCACCATCTGTGCAGCTAACATTTCTTTGACAGATCTGCGTGCATCCTGTTGCTTCTGACGGAGAGTGAGTAGAGGTTGCTGGAGGTGGGTGACAAGCAAAGTAGAATATTCAGCCCCAAGCACATCAGTTATCATGCGATCGCGCGTGCTCAGAACCACAAAGGGAATAACGCTCAACACTGCAACAAGGAAGGAGTAATTATCGAGGGAGTCTAAATACCATAGCCGTCTTTGAATATGTTGCACGATGGCAGCGCAGCTCTTCCGTCGCGATAGACGTTTCGTGACAGGACGCAAGGAGTGTGGAAGACTCTGGATGCAAGCAATCAGTTCCGCTTTAGTCAATTTGGAGAGGCGAGGGATCAGATCTTTCACCGGAAGGTGGCGCCAATTCAGAGTGTCCACCACGTTACTGTCTGAGGAGGATGGTTCAGGGTTCAGGGTACAGTTTTCGTTTACAGGTTGTGGTTTAACGGAATCAATGAGTAGCTTGGCAGGACGCCGAAGTGCTGAGGCAACGACCCTGCCATACAAGAGGTCCAGATAGCAACAGATCACAGTGTACCGCGAAATTGTTGAGCATTGGCTTTGCAGTGCGGGTAGACAGAGCGAATACAGGTCAGCGTCAGCCAACGAGCTCAACTGCGCCCGCACGTGGGAATAGTGAGACAACAAAGCCGCCTGGGCCGGTTCACGAGCACGCCTCTTGCATGCATAGGGGGCAGGGAGATGACGAGCTGCGTCCACAATGATAGAAGCCGGCAGGTCTGTCAGGGATGTTGTCAGGTGAGCCTCACTTGACCCGAACCAAGCAGGATCTGTGTTGATAACAGCAGGCAGAGTGCGAAGGAGTGCTTCAGATACGCTATGTTCAGTCATGGTAATAGATATTCAAGAGAGATTTTAGTTGCAGGCAAGCGAGATTGAAAAAGGGATCTTGGACCCATGTGATTATAGTAGATGACCAACTGGCGTGAGACACGGACACAGCCGGACCCTTGTTTCAGGCGTGGCGTGCTCACAATGTAGAAAAAGACTTGGCAGGAAAGTATATAGGAGACATCAACGGCAAGCACATTGAGTTGTAGAGGACATGTACAAAATCGCGCCAGATACTGAGCATTCATGAGCCAGCAGGGCGCCTGGCTCTATGGGGAATGAAAGGATGCCGAATGTCGAAGATGTTGATGGCTCGCTGGAAAAGGAATGAGTGAGGATATGAACTACTAGAAGGAACTGACCCTCCAGGTCGCCATGTCGAACTCCATGACCAATTGATTGTATTTGACGCCTTTGGCGCGTTCTTCGTGAGGACAAGGTTGGCAGCGGGCTGATTGAAGTCAATGGAGGGTCACATGGCGGAAGGCACGACTCACCAACCAAGGGTTCACCGTTCTCTGCTACTCGGAAGGAGCAGGTCCCGTCACGGACGAGAAATGAGAGGTGATAAATGTTCTCCACGGATTGTCCAAAGTCACATGGACCGATGACGAGTCGGAAGAGGTTGATCGCTTCAACTGTGTCTAGAAGGCGGGAAATCTAAGTGGTACAGTAAAACCAGAGTATTTGATAATCAGAGCGAAGCGGCGTACCTCATCGACACGCACGCGAAGCTCATCGTCGGAATTCATATAAGCTGATCAGTGTAGGCAAACAGGGGAGCCGCGAGCATGGAGCATGGGAAGGTCGGCTTAAATTTGACGGTGACTGGATAGCCACTGCAGATTTCAAAAAGAAAGGCGAACAAAAAATTTTTGGGGCAAGGGGCTGGAATGACAGACAGCTGAGGCTAGTTGGAACATAGGAGAAAGGATGAGATCACTGGTATGTCTAAGGAACCACAAGTCGCCGAGGCCATCATCTGCAGGCGGGACGCTCAAGTAGCACACAAAGAGCAAGTTGAGTAGTGATGTGTGTGAAGAACGAAGTAAAAGTTTTATGAGCTTAAGCGGATGCTCGCAGAGTATCACGGAGAACGCACTGGCTCGGCAGAAATAAAGACAAAGAGAGGCAAAAAAAGTTTTTATTGTGGGAATCTAGGCCTGGCGAAAGGATCGAGGACGGTATTTGCCGAAAAATGTATAGCAGATAAGAACAAGGTTAAGGTTGCAAGAGCTGGTAGTGAGAAATTAGACGTATGAGACCGACAAAGACCCTCCTCTACTAACGTGGGAGTCGGGGAATCTTGTTGTACTTTATCGTCTTTTAGCGGTTTTTCTGTGATTACATAGAATTATCTAAATTACAATGTTTTATGAAAATTATGCCCGGGAGGGTTTTCCTGATGCCATTATGTCCGACTCCAAGAAAAAATACAAGTCGTCCAGTCAACCACGAGCTGTATCTGCTTCTGAGTAGGTCCAAACTGTTCTCTAACCACCCGACCTAATCACCACTCAGAATTGCTCGTAATTTGGATAATTTTGAAACATGGTCGTCACATCAATGTTGTGAACAAGTTTCTCTCTCTGACCCCCCTGAATTTCAAGAGGATGTGAACAATCTCTTTGGTACCACAAATCGAATTCCCCGCTCCTGGTTAGACAGGGTAAGCGGCGCGTATCATATCAACTATCAAATCTCCATTATCATGGTGTTCATGCAATGCAACCTGTGCAGTCTTTTGACTGTAGCCCAGGTTTTGCCAAGTTTATAGCACTAAGCAGATGCTTCACGAACAGCACCAGAACTCTTCTCCGTCGACCAGAGTGCAAGCAACGAACTATTTGAAGACGTATGTGTCGTTTTCAGTGCATGGAAGCATTTGGCACAAATGAGGAGTTCCAAAGAGAAATGGTCTGAGGTGGACTTCGTGGCTAACGTGTGAAGCATTAGTTGAACATCAAAATACAAGGCTCTGACATATTACAGATACAACGTACTCTGAACTTCTGGAATCAGAGAAAGCACCTTCCGGTATGTCCCATCTCTTATACATTTGTAGTTAAGCCACTTACGAACGACATCAGGGTGCAATGCGCGATTTCGCTCCCACAACCGCAAGACACATTTCAAACGCCTTCGATGTGCCCCGTGTATTGAATACGAAGACCGTCATCCCTGACTGCGCAATCTTCATTCCCACTTCATGAACTCAACCATTGTCGCATTCTACCAAATCACCATTCACAATCATTATAATGTAAAAAGCACGGGTTCTAGTCAATTATAAAGGTCTATCTTAGGGATAAAAAATAGCGACGGACTCTATCCCGCCTGGATGCTGATATCTATATGATCTATGGTATATGTTCCCCAGGAATGGTAAGCCACCCTTCTTCGTTCTATTTTATGGTGATGCGAGAGTCTTCAATGCTTCCTGTATTTTCGCCTCCTCTTGCGCCCATGAAGGCACAGGGATCCTGTATGTATCTCCGACCCGGGCGTATGAAATATCGCCCACACGCGCGACAGGCTTGAACTTCGTGAGGTCGACGGCACCTCTGCTCGTGAGCATGTCTTTGCGCACGTGGAAGTACTTTACGTGCGCGAGGATGAGCGTGCTGTTGTGCTCGCCTGTGACTGGGTGGGTAATATCTATCGATTTGTAGAGCTGTAGAGAGGCGATGTTGTTAGCAAGCGAGCGGGCTAGGCATGAGATTTAATTACCTCGCATTCCATGCTAAAAGCGCTCTCCTTGACGCGCGAGGCTCTTATTTGCACCTGAACGCGTGATTGTTAGTCGATATGTGGAATGATGAAGGTGCACGCGTACGCATTTCTCCTTTGTCAGACCGCTGAGAGCCCACTCGTCGAACTCGGAGGAGCGTCTACGGCAGTCGAATTTGCATTCTCGACGAATGCCTCGCTGATGATGTTCACGGCGAACCCTTGGCCGTTTTTCAGGTTCGCGGTCGTGTCCTTGAGGCTGCCCGTAGCATTGTGGTTGATCGCGAATGAGATGACAGGCGGGTAGTTCGTGACCTATGGGAAGAGGTTATTAGACCATTAGAGGGATGCGTTGTTTGTCGCGCTGCTTACTGTGTTGAACCAACTGGTGGATGCAAGCCAGGTAAGCATGCAGAATGTGTTAGATTATGGACGCGTGTCTTACCTGAAGGGTGCCAGGCTCTCTACGCCATCCTCGCTGATAGTGGATACGAGTGACATGGGGCGTGGTAGAACGCCTGAATTCAAGAGCTTGTTGAGGTTGCTGTCGATCACGGTCACGATCGCGGCTGATAAACAGGTAAAAAAGGTACGTACGTCTTGTCCATTTCTGCTGTGCTGTAAACTTTCCAGCCTGCAGATTCGCCTGCAAGCCAGTCTTTTCCGGCAGGAGTGGCGTCGACTCTCTGGCCATATGTCCAGGATGGATTGGGTGATTGGGTGGTGGTGGAGTAGGAGGTGGTATCGAATGGAGGGATGTACATTGTTGGTGGATTAGCTGGATGAAGACAGCAAGACTGACGCTGTATTTATAGTTACATGGTCGCAAATATTGAGGCCAGTCTTCATGCGTATGAGGTCGAAGCACTGATAACGGATGACGCTGACTGCTTGGCTTACAATACTATCTCATAAGGACGCAAGTTGGGGATCGGACGACTCGGCGCTTGCGGATGATGGATGAACGCATAGAACCGTGTCGAGTCCGTGATCGCATTACAGACTCAGTGCTAGATATGTCAGAACTTACAAATGGATCAGGTGCTTCTACGGTGATAGACCGGTCGACACCACTAAGACGGTTAGAAGCAGCCAAACAACGACATAAGGGCAGGCATTAGTAAGCACAGGTCTGAACTTTGGCCCGTGTTGCTGCCACGGGGCTATCTCAAATCGTAACGGTGTTTGCGCACCAGTCCCCAAGCTCGAGTCCCTTTCCCCTTGAAATATGCTAATTGCAGGTAAACTTATTGAGTCACTCGATTTTTCAACACACATGGTCAACCATAGTTACTCAATCTCAAACAAAGGTGCCTTTTGGAAATATGGCGTGCAACATCTGAATATCATGTTCGGCCAGGATCAATTGTGCGTCTTCCGCTCCATCATGTCTCTAGAGACGTTCTCCTCGATATACGTTCATTGGGTATCTATTGTTCCGGACCAGTTGAAATCCACCAACATGAATCCGGGCTGCAGTCCTTTTTTACCATAATATTTGTGTCTCGGATGTCTCCATGAATATAGCCTCGTTAATGAAGAGTGGAGTTCCGTAGCGAGCGCATCGTGATGAGGGTACTAGAAACAAGTCCGAACTTTCGAGTTCATGGACCAGTAACTTTGTATTAGCCGATCATAGTATATACGCAATGATAATATGCAGGTGCTTATGTCGAGGAGGACTGTCAAAAACCTCAAACATTCCATCCACAGGTGATAATGATTGCTTGTGACTTAGTTCGAGCTCGTTGACAATCTTGAGATTACGCTCGAAATTGTCATCGACAGGTAGGTCGACCTTCCAAATTATTAGATCGTCAGCATCTGATTGTAGGTATCGCTGTATCAGATCACTTACCTTCCATAGCTCGAGATCCTTAGCATCAACAGCATCGAATTCATGCTTATTCTTTTCCTTGATCAAATTTTTCAGGTCACCAACAATCTCCGTCGATACAATCTTGATCGGGAATATGTACCAGGGGTGGTCGCCAAAGACTAAGCAGTTGAGGTTGATCAACAAGTGGCCGGCCTGGTGAGGAATGCCTTGATCACACCGCAATTAGTATGGATGAAAGATAGGCAATATCTGCAGACAACTCACCAGCAGGTAGTAGCGGCTGGACAAGAATATGCAGGTGCATAGGCTGCGGAGGACTGTCAAAAACCTTGAGCATTTCATCCACGGGCGATAATGATTTCTTGTGATCTAATTGGAGCTCATTGAGATTACGCTCGAAAGTGTCGTCGAGAAGTAGGTCGACCTTCCAAATTATCAGATCACTCACCTTCCATAGCTCGAGATCCTTAGCATCAGCAGCATCGAATTTATGCTTATTCTTTTCCTTGATTAAATCTTTCAGGTTACCAACAATCTTCGTCGATGAAATCTTGACCGGGAATATGTTCCTGGGGTGGTCACCTAAGACTAAGCAGTTGAGGTTGAATTTAGATATCATTGAGAACAAGAGTAGGTGACGCGGGTTGCACCGTCACTGCGTGTTGTCCAAAAATTCCGACAGCTTAAAGGTGGCTGAGAATCTGGGGGTGCTACCGTTAACATGGAGTGGGTCTTATAGCTTGGATTTCGTCGCCCCTTACCTTAGATGACAATTTCGCCTTAGATAGTGTTGATCGATCGGTCTACACTGCCGCTTGCACGATTATCGCATCGCTGACAGTCTGAGGTAGCGGGTGTTGGCCTTATGGTGAGCTATGTCAATTGAGTCGGAAACCTCACCCTTCAAAGTACTGAGTCTTGACGGCGTCAACAATGGCTCAATTAAGCTGGCACAGGTTTTGGTGTTTCACAGCGTCACATGAACCAGGGGCCAGCACTATAGGCTCCACCAGGAGAAAACTCTAGCAAGGAGATCCAATCGGAGTGGGGTTTAATGATTTGGGTGAGTGGCTCGCCAGTTTTTCCCTGCCAGACAATGACCTCTCCGTTAAAATCAACGCTTGCCATCTCGTGATACTGCCAATTCCCACAAGTGATTCCGTGAGCTTTGACATTTTACCGGAGGTTGATGGCGTTGGGCGCGGTCGAGTTGGACTTTGGAGTGACTAGAGGGTATCCTTCTGCGGAGGTGGCGGCATTGTGCGTTTTATGACGCCTGCCTTATTTTGATAGACGCACAGGACACCGTGCAGGCTGTTCACTTCCATCACCGTCGCGATAAGAATGCACTCCAGTCATCCTCGACAGTATACCTACCCTCCAGCGCCTAACTGCATACACGTGTCCGACTCTTGTCTCCACAGCTGCCGGAGTGTATCCCATCGCATCCAATCGGGAGTTGGTCCTTTCAAACGGTTGAGAAATGAGTGAGAACGGGCTGGAGCCTCGTCCGACGTCGTCGGGCACAGCGCAGCCTGACTTTACAATTACATACGGCAGATGTTGCCGAGCTGTCACGTGCTTACTGTCCCAAACAGAGTACAACCTAGCCCCCCGTGGTGCCGAGTAGGGCTCCGTGAAAAACTACCTAGTTTTTGACGTTGGAGTTTTTGACAGGTTTTTAACATGTTTTTAACGAGTCGATAACTCGGGGTTGATATTGGGGTGTCAAAAACTAAAATATATATGTATATGATCTCGGGAACATAGCCTATCGAATTCTCCATCCGAACATCCGAAATCACCGAAAAATCGTTAAGATATGACCGACAATCTGTCAACTACCGTCCAATTGAGCGTTCGGCTGAATCGGCTCAATGATTACAACAAAAATTTACCTTGATGAGCTTCTTCGAGGACATTGGGCGCAACAACGCACAGTTGAGCCACCTCCGAAAGGCACTCGCACAACTTCCACATAGTATCCCCCTCGGAAACTCCAAATATAATTTTGAGCACTATGCTCCAGATCCGGAGAGGGTCGAACTCTATGGCAGTACCGAAGCCGCACTGAATAATGTGCTCGAGGTCACATTTGCACCCAGAGGCCGGAAGGATGAGTCGGCACCGTGTCCATTCGAGTTTCAAGATGTCCCGTAGACCAAAAGGCCTCCCTCAAAACCAACAGTTAAGTTTCGTGACCTGGAAAGTACTCTTTTCGATGTCGATCTCGATAGCAATGGTCAGAAAAGGAAACACGACAACTCCGAGTCGCAAGCAGAGGCTAACCCGGAGCCGCAGGACTCTAATTCAGACTCGGAGGACAATTGGTTGGAGGAGAGCGAGGACCCGGAGATTGAGCGTGATCCAATGTACTGGTCTTGTGATACGAGAGTACTTGTGGGTAGCGAGGATGCTCATCTTGATGCTCCTCGATTGTTGGACTTACTATCAGAGAAGCCGGTGGAAGGGGCAAGCAGGACACCTCAACTACAGGATAGCACAGTTCCAACGCCTCCGGGAGGGCCTGTACAGTGGGCATTTGCATTACCGTAGCGAAAAAATGTCAAAATGACCTGAAAAAACGCATTTTTTGAGTCTGTCAAAAACTGGTCAAAAACTAGTTTTTAACTCGTGTCAAAAACCCCTCGAGGGTGGGGGTGAGTTAAAAACTCGTCGTTAACTCCGTGGGTAGTTTTTCACGGAGCCCTAGTGCCGAGTCTGCCGACTGGTCTATCACCTAAGTTAGGTGATGGGAATTATAGGTGCATAGTTGATCCAATTGTAAATCTCAGTAGCTGACACTGATCCGATCACGGACGCGACACCAGCTGTTTACCATTATGCGTTCATCCATGATCTGCGAGTCCGATCCACAACTTGCGTCCTCCGTTTCGTAAGCCAAGCAGTCACCATCATCCGTTATCAGCACTTCGACCTCATGCGTGAAGACTGGCCTCGACCATGTAACTATAAAAACAGGGTCGGTCTTGCTGTTTTCATCCAGCTCATCCACCAACCATGTACATCCCTCCATTCGATACACCTCCTACTCTACCACCACCCAATCACCCAATCCATCCTGGACGTACGGCCAGAAAGTCGACGCCACTCCTGCCGGAAAAGACTGGCTTGCAGGCGAATCTGCAGGCTGGAATGTCTATAACACAGCAGAAATGGACAAGGCGTACGTACTCCTCCATCTGTTGATTAGCCGCGATCGTGACCGCAATCCACAGCAATATTAGGAAGCTCTTGAATTCAGGCATTGCACCACGCCCCATGACGATCGTATCTACGATCAGCGAGGATGGCGTAGAGAACCTGGCATCGTTCAGGTAAGACGCGCTTTCATGATCTATTGCGTTCTGCGCGCTTACCTGGCTATCTACCAGTTGGTTCAACACAGTGAGCGGCAATACAACAAACAACGCGTCCCTCTAATGTTTAACCTCTTCCTATAGGTCACGGACTATCCGCCTGTCATCTCATTCGGAATCAACCGAAACCCTGCGGGCCGCCTAAAAGACACGACCAGGAACTTGAAGAACGGCCAAGGGTTCGCCGTGAACATCATCAGCGAGGCGTTTATCGAAAATGCCAATGCGGCTGCCGTAGACGCTCCTCCCGACGTCGACGAGTGGACTCTCAGTGGTTTGACAAAGGAGAAATGTGTACGCTTGCACGTTCATGATACGATATATGCGCTAACGACGACGTGTTTAGGTGCAAATAAGAGCCTCACGCGTCAAAGAAAGCGCTTTAGTATGGAATGCGAGGTAATTCCATTTCACGCCTAGCCCGCTCGCTCGCTAACAACGTCGGTTCCCAACAGTTGTACAAATCGATAGACATCACGCATCCAGTCACAGGCGAGCACACCAGCACGCTCATCCTCGCGCACGTCAAGTACTTCCACGTGCGCAAAGACATGCTCACAGGCAGAGGTGCTGTCGACCTCATAAAGTTCAAGCCTGTCGGACGTGTGGGCGATATCTCATATGCCCGGGTTGGAGATACATATAGGATGCCTGTTCCATTATGGGCGCAGGAGGAGGGGAAGATACAGGAAGCATTGAAGACTCTCGCATCAACATGAAATAGAACGGAGAGTGGCTTACTATTTCTGGGGAACAAATACCATAGATCATATAGATATCAGCATCCAGGCGGGTCCGTCGTTATTTCTTATCCCGAAGATAGACCTTTATAATTGACTAGCTACAAGCCCTACTTTTACATCATAATAATCACGACTAATTTTCAACTTTTCAAACCTGATGTCCTTCAGAACTATCGACAATGATTGTGAACGCGCAGGCAGCTAGTACACACACGCGACATATGCATGTCAAATTGCTTTGTGGATGTGATCACGGCACGTAACAATTGCATCTGAAAGGATTACATGAATCATGAATGGCCTATATAGGGCTTCGTTGCTCGTGATGCAGGGGTGACATGTTGTAACCAATATGGTACCATACCAGTGCCCGTCTTACATATGATCTATGGTATATATTACCAAAAAATGGCTCCTTCGTTCTATCTCACAGTGATGCGTGAGTCGTCAATGCCTCCTGTATCTTCTCCTCATCCTGCGCCCATGATGGACGAGCGATCCTGTACGCATCTCCAACCCGGGCATACGAGATGTCGCCCAAACGCGCGACAGGCTTGAACTTTGCGAGGTCGATGACACCTTTCTCTGTGAGCACGTCTTTGCGGACGTGGATGTACTTGACGTGCGCGAGGATGAGCGTGTTGTTGTGCTCGCCTGTGACTGGGTGGGTGATGTCTATCGCTTTGTAGAGCTGTTGGGAGGTGGCGTTGTTAGCGAGCGAACGGACTCGGCGTGAAATGGGATTACCTCGCATTCCATGCTAAAAGCGCTTTCCTTGACGCGCGAGGCTCTTATTTGCACCTGAACGCACCGTTGTTAGCGCATATATCGTATGATGAAGGTGCACGCATACGCATTTCTCCTTTGTCAGACCGCTGAGAGTCCACTCGTCGAAGTCGCGAGGAGCATCTATAGCAGTCGCATTTGCGTTCTCGACGAATGCCTCGCTGATGATGTTCACAGTGAATCCTTGGCCGTTCTTCAAGTTTGTGGCCGTGTCTTTGAGCCGGCCTGGAGCGCTGTGGTTGACTGCAAAGGAGATGACAGGAGGGTAGTTCGTGACCTATGGGGAAGAGGTTATTGAACGATTGAAGAGACATTGTCTGTTGTATTGCTCACTGTGTTAAACCAACTGGTAGATGCAACCCAGGTAAGTGTGCGAAGTGTGTTCGATACCGGAGGTGTGTCTTACCTGAACGGTGCCAGGTTCTCTATGCCATCTTCGCTGATCGTGGACACGAATGCGATGGGGCGTGGTACGACGCCTGAAATCAAGAGCTTGTAGAGATCGCTGTCGATCGCGGTCAGATCGCGGCTTAACAACAGGTGGGGAGTACGTACATCTTGTCTGTTTCTGCTGTGTTGTAGACTTTCCACCCTGCAGATTCACCTTCGAGCCACTCTTTGCCGGCAGGAGTGGCGTCGACTTTCTGACCATACGTCCAGGATGGATTGGGTGGTTGGGTATAGGTGGAGTAGGAGAGAGTAGTATCGAATGCAGGGATGGACATGGTGGACTGGCTGGATGAAGAGTGCGAAACTAGCCCTGGATTTATATTTACATGGTTGCAAATTGAGCACGTACGAGGCTGATAACGGATGTATATCGATGAATCGGGATGACGCTGACTAGCGCTGACTAAATTACTTGGCTTACAAACGCTATCTGATAAGCACGCAAGATGGTACCATTCCCAGTAGTGAATGCTCGACGACCTCTAGCTGGACTAGTATATATTGCTTGCCGCGATAACGATAGAAAACACTTCTTTTTTTGAACAAGTGTCTTTCAAGATAGTAGGCGCTGTCATGGGCAGCTCGGTTCCTTCAGGCTTTGGGAAAATATCTCTCAAGCGTGATTGCAACGTCAAGAAGGGATGTAAACCTCGACGTTGTGAATGAAGGGAGATCATTGACACCAATTCCCAACTACTACTTGACTACTACTGGCCTGACCATTCCCATCCTGGTTACTGCCGCAGAGACTCCACGACGGCTTTGTCGAAGGGTTTAGATGGTCGAAATACTGCTTTTGTCGTAAGTTTCGGCGCGACTCAGCTAGTGTGACCAGCCGCGCAATCACGACAGGGCACGTGAAGGATTTGATGACCATCATCCCAGTCCTAATCAAGCACACTTCAGCCTATTATGCCTCCACTAAGTTCCATTTTACCCCCGTGGTGTGCCTCGTGTCCTGCCAGTGGCGTTTGATATGCAGATTAAGGCTGTGAAGAAGCAAAAAGGCCCGGTACAGGCACCTCTTGGATCAAGACACTCACAAGCTCTCGAGCAAGTTGTGCTCAACACCATCCACCCCGAGCAGAATGACGGAGGCAGAACATCCTGTCATCCGAATCACAACGACTAGTCAAACATTTAAAGGTCATGGAGATAGTATCTTTGCAGTTGCAGAATTCCCGGACAGACGCCGTATGGTGATGGCCTCGTGCGACAAGACCCTTCGTCTATGGGATCTAGAAGACGGTGACCCCGTGGAATGTCCTTGCTCACAGGCAAGCACCTGGACATATGTGTCCAACTCACGTCACCACAGCTTTCCATATGTAACCCAAAGAGTTCTTTCAACCTCTGTAGCGAGGAATTGCATGCTTTAGGTGTCGATGTGGAGGAAGACGAAGAAGGAAATCAATGCTAACTTACATACGTTGATTTCCACCTTATTGTCTCAGGCACCCATCTGCAACCCGGCCTTTCGCGAGATGAGATGACGAGGGGGTCGGGAGTCAGCGGCAAAGTACATACAGAAAGGTACCTTTGATAGCGGCACTTGTGAAGTACCCTCCAGCAGAGTGTCCTGTGGTAGAGGCACTCTCTAAGACCATCTCATCAAAAGCTCATGAGCTCAGCTGAAGATATGTCTTTCGTAGAGAATATTACACAAGTCGTCAAAACAGAGTGAGGGAAGATGGCGACGGTTCGCCAACCCGACAGCTGCCTCGTGAGACGTCGTGAGATGCGGAAGCGATCAGATGCCAGCAGCATAAATATATGGTGGCATGGATGACATCACCGACCTGCTTCCAAGTAAATGGCTTCCACCGTGGTTCCTGTATGGTGGGATCATATTCACCTGAAGAGATCTCAGATGAATGGGGTCCATGTCTTACTAGGGTGTCTAAGGAAAAAGTCAATGGGGTGAAGAGAAACCCACGATATACGCACTTCTGCAGCCTAAAGAAAGACACCAACAATCCCTCCAAAGTCTACCTCGACCGTGCTCCACATTGTCAGCATGCAGCCAGATGTCGAAGCTCGTTTCAAGCACCGCACTCCGTTGAGTTATTGAAGATCATGAGAGCGGCGCAAGCGCAGTCGCAGGTTTTCCCTATAGATGACAAGATGCTTCGGTTGTGGGACTTGAATACAGGTGTTGTGTATGGAGGGGCATCGCAGTGAGATGCGGCCACTAGCAGTATGGCAATGGGGCACTAGGAAAATGCTGCGACTGCTGCGCGACCACACACGAGCAAAATAAACGCGAAGAAAGGTGCCAATGACTGCGTCAGGTTTGAGACAATGCCCGCAACTACGCAGTCGTTCACTAAAAAGAAATAAAAATAACATTGTATGCGGAGGAATCAGACTACAATGCAATATGAAAGGTCGTTTAGTAACAAGGTAGTTGTTTGAGAGACCTGACTTGCAGACCGGGAGTACTGCGAATCTCGATGATATCGCCTGACCGTGACTTTGAGAGCGTGGATATACATATAAGGAATCGGAGCACCCTCCAGTCCATGGCTCGTTTGGAGGATAAGTACTGGGAGGTTCCAGTGATTAGCAGTAAGTAAGTACTTGTAGTTAATGCGCACTCACCGTTTAGGAACACCGCAGCAGTCGCATGCGGCAGTGGCGCAGCATTTTCACAATGCCCGTGGGAATGGTGGGGAAATTCCGAGGCTGTACCACGAAATTTAGTTGCATCTTGTGCACACAATCTTGGGAGTCTGTTGGATGGAGAAGTGATATTGCAGTAAGCTATATACACGCGTTCGAAGAAGTAACGTGGTGATAAGCTGGAGTAGCTGCTAGATACGAAAAACAACGGTATTCATGCAGGATAGACAGTCAGATTCGAGCGCTGGAAAGCACGGACTGCTCGACTTGATGCGATAGGATACATTCTGGAAGCTGTGAAGCCAAGAGTCGGACGCATGTATGCACTGCAGATGTGCATATTGTCGAGGACAGCGGGTATGACAATAGGGTGGGTGCATTACGGTGATGGAGGCGTGGGCACGAACAGGCGGCCTTAGATATTCCGGGCGTCCATTGAGCTGGGAAGCACCATAAAACGCACCATACACCCTGTGCAGCTTAGAGAAAGACATCATCCCTCCAAAGTTTAGCCTCGTCCGTATTCCATACCATCAACATCCAGTAAAATGTCGGAGCTCATTGCAATCACCACTCCCCTGCGATGGTTTAAAGGCCATGAAGAAGGCATAACTACAGTCGCAGTTTTCCCTGATAAACGTCGGATGGTTACGGGCTCGCCGACAAACGCTTCGTCTGTGGGACTTGAAGACAGGTGTTGCGTTGAAGAAGATGGAGGGGCATCGCAATCGGGTGTGGAGTTGGCGGTATCACGAGATGGGCAATTGATAGCAAGCGGTGATAGAGGGAGAGGTCATCGTCTGGCACGGAGAAACTGGCGAATTACTCACCAAAATCAAGCACACTCCAATTTGATCTCCTCGCTGGATTTTTTCCCGATGGAACAGTGCTGGCCACTGGTTCTATTACGAAAAAATGACGAAATTGGAATACCAAAACCTGGCAGCTGCAAGGAGATCCATCGAGTGTGATGCATATATCACTGCGTACGGTATTCACCGTCTGGAGAACTGCTTGCCGTCGCAACCAACATGATATTCAAATTTACAATTCAGGCACAGGAAACACGTCACATCATTCGGGTCACAAATCATGGAACTCTCACTCGTGTGGACGCCCGATGGCACACGCCTTCTCACAGGCGGCGATAGGAAGATCCTACTATACGCGAATGGGATACAAAAACTGGAAGCAGGTCGGTGATCCTTGGACGGGCCACACTGACCACATCCAAGCCATTGCCATTCATCCTGCTGGCACACTCGTTGCATCCGCATCTATGACACCATCGTCTCTGGCAGCTCTCAGATCGACAAACCATTGCCGTCTTCAAGCACTCACTCGCCAATTTATGCGTCACTTTCTCCGTGGACGGCAATCACATCTTCAGTGGAGGTAACGATAAGATGATCTCAGAGTGGACAGTACCTCAGGGTATACATCCAAAGGCATGTTTCTCTCTGACTCATATACCACAAATCGAGCATGCTTCTTGCAGACTATTGCCACCACAACAGTCCGCGATGCATGCATAGATGGAGACTTATCTACTGACGAAGAACTACTCATGCAAGATATCAATACCGATGCGAACAACCATACTCCCTACGTCCATCGCTCAAAGGCATGTTTCCGTTCTTGACTCATATATACCACAATTAGAGCATGTTTCGTGCAGATCCTAGCCATCACGACCTCCCGTATTGCATGTCTAAATGGAGACTTATCTACCGCCGACTACTCACTCAAGATATCAACACCAGTCCGAACAACCATACTTCCTACGCCCATCGGTCATTCGTCATGGCGCGAAAATACGACTGGGACCGCGCCCTTCTGGACGCAATCAAGGTGAGAATCATCGCCGCCTTATACAGACTAACTCGACGGTGACATAGTCCATCAGGATTCAGCCCTCATTGACGGGCTATATCTCCAAGGGTATTGCCCTCTGTGGAAAAGGCCGCGTCCTGGATGCGAGGGCAGCATTTGATGTTGCATCCATGTACACGGACCAGGATTCAGAAATCACTCATTTTCTGCTATTGATCAAGGTATGTTACATTTGCCTCGCATACTCTTCCCTTCATCGCGTATTTCAGGCCATCGCGCTTTCAATGCAGATCAACATGACGAGGCAAACCTGCTCCTCAAGAGCTCGCTACCGGTTGTCCGAATGCCGATACTCTCGCATGTGATATCGTGCAAGTAAGTATCATCCATGCTTGGTCATCAACACTCATCTTTACAACTCGCACATTAGGCATATCTACACGTTCAACTCGGAATCAAAGCCTTGGATGGCGCACGCTACGACGAAGCTGCCGACCATTTCACTGCCGCTCTCGACTCTCGCGATTCATCATCGAAATCGAACATTCATGAAGTATATGAGGATTTGGTGGTGGTACGTCAAGATGATGCATGTATAACGCTTTTCATAACTGAATCCTTGTCCAGCTCTTTGGCTGGGACCTGAAGTCGTTGTGGCAAAAGGCACACCATAAACGGTGTGATGCACTCCTTCGGGCGGGCAAACTCCAAGATGCCGTGAAATCATACCAACACATGATGACTTCAAGTGACGAAATCACCAATGCCGACTGCTTGATTGGTCCAACGGCGAGTCTAGAACCAGTAATGTCGCGCAGGCGACAATCCTCACCTGTATTCTTCTCAGATTTCAAACAGGAATGCAGCGCACTCTGCGCTGCCAATGGAGAGCTGCCTTCGCTGCAAGCGATTACGACAAGGCTATTGACCTATACTCGATGGCGATCGACCTGGATTCTGCATCCGATATCTTCTTTGCAAGTCGCAGCGAGGCAAAGTTAAGTAAAATGCTTGGGAGGATGCGCTCCTCGACGCGCGAAAGGTGCGATGGCATCCACGTTTTCGTAGCCATGTTGACTTCGGCGATGCAGGTCACCGAACTCAACCTTCGTCTCATGTTGGGTACCAGTTGTCACACTCAGCGCTGCGTGGCGCGCAACGTTACGATGAAGCCATCGAGGCCTTCACAATCATGTTGTCCAAGTTGGACGATGCTCCAGAAGGCAGATACGAGGTAAGCATGGAACATTGCTACCTCGTCTCGAAATGCCTATCTTGTTCTGCAGATCTGCGTCAGCAGTACGTCTGTCCATCGGAAGCAGAAGACGCTATTCGAAGAGCGGTTTGGATTGAACTCAGCAACGCCCCCCTTCGTCTGCTCAACACCTCTACGGGGATTCTGTGCGACCGAGCAGCACAGCTAAACTCCTTCAAAACAAGTCCAGAATACAAGGAGCTTTTGTCATCCATAACGAAGCGTTCGGATCTCGAAATGGAACGCATCAAGGAGGTGGTGGCGATGCACTTCCGTTGCGTTTTGCTATCACACAAGTGGGAAGAGACGGAGGTGCTGCTGCACCACATCCAAATAAAGATGTGCGCGAGTTGAAGGGACTTGGTGGCATCACGAAACTGCAGTCGTTCTGCAAAATCGCTCGTGATGCGGGGTATTTCTGGGCGTGGATGGATACATGCTGCATCGATAAGAGCAACAACGCCGAGCTTGGAGAATCGGTCCAATCCATGTTCGTCTGGTACCGTCACTCGGCGCTCACCATCGTCTACCTATCCGATGTCCTCCTTCATCCCAACCCGGTGCACTAGCAAGCAGTGTTTGGAACGAGCGGGATGGACCTTTCAAGAATTGTCGCTCCGAAAGTCGTTAGATTTTATCAGAAGGATTGGTCGTTTATCTCGACGATCGCTCTCAACCACAAAGAATCTCAGCAATCATGAAGGAGTTGGAGGGTGCGACGGGAATAGATGCACAGGCCCTGATCTCCTTCCGTCCAGGGATGAGAGATGCTAGACAGAAACTGCAATGGGCATCGAAGCGCGTCACCACTGTGCAGGAAGACCGCGTACTCGTTATTTGGTATCTTCGCGTCCACCTGCCTGTCATCTATGGCGAGAAGAAGCAAAATGCGCTCGGACGGCTCCTGCAGGAGATCGTCTGGCTAGATCGGGCGACATCACTTCCCTGGACTGGGTCGGACAATCGTCCGAGTTCAATAGTTGCCTTCCAGCCGACATCATCTCATATGCAACCCCGCCATATCCCTACCATCATTGTCTGAAGATGAGATTCAGACAGCGGTCTCTTCGTTGCGAAACATTGTGCCTGTGGATTCAGCTTCGAAGTTGTATAACCTGCTCGAGAACATGAATGCTCCGCTCTTCGCAAACTGCAGACTCCGTCTGCCTTGCATCGCATTCCGTGTCACGGAAGTCAAACGGAGGCCTGGTCTGCTGCTCATTCCACATATGAGTCAAAGCAGATGGGCTTCAGGACTTGCTGATCACCACGGACAAGACACTAATTCATTCTCGCGCGCAAGACCCACTCGGCAGACGTTCTTTCTTGTCCGTCCATGGGATCGTCGTCTCCTTGGGCTGCCTGATTTTTCAGAGCAGCCCACCTTTGCAGACGAAGGGGAGAGCGTAGGGATTGGTCCGAGTCCCAGTCTGGATTAGCGACACTGAAGAGTCGTCCAGCAACTCACCTGGAGAAGAGGAGTTGTCAGTTGACTCGGATGTTCACTCACGATCATTGCGTTTGATGGTTCACCTTGGGCAGGCTTTCAGCGCACTTTTGGTAGCGCAGCAACGCGTTGGAGAATACAAGAGGGTCGCGTCGGACCAATATCATTGCGCAGGTGAAAGACCCGGCTTCGATTGACATTATGAACATCAGGACCCTAGACATATTGTAGCTGAATGGTTTTTACAACACGACGACGATCACATTATCATAGCCTCATATATCATACATACCCTGCAAATGATCCTCGCAAATAAAGAATCCAAAATTTGACATGCAGAGGCACCATCTGCTCTCGAGGTGGTTGGAGAGGACGATATCGTGTGTCTGCGTTAGAGCCAGCGTGTGCGCGTGTTGAGCAACACATCCGGCTGTAAACCACATCCTGAAAGTACCTAAGTACATAGTTCGTTTGCAATGGAGCATACACGATTATTCGTATGCAGTGGCAGGCTGTAATCTAGTGCAGTAAACTGGCGCATTCTCTGGTGTATATATCAGGCTTGGTTTATCACTGTCTGGATTCTGCTGCAATCGCAAGACGCTCACCGGATAGCGAACGTTCGGAACATCGAACGCACTTCAACGCAGCGGGCATCACTATTACACTGGACTGGATTGTCTTGCCACGGAAATTCTTTCGAGCGTAGTAGTGGCGTCAGCCATGTCTCCTTTACTCCACAGCTTCGTATTTCGATCAATGAACAAGCAACCATGCTTACTAGGAGATACCTGCACTTCGCAGTGGTCCAAGTGCCTGGTGCCCTGGGCGTCTAATATGCAGGTCAAGGCTGTGAAGAAGCAAAAAGGCCCGGCACAGGCACCTCTTGAATCAAGACACTCACAAGCTCTCCAGCAAATCGTGCTCCACATCGTCCACCTCGAGCAGAATGATGGAAGAAGAACATCCTGCCATCAGAATCACCACGGCTAGTCAAATATTTAAAGGCCATAGACATTGTGTATTTGCAGTTGCAGAATTCCCCGATGGACGCCATATGGTGACGGCCTCGTACGACAAGACCCTTCGTCTATGGGACTTAGAAAACGGTGTCGTATTGAAGGTAATGGAGGGGCATCACTGGGGCATACGAGTAGCTGCAGTATCAAGAGACGGGCAATTCATAGCAAGCGGTGATTTTGGCGGGGAGCTCATAGCCTGGAACAGGGACGGCGAATCTCTCACCCAACCCATCCGAGTCAAAGTCCACTCCAACAAGATTTTCTCGCTCGACTTTTCTCCAGACAGCACATTTATGGCAAGTGGCTCAATGGACAACACGGTGGAGCTCTGGAACACAAAGACATGGCGGGTAGAAGGAAATCCAATCAATTGTGGGACTGAAGTCCGCTGTGTTCGGTATTCGCCGTCAGGGGAATATCTTGCCATCGCAACCAAAAAGGACATCCAAATATGGAATGCACGCAAGAGAGAACGAATCGCAAAGTTCCAGGGTCATTCTGCGTTTAATGGAGCATGGAATTACTCAGTCGCATGGACGTCTGATGGCATGCGGCTGTTCTCATCGGGCTCCATTCTAGATCCCACCATAAGGGAGTGGGATACATCGACCTGGAAGCAAGTTGGTCAACCCTGCAAGGGCCATACTGACACTGTCTACACGATTGCCTTCAACCCTACTGGCACCCTTATCGCGTCTGCATCTGAAGACCAACAGGTTCGCCTTTGGCGAATTTCGGATCGATCGCCCATCGCCATATTCAAGCACCCCGATCAGTTGTATTGTGCCACGTTCTCCGCGGATGGCAAGCACATTCTCAGCGGAGGTAGAGACACTGTGATTTCAAAGTGGAAAGTACCTTTCCTGGAGGACATTTCTAAGGACAAGTTATCAGATGTAAGTTTTGTTCGTTTTCTATCCCTTCTTCATCTCATTTTATTGAAGGATATGTTACGGGGGATGCTCCGCCGAGGGAACAAGGGGCAGATAATGTGAGTTCTCGTTATTTGCTCGTCTCCTTGTTTATTGATCCTCAATCTTGATGCCAATGCTCAACAGCCTGAATGCGAGGTATATTCTAGCCTTTTCGCCTACCACTCAATCTGACCATGCATGATGCAGATCCTCACTATCAGCGCGACAGCCCGCGATGCATGTATAGCCGGGGACTTGCCTACTGCCGACAGGCTGTTAACACAAGATATTGCCGCCGATGGCAACGACTACAAATCTCATGCGAATCGTTCGTTTGTCAAGGCAAGAAATTCAGACTGGGATCACGCACTTGATGACGCGCTCAAAGTGAGATACCCCATTTCATCCTGACCTTTTTTAACACAGACTAACTTATATGGTGATACAGAGCATCAGTATTAAGCCATCCTTGATGGGCTGCATATCCAAGGGCATCGCCCACTGTGGAAAAAACCAGTTTCAAGACGCGATGAAAGCATTTGACATCGCGTTCATGTACGTGGACGCAGACTTGAATAAAACTCGTCTTCTACTCTTGATCAAGGTATGTGTCAATTGTGTCTCGTGTATTCGCTACTCACACGACAACCGTCAGGCCATCGCTCTTTTCAATGCAAATCAACACGACGAGGCGATTCTGCGCGTTCAAGAGCTAGCTAAGACTCGTCCCAATCCAAATTCTCTTGCCTGCGGTATCGTAGAAGTGAGTACTACTGACAAAGTCGACTACAGATTCATGCATCAGTGCTGATTTTGCAAACCTCGCACTCCAGGCTTATCTACACGTCCAACTGGGAATCAATGCATTAGATGACACACGTCACAACGAATCAGCTGACCACTTTACTGCTGCCGTCGACGCTATCGGTTTCTCGTCTATGTCGACCATCCACTCTAGATATGATGTCTTCCTGGTGGTGGGTTGATTACAATTCAACTGGAAATTTTTCACGCCCCATTGCTTTTTCTAGTTATTCGGGTGGGACCTCCGATCTTTGTGGCGAACTGCACACCAGAATTGGTGCGATGCGCTCCTTCGGACAGGTAGACTTCCAGAAGCCATCAAAGCATACCGGTACATAATGGATAGGGCTGATGAGGCTACGAAAGCAAGCTACCTTGATTGGTCCACTGGCAGTCTTCTTGATGTAAACCAGGAATAATTCTGATCCTTATTCCACTTAGCTTTCAAGCAAGATTGCAGCGTGGTCTATGCTGCTGCCGGTGTGACTGATATCATTGAGAGCGGAGATGTTGCCCTCGCTGCGGGTATTACGATGGGGCCATCGAGCTTTACTCTGCAGCGATCGACCTCGGTTTGGCAACAGATACAACCTTTGCGAACCGCAGCAAGGCGAGGTCAGGAAAAATGTTATGGGACGACGCACTCTTCTCGATGTGAACAAGGTGCGACGACAGTTACCGTTTTCGTATTCGATACTCATTTTAGTGATATGCAGGTCATCGAACTCAACCCTCATCTTACTCCGGATATCAGTTGAAGCATGCGGTACTTCATGGCGCACACAGATATGATGAAGCCATCGAGGTGTTCAAAATTATGATCTCCAAGTTGGAAAATGCTTCCGACACGCAAACCCAAGGTACGCCTCAAATAGCACATCCTCTAAATATTGTTGACTCCTTGTCCAGACTTGCGCCATCAGCATGTTGGTCCATCCGAAGCAGAACGCGCTATTGAAGAGAGCATCAACGCTCAGCTCGACGACGCCCCGCATCGTCTAATCGACACCTCCACAGGGCGCTTATGCAATAGAGAGACACAGATCGATGCCTTCAAAGCGAGCACGGAGTACAAGGAGCTTTTGTCATCCACCATGAAGGATGCATATCTTCCATGCAGCGCATCCAAGCCGTGGTGGCGGTATACTTCCGTTATGTCATACTCTCGCACAGGTGGGAAGGGAGGAGCCGTCGCTGCATGACATCCAGGACAAGGTGGTGTACGACTTGATCCAGTTGGCGGCATCGCGAAGTTGCAGTCGTTCTGCAAAACTACTCGTGATAAAGGGTATCGCTGGGCATGGATCGATACCTGTTGCATTGACCAGACTAACAACGTCGAGGTCCAACAATCGGTCAACTCCATGTTTGTCTGGTATCGCCACTCAGCACTCACCATCGTCTACCTGTCGGATGTTGCCTTCATCGCAGCCTGGAGCACTCGCAAGTAGCGTTTGGAACACGCGAGGATGGACAGTTCAAGAATTCTTGTCCGAATATTTATCTTTTCTACAGAAGGATTGGTCCCTATATCTCGGCGATCGCTCTCCCAACCACAAGGATCCCTTGCAATCATGCAGGATGGGAGATGCGACGAGAATAGATGCACAAACCCTCGTTGCCTTCCATCCAGGGATGAGAACGCCCGGAGAAACTCCAATGGGTGTCAGCGCGTGTTACCACGTGGCCGGAAGATATTGCATACTCGTTGTTTGGTATCTTCGGCGTCAACCTACCTGTCATTTATGGAGAGAAGAAGCAAAAGGCGCTTGGGAGGCTCTTGCAGGAGGTTAGCTCAGTCGGGACATAGTGCCCTGGACTGGGTGGGGCAATCATCCGAATTCAATAGCTGTCTGCCGCCGACATCTTCATACAAAGCACCACCATACACCCTGCCATCTCTGTCTGAAGACGAGATTCAGATCAATCTCCTCGCTCCGACATGTCATGGCTGTAGATTTGGTCTAACATTTACACCCTGCTTGCGACCTGAACGCGCCTCGTTTCGGAACTGCAGACTGCATCTGCCTTGCATCGCATTTCGGGTCACAGCAATCAAACGGAGTCGCGCCGAAAGACCAAGAGATATGAAGTCAAGGCTGACGGGCTTGATGACCTGCTGATCACCACGAAGTACAAGTTGAATCAGTTCTCATCACACGACCCACTATACAGACATTCTTGCTTGTTCGTCCGTGGAATCGTATCTGCTCGAGCTTCCTGAGTCGCAGAGCCGTCTGGCTTGTAGAGCTGCCTGACGTTGCGACACGGACAGCGAAGAAGAGTATTGGTCTGCGCCCGGCTCTCCATTACAGAATTCGCCTGGCGAGTTCCCTGAAGCACAGGAGTCGGTCGACTCGGAACTGAGCGATCGAGCCTTGCGGTTGATTGTTCATCAAACAGCCTTTTAGCGCGTTTTTGCTAGCGCATCAGCGCGGCGGAGAATACAAGAGAATCGCGTCAGATCATGATATTATTGCACAAGTCAAGATCTTTCTTGTATTCCGGACATGATCAAGACGCTAGAGATACTGTAGCGGCATGCATTTGGGAGCTATATATTATATCAATAAAAAAGAAGAATGTGAATCTGACATATGAGACGAGCAATCCCCATGGAATGTCCTTGCTCACAGGCAGGTGCCATCGACCTTACAAAGTCCAAGCCTGTCGCGCGTGTGGGCAACATCTCGTATTCCCGGGTTGGAGATACAGGATCGCGGTTTCCTCATGGGCGCAGGAGGAAGCGAAGACTCTCGCATCACCATAAAATAGAACGGAGGGTGGCTTGGTGGCATATACCATAGATCGTATAGATACCAGCATTGTAAGAACCTGCAAAGGACTGTGAGTGCGAAGGGGTGTGTAGACCGCTTTGTGAGACAAGGTCAGAGGGTCGCGAACGAGAGTAGGATGACGAGGAAGGTAGTTAGTTCTGGACGATAGGTGAAATAATGAGATACTGCTGATATCGGAGGCGAGAACGGTACTGGGATACTGGTATTATTGCTTCTTAGTAGGGACTGTAGATGGCTACTTATACTGGAGATTGTAAGGGTCCTTTTGGATGGCTAGGCCGAAAATAATGCAAAAAACAGATGCCAAATGGAAGAGCGTCGCTTCCGAGAAGGTAGAGTAGAGATAAAGGGAAGGAATACGAAAAATGAGCAAGCGGAGGTATGAATGGGTAGTATGGTTTTGACAGGATAACGAGAGGCCGTCTATGTTTTGAAAATTCCCGATGGCTCGGTTGCGAGTAGGGTGACGGTGACTAACAGAGGGTCGCGAACGAGTGTATTGGACGACGGGGACTTGGTGGTTGTTGGCGCTGGTGAACTGAGGTGGCGGTTGTGGTGAGTGTTACTTCGGCAACTTCCGGCGGTAGGCATCCAGGCGGATCCGATCGAGTCCGTCGTTATTTCTTATCCACACTCATCATTAATCATTAGTACTTTAGTACTTAGTCTTCACACATATGAGGCTGATATAACAGATGGATCGGGATGACATTGACTGCTTTGCTTACTACGCTATCTGATAAGCACGCGCAAGATGGTACCATTCCCACTAGCAGTGAATATTGAATGCTCGACGACCTCAGTAGCTGGACTGGTACATTGCTTGCTGCGATAATGACAGGAAGTACTTTTTTGGACAAATGTCTTTAGTAGGCGCTGTAACGGGCAGTGCACCTATGTAGCTGCTCGGCTCCTTCAGGCTTGGTCATCCTGTTTGTGCTCCACTCGGACTCCAAATCGGTCAAGCACCATGCGCTCGACAATCTACTATGTCATAGTTCCAAGCTTAAGTCGTCGTCTCGGTTTATGAAAATACCATTGATATGCTCATGGCGGATATAGATGCACACTAGTATCATGGTCAGTGAATTAAAAGTCCTCGATATTGTAACCATGAGAATGATAGAGATACTACATAGCAGATACTACCCGGCGCACTTCGCAGCGTCTGAGTACCTCGTATATTGGGCATCTAATACACAGGTTGAGGCTGTGGAGAAGCATAAAAAGGCCCGGTACACGCACCTCTGAAACTTGAATCAAGACACCCACAAGCTCCCCTGCAAGTCGTACTCAACACCATCCACCTCGACTGGGATGACGGAAGCAGAACACCCCGCTATTCGAATCACCACACCCAATAAAACATTGAAAGGTCATGAAGATGGTGTCTTGTCAGTTGCAGCCTTCCCCGATAGACGCCGTATGGTGACAGCCTCGTTCGACAAGACGCTTCGTCTGTGGGACTTAGAAGACGGTGTTGTATTAAAGATAATGGAAGGGCATCGCTTCAGCGTACGAAAAGTTGCAATATCAAGAGACGGGCAATTAATAGCAAGTGGTGATGATGGTGGAGAGCTCATCGCCTGGAACAGACATGGCGAATCTCTCACCAAACCCATGAAGATCCACTCCAACGAGGTTTTCTCGCTCGACTTTTCCCCAGACAGCACATTACTGGCGAGCGGCTCATTTGATGCCACAGTGGAGCTGTGGAACACCAAAACATGGCGGGTGCAAGGAAATCCAATCAGTTGCGGCAATGAAATCGGTGGTGGCGCAGAAATTCACTGTGTTCGGTATTCACCGTCAGGTGAATATCTTGCTATCGCAACTAACTCGAATATCGAAATATGGAATCTAGGCAAGAGGAATCGCATCGCAAAGTTCTTGGGTCACTCTGCGTTTGATGGATCATGGAATCTTTCACTCGCATGGATGCTTGATGGCACACGTGCACGGCTGTTCTCAACGGGTTCCAATCGAGATCCCACCATAAGGGAGTGGGATACATCGACCTGGAAGCAGGTCGGTGAGCCCTGGAAGGGCCATTCTGGGCCTCTCAACATGATTGCCTTGAACCCTACTGGCACCCTTCTCGCATCTGCATCTGACGACAATCAGGTTCGCCTTTGGCAGCTTTCGGATCAACAAAACATCGCCATATTCAAACACACCAATGAGGTATATTGTGTCATGTTCTCCGCGGATGGCAAGCACATTCTTAGTGGAGGAGGAGATAGTATGATCTCAAAGTGGGCAGTACCTTCGCTAGAGGACATTTTCGGGGACCAGGCATTAGATGCAAGTGTTGTTCATTTTACGTCTCTTCTTCATTTCATTTTGTTCAAGGATGCATTACGGCTGAATCAACAAGTGGCAAATAATGTGAGTTTACATTCTTTGCTCGTCTCCTCAGGCTTGCCTGTTGATCTTGATGCCAAGGTTCAACAGTTCGATTGCGAGGCAGGTTTCTAGCCTTTACTCCTACCACATAGTTTGACCATGCATGATGCAGATCCTCGCCATCAACACGACAGCTCGTGATGCATGTATCACTGGGGACTTGCCTACTGCCGACAGACTGTTAACAAAAGATATTGGTGTCGATAGCAACGACTACAACTCTTATGCGAATCGCTCGTTTGTCAAGGCAAGAAATTCAGACTGGGATCACGCACTTGATGACGCGCTCAAAGTGAGATGCTCCATTCTGTTACGACCTTTTTAACACTGACTAACTGATATGGTGATACAGAGCATCAGTATTCAGCCATCCTTGATGGGTTGTATATCCAAGGGCATCGCTCACTGTGGAAAACAACAATTACAGGACGCGATGAAAGCATTTGACCTGGCATTCTTGTACGTGGACACGGACTTGAATAAAACTCGTCTTCTACTCTTGATTAAAGTACGTCAATTGTGTCTCATGTACTTGTTACTCACACGACAGCTGTCAGGCCATCGCCCTTTTCAATGCAAATCAACATGACGAGGCGATACTGCGCGTTCAAGAGCTAGCTACCACTCGCCCCGATCCAAATTCTCATGCGTGTGGTATCGTGGAAGTGAGTGCTACTGACACAGTCAACTCTAGATTCATGCATCTGTGCTGATTTTGCGAACCTCGCACTCCAGGCTTATCTACACGTCCAACTGGGAATCAATGCGTTAGACGACGCACGTCACAATGAAGCGGCTGACCACTTCACTACTGCCGTCAACACTATCGATTTCTCATCTATGTCGGCCATCCATTCTGGATACGATGTCTTCGTGGTGGTAGGTTGAATGCAATGCAGCTGGAAATCATTTTATGACGCCTTACTGTGCCTTTTCTAGTTATTCGGGTGGGACCTCCGGTCCTTGTGGCGAACTGCACACCAGAATTGGTGTGATGCGCTCCTTCGGGCAGGTAGACTTCCAGAAGCCATCAAAGCATACCGATACACGATGGACAGGGCTGATGAGGCTACGAAAGCACGCTGCATTGATTGGCCTACTGGCAAGTCTTCGTGATGTCAACTGGGTATAATTCTCAACCTCATTTCAATTAGTTTTCAAGCAAGATTGCAGTGTGCTCTATGCTACCGCCGGAGTGACTGACCTCGCTGCGGGCGGAGATGATGCCCTTGCTGCGGATGATTATGACAGGGCTATCGAACTTTACTCTGCGGCGATCGACCTTGATTTGGCAACCGATACAATCTTTGCAAACCGCAGTAAGGCGAGGTCGGGAAAACTGCTATGGGACGATGCACTCCTCGACGCGGAAAAGGTGTGGTGACAACTATTGTTTCGTATTCGACGCTCATTTTGGTGATACGTAGGTCATCGAACTCGACCCCTCATCTTACTCCGGATATCAGTTGAAGCATGCGGTACTTCATGGCGCACACCGATACGATGAAGCCATCGAGGCGTTCAAAATCATGCTATCCAAGTTGGAAAATACTCCTGACACGGAAACAAGAAGTACGCCCAAAATAGCACATCCTTCAAATATTGTTGACTCCTTTTCCAGACTTGCGCCAACAGCATATTAGTCTATCCGAAGCAGAACGTGCTATTGAAGAGAGCATCAAGGCCCAACTCGACGACGCCCCACATCGTCTAATCAACACCTCCACTGGGCGCTTACACAATCGCGAGGCACAGATCGATGCCTTCAAAATGAGCACGGAGTACAAGGAACTTTTGTCATCCACAATGAAGGATGTAGATCTTCCATTGCACCGCATCCAAGATGTGGTGGCGGGGTACTTCCGTTATGTCATGCTATCGCATAGGTGGGAAGGGAGGGAGCCGTTGCTGCATGACATCCAGAAAAGGTGGTGTACGACTTGGATCCAGTCGGCGGCATCGCGAAGTTGCAGTCGTTCTGCAAAACTGCTCGTGATAAAGGGTATCGCTGGGCATGGATCGATACCTGTTGCATTGACCAGACTAACAACGTCGAGGTCCAACAATCGGTCAACTCCATGTTTGTCTGGTATCGCCACTCAGCACTCACCATCATCTACCTGTCGGATGTTCCGCCTTCGTCGCAGCCTGGGGCACTCGCAAGTAGCGCTTGGAACACGCGAGGATGGACAGTTCAAGAATTCTTGGCTCCGAAATTTGTACTCTTTTACCAGAAGGATTGGTCCCTATATCTCGGCGATCGCTCTCCCAACCACAAGGATCCCTTGCAATCATGCAGAGATGGGAGATGCGACGGGAATCAATGCCCAAGCCCTCGTCGCCTTCCGTCCGGGGATGAGAGACGCCCGGAGAAACTCCAATGGGTGTCGGCGTGTCACTACGTGGCAGGAAGATATCGCATACTCATTGTTTGGTATCTTCGACGTCAACTGCCTGTCATTTATGGAGAGAAGAAGCAAAAGCGCTTGGGAGGCTCTTGCAGGAGGTTGTAGCTCAGTCGGGCGACATCAGTGCCCTGGACTGGGTGGGGCAATCATCCGAATTCAATAGCTGTCTGCCGGCCGACATCACTTCATACAAAGCACCACCATACACCCTGCCATGTCTGTCTGTCGATGACATTCAGACATCAATCTCCTCGCTCCGACAAGTCATGGCCGCAGATTTGGTTCTAAACATTTACACCCTGCTTAGCAACCTGAACGCGCCTCGTTTCGGGAACTGCAGACTGCATCTGCCTTGCATCGCATTTCGGGTCACAGCAATCAAACGGAGTCGCGCGAAAGACCAAGAGATATATGAAGTCAAGGCTGACGGGCTTGATGACCTGCTGATCACCACGAAGTACAAGTGAATCAGTTCTCACCATCACGACCCACTATGCAGACATTCTTGCTTGTTCGTCCGTGGAATCGGTATCTGCTCGAGCTTCCTGAGTTCGCAGAGCCGTCTGGCTTGGTAGAGCTGCCTGACATTGATGACGACACGGAGAGCGAGGAAGGTTATTGGTCTGCGCCCGAGTCTCCATTACAGAATTCGCCTGGCGAGTTCCCTGAAGCACAGGAGTCGGTCGACTCGGAACTGAGCGATCGAGCCTTGCGGTTGATTGTTCACCTCAACAGCCTTTTAGCGCGTTTTTGCTAGCGCATCAGCGCGGCGGAGAATACAAGAGAATCGCCTCAGATCATGATATTATTGCGCAAGTCAAAGACCTTTCTTCTATTCCGGACATGGTCAAGACGCTAGAGATACTGTAGGGTGTGCTCCGTATTTGAAATTCATCTCTGTGCTCCTTTTCTTGCTCTTCCATTTTGTTTCATGACACTATCAACCGTACATGGTTACCACCTGCACCTTCCATAGCTTAGTCTACTTTCAGAATGCATCAAGGTATCGGCCCTCGATATGAGCAAACACTATTGGAAATATGATTGCTTTGCCTGACGGTGACTTGGCCGTCGTTCTTACCTCCGGAGCTAAGCGGCCACAGCTTCCATTGAGGATCACACCTACTGACGCACCTGAACAAATACCAGATTACTTCGCGATGCTTACTGCGCCCGGGATTTCTCCCCATCGACTGAATCTCAAAATAAATGCGCCATACAACGCAACTTCTTGGCCGAAGAATGATTGGTGAGAAATGTACGAGTACAGATAGCAGGTCTACATCGTCGATTCGTCAGACTCGACAATTTCAAAAACCACTGTATTCTACGTATCACTCATCCTTACCACTCGAGCACTCGAGTTAGACGGTGAATCGCAAACAATCTCCTTGAGAATAGCTTACGCAACTATTTTCAATGGCTGCCAACCCTCTTGCACAGTTCTGATCTCATAACTGATCTTTTTGCTGATGATCAACTATATACTGCATTGTCCCGCGTGTGCTTATTTTTCCGGAGCAAATGAGGAGAAAGATAGTTCAAATGTAGTGTACAAATGTAGTGTAATGACATGTGTGTCAATAACTAACGACCGAAGGTTACCGCTTCTTTCCAATGATCCAACACGAATAAATAACGGCCTCGACAGAATCCAACGGAACAACTGATTCACGTATCCCCGCCAGCTATGGATGGGCTTTTGTTTATTCCCCGGCGGTATATAATCAGGCGCATCACCACGAGTATCGAACTTCCGACGAGGGAGATCAACTAGATGCAAACTTCAGCACAGGGCTCGCGCAAGTGTAAAAACAATGTGAACTACTCACCCCACTGAAGAGCGACGCTATCCACCATTTATATTGAGGACCGAGCAAAGCGCCTGAGATTGGGCCGCCTGAAAATATTGGTTCAGTGACAGATGAAGACTGGAAAGCCACTACTTACTAAGTAATCCGCCAAAGGCTGACAATTTGTGCACTGTCAGGATTTCCGAGACAGAACTAGATGATGCATACCAGTGAAGGCAAAACATATGCCCATTCGCGCTCTGCATACGAGGGTCAACATCACCAAAACGCAAATAAAAGAGAAGCCAACCCTAGCTCAGACAAATCGGGCGTCAACACAGCCACCAATGGGACTAACAACGCGATGTCTGAGAAAGTCAGCACCAGGAATTACTCAAGCTGTAGTGTGACTCATACAAACTCCAGAAAAGTAGCCATATGTAAGTCCTAACATGACCACACCGGCTACGTCACTCAGAGCCATCATGGATATTATGACGGCACTACATGCGACAGTGGATGCGATCGTGAAGTTCAACACCCCCGTATACGCCACAATTATTCCTGACGTGCAGCGTCCGATAAAACAGGCTGCATTCATTATCACAAGCTAAAGGGAGTTGAGAATTGACAGTAAAAATAATAATTCTGGGCGTACGGAGTAGAACGAGAAGTTGATGTCAATCCCATGTTTGGTAGAGTCCAGTTGCAAGTAAAACACAGGGAAGAAAAACCCGATCTGAAATAATGTTGACCTAGGCATGATCAGCTGTCAAGACTGCAATTTCTCTTAGCATATGCCAGATACAACATACCCAACAGTCATGAGGATGAAGAGAACCTCGCGAGAGCATTTTCGCGCCACTACAGTATAACCGACAGTCGGCGCCGGAAGTTCTCTTGTACGCATGCATAAACAGGCGATCAATAGCAGAGCACTGACAAAACCCGCACTGATGCGAACACCATTGGCAAAGCCAACAGTACCATTTAAAAGGTGATTGAGCATGATCGGATGGATCATGGAACCGAGCGGTGTACCGGATGAGACCAGAGACATCACCAATGTACGTTTTCTGGAGAAGTGCTGAGAGACGACCGCGATAGTGGGACCGGACATTAGGCCCATCCCAAACCCAGAAAGGACGCCTTGAACGATAAAAGCCTGGTCGTAACCTATAGGTAGCCCATCGACAACGAAATTGGTCGGGCTGCTCACCAAGTAAAGCTGATCAGGCTTTGTGAAGGATAAAGCGAACAAGGATAGTGATTGGAGCAGCGACCCCACAACCATCAATTGATAACTATCAGTAATTTGTGCAGGAGTTAGCGACTGACTATGTATAAAGATATGGCAGCTTACAACCACCCTCGGTCGTACAACGGACCCGAGAACAACGTGATATTGACTGAGAGGAATGAGGTCAATGCACCAATCCATCTAACACTGAGTGAGACCAAGAACTGCAGAGTAAACGCACACTCACTTACGATATTGCAGATGGTGAATGGTTGGTCATGTAAATTCGTGTGTAATAGTCTTCCGGGATCGTTTATCAACTTTGGATATGAAGTATCATGCAACTGCTGGGTACCTTGGTAAACTCCAAAAGACGCTATGTATCTGTTCAAATGCTGTTGACTGAGATGTCTCGAACGAGCGAGCTAGAACCAACCCGAAGCCGCAAAATTGCACGAGAAAACTAGACATCGTCGTGATTGTTAGATACAACATGCGGGTATTATTAGAGACACGGCTTACCACCCAAAAGCAGTCCCCAGGCCTGAAACCCGCCATCCGGAGGGCCTGATTCTGAACAAGCTGTTTGGGAATTAGATGTCGGTAGATGTCCTAGCTCTTCCGGATCATCTTCTTTCTTGTTTGTTGTGAATGTGTTATGGATTGCGGACTTCATTGACATGGAAGCAAATGGGAGTGAAACGCTATGCGCCAGTAAATGTTGAGTTTACAGGTTAAAACCAACGTTTGAACTTGACCCTGAAAGAGCGCCTCGTGGGGTTACGCCGCAGGAAGTGCATTGCATCACATCGTCACCAAACCCTTGGCAAACCCTTCACGACCCACAGAAGAACCATTAGGTCTCTCCCTCAGGGTCCCCCGTGATGGTAGACACCCGATGACATGATGGCAGCTGTCTTATCAGGGATATACAGGGCTGTGGATTGTTCGGATTGTGTGGCTGACAGCGAAGACCCGCTTTGTTACCACAGGGATAGTGGTTACGCATACAAATGACTACTTATGTCACCTAGTGATCAGTGATCATGTCTGGTCACATGTGTGTCCCCTCAGTAGTCGATATCTGTACCTATCAACGACCGGTTGCAACCTGCAATACAACTGTGACGCTGCAAGTTAAAGTTGTTGTCTGGTCAAAAACGACGGTTTCACACAGGGGTCCCAGACTCACTGACATGTCCACTGGAGTAATAGATAGTAACTTCTTGAGACCTGTATCGCCAATTGCGTACTAGGTAGTTGCATTACAACAAGCTGCATCGACCTCTCATGAGAAAACACTGGCAAGAGCAGTAGTAGATTAATGAAGTTGCAAGTTTGTAACAATGTCGATATTCAACGTTTTCAACACTAGAGTAAATATGCACAATTTTATTATGTAATAAAGAAGCAAGTGATTTGTCGACTACCCACTGCTCAGGCAATGCATAAGCCTGAATTCGTTCAGCAGGACCACGTGTTGCACAATTTTGAGTTCTTTGCTCACCAATAACTCGGATAATCATGTTTGTAGTACCAGCCAGTCAACATGTGGTCCACAGCCCCTCCGAGTTCGTGGTCGACGTATGGCTCGTACTAGTTATGGGGTATCTTTCCAGGAGTCCTGGACATCATGAGGCTTGGAAGTGTGAGTCTGCGGCAGAGTACTACTCTTTCTGTGAACCACTTTATGCTTCATTCACAGATATGTCGAACATTGTACGAATTTGCTTCATTATGACATGTCTGGCGCAACGTCCTCTTTCAGCATCATTTTCTTAATCAGTGCTACCCCCATCTGCGTTCATGCACCGCGGAAGGCATTCGTCACTAACTGAAAACCACTATCTGACTGGGCCACATATGGACACAGCCTATCATTGTCCTTAAGCGTCTTTACACGTCTACACTGAAGATCTTTCGGGTAGGACATGGCTAGTGTCGCTCTTTCACCATGGAAATCTCAACCCTCCACACTCCAACTTGTGCTTTATAAAATCAAGCACGGGAGCTGTATTTCACGCCGCATCCACGACCTTTCAGAGCGAGATGTGCTGGCTTCCCTCCCTCGACTAAAACGGTCCGTATAAATCGTCTCATGGTAATAATCTCATGGCTACTACGAATCAAGTGCAATGACGGGTGCCACATATTGTCAGGGATCTAACTCGCTATACTTGTTGTCTATTCTTGAAAGCCGAACGGCGTGTAAGGAAGGTCTACATTTCGGGGACAGAAAATCGTCGATCACGCGTAGATGCTAATATCGATTGCCCCGTCTTATCTATGATTTATGGTATATGTTACCAAAAAACGACTCCTTCGTTCTATTTCATGGTGGTGCGTGAGTCGTCAATGCCTCCTGTATCTTCGCCTCCTCCTGCACTTGCGCACGTGGAAGTATTTGATGTGCGCCAGGATGAGCGTGCTGTTGTGCTTGCATGTGACTGGGTGGGTAATATCTATAAATTTGTAGAGTTGTTGTGAGACGACGTTGTCAGCGAGCGAGCGGGCTCGACGTGAAATGAAATCACCTCGCATTCCATGCTAAAAGCGATTTCCTTGATGCGGGAGGCTTTTATTTGCACCTGAACACGTCGTTAGCGCATGTATCGTATCATGAACGTGCACGCGTACGCATTTCTCCTTTGTCAGACTGATGAAAGTTCACTCGTCGAAGCCAGGGGGAGCGTCCATAGCAGCGTGGAAAGGGTATCTGAAAATTCCTCTACTCTTCAAGCTACACCACCTGTACTCTCTTGACCCATTTCGTCATGTTTTGGATAGAAGTCGTTTCTTCGACTCGTGCAATAATATCATATTCTGATACGATTCTCGTGTATTCTTTGCCGCGTTTGTGCATTAGCAAAAATGCCCTGAAAGGCTGTTTGAGGTGAGCAATCAATTGTAATGCTTGCTCGCCCGATTTCGAACCAAGCGACTCGTCCTCTCCAGGGAGCCCGTCATGTGAATTTGACGGGGATGAGGGACAGGATGAATTGTCTGACGGGGATGGGAAACAGGATATATTGTCAATGCTCTCCGTATCGCTCGAATGGTCAAGCAGTTCGAGGAGATGACAGTCCCAGGGACGAACGAGCAAGAGTTTCGGTACGGTCGAATTTTCTCGCGAGGAATGGAGTTCTTCGTCTGTGATGATGGACAAGTCACAAAGTCCCTTTGCCTTCAAGTCATATGTGAAATTTTTCTTTTTATCTTGATCGTGCCTCCCTTTGATTTTGGTGACACGGAACTCGATGCAAGGCAGATATAACCGCTGGTTTGAGAAGTCGACGGGGTCTACGTCGTAAAGTTTGTTATACAAGTCTAAAGCCAGCTCCTCTTCCTCAGCAATTCGTAGCGACGAGATCGATGCTTGAATCTCATCTTTGGACGGGCATGGCAACAGGAGTGTCGACCCGTACGACGTGATATCGGCTGGTAGACAGCTATTGAATTCGGATGATTTGCCAACCCAGTCCAGGACGCTGATGTCACACGACTTGGCAACAATCCCCCCAAGAGCCGCCCGAGCGCACTCTCTTTGCCCTCGCCATACATTACGCTTGAGTAAACGCCGAAGACGCCAAATAATGAGTATGCAATGTCTTCCGGCTTCTCGGTGACGCGCTTTGATGCCCATACGAGTTTCTCGCGGGGATCTTCCGTCCCAGGAGAGAAGGTGACATGAATCCGTGAATCTATGCCCATAACATCTTTCAACTCTTGCATGATAAACTCCTTGTGGTTATCAGAAGGATTATCAAGATACGGGGTCCAATCATTTCGGTAGAAGAGAATGATGTTGGGAGCCAGGAATTCTTGGAGTGTCCATCCTCGGGTGATCCAGACGCTGTTGACGAGTGCGCCAGATCCCGACGAAGGTGAGATGTCAGATAGGTAGACAACTGTGAGGGCTGAGTGCCGGTACCAGCGAAACATGGAGGTGATGGATTCTGGGAGCTCCTCGATGTCTACCTTGTTTATGCAGCATGTATCGCTCCACGCCCAGCGGTAGCCAGCATCACGAGCAGTTTCGCAGAACCGCTGCAACTTCCTGACGCTGCCGACTGACTCCAACTCGTACACGCTCTTGCCCTGGATGTCGCACAGTAGCGGCTCCTTCCCTTCCCACTTATGTGATAACATGACATAACCAAAGTACTTCACCACCACCTCTTTGATGCGCTCCGTTTGGAGGTCTGTGCGCTTCGTTATTGATGATAAAAGTTCCTTGTACTCTACACTCGTCTTGAAGGCCTCCTGTCGTGTCTTTAGATCATATAAGCGACCGGTAGAAGTGTCAAGTATGCGAATCGGGATGTGTTGGATACGATCGGAAACAATTTTTTGGATTTTTACTTCTATGTAGGATCGAGAGGCATACTCCAGGAACAAATCTGAAGAAAGGGTCAAGCATCTTTAGGATGCGTTGCTGACAGCTTACCTTGTTGTCGTTTTTCGGAAGAATTGACTAATATAGAGAGCATCACTTGGAAGGCTTCGATAGCTTCATCGTAGTACTGTGCGGCACGAAGCACTGCATGCTTCATTTCGTATCCGAGATAATTGCAAGGGCTGAGTTTAATGACCTATCACTAAAATGAAAACGTTGATTACGGAATAACAGATGCCACTGTACCTGTTGTGCATCGAGAAGTGCATCCTCCCATAGCCTTTGTTCCAACTTCGCCTTACTGCGGTTTGCGAAGATGGTGTCACTGGCTGAACCCAGGTTGATTGCCGCTGAATATAGCTCGATAGCCTCTTCATAATTACCCGCCTTCAATGCGGCATCTCCACTTGCGACTATGTCAGTAAATCCTTTGGCAGTATAATGCTCTCTGCAGGCTTGCTTGAATGCTGAGTGAAAATTCAGGTGAGAACTGGGCCCGATGACATTGATGAAGACTTGCTAGTGGACCAAGCAAGGCAGTTAGCCTTCGTAGTTTCACCACTCATATCCATCATATGTCGGTACGATTCGAGGGCTTCTCTAATCCCACCTGCCTGGAGGAATGCATCGCATCGCATCTGGTTTGCATTTTGCCACATTAACTTGAGGTCGCATCCGAAGAGCTACATAGATCATGAAGTTAGGCAATGACAGTATTTTCGCTCGCATCACATCTCGCACCACATTAAAGTCCTCATATTCAGAACAAATGGCGGATTCAGATGATCCAGCGATGGTGTTGACAGCGGCAGTGAAGTCCCCCGCACCTCTGAGTCCGTTACAACACACGCCACCTAAGTTGTCTAGATAAACCTCATGTAAAGTTCTAATAAGCATTAACCGAGAAGTGAGTCGGTAATACTTACTTCCACAATACTGCAGACAAGACTATCAGCATTGGGAGAAGCGTCCGGAGGCCGTTGAATGTGGGGTATTGCTTCGCAATGCTGCTGCTTTGCGTTGAACAGTGCAATGGCCTGAAAACCGTGATGAATCAGGAATGTAGGAGAAAGATTTGGCCTGCCTTTATTAAGAGAAGAATGGTCTTCGAATGTCCATCCGTGAACATGGTCGCAAGGTTAAATTCTTTCATTGCATCCTGAATCCGCTGATTTCCGCAAAGTGCGATGGCGCTGGAGAGATACCCTGTCAAGGAGGGCATCGCAGCGGACTAAATTACCATAGTTTAGTCAGTCTCATGGTGGCGTCCAACAACGTATCTCACCTTCAGTGCATCATGGAGCGCACCGTCCCAGTCATCTTTTCGCGCCCTAACAAATGAGCGATTGGCATACGCGTTGTGGTCGCTATTGTCAGTATCAATACGTTGTGTTAGCCATGCTTCAGCTGTATCCAAGTCCCCAGTTATGCATGCATTGCGGGTTATCGAGTCCATATCGAGGATCTACAAGACATATGGTTTTTACGTTATCACGAGTGAAGAATCAAAACATGCCTTGGAATCATACGAGGGCACTGCCCACTGCGAGATCTTTTTATCAAAACCTCCGCTGAGGATGTACTTGCCATCGTGGAGAAGGTGACACAGCGCACTGTATGAGAGTGCTTGAATGAGGCGACAATTCGCCGATCCGACAGTCGCCAGAGGCGGACATGGCGATCATAAGACGTGGAGGCGACGAGGGTGCCAGTAGGGTTCACAGCCAGGGTATTGATGCCCTTAGTACTATTGCATGGATGACCAATCTCTTCCCACGTTGATGTATTCCACTCCCGTATAGTGGGATCTAGATAGGAGCCCGCTGTGAGCAACCTTCTGCCATCAGGCGCCCATGAAAGCGAGTAATTCCATGCTGAATTGAACGCAGCGTGAGCCTTGAAGGTTTTGAGTTGTTCCTTGCTGTTTGGATTCCATATTTGAACATCCCCGGATGTTGCGATGGCAAGATGTTCTCCAGACGGCGAATACCGAATGCAGTGGACATAATCACCGCAATCGATTGGATTTCAGCTTGCTGCTTCCACGACTTTGTACTCCACAACTTTGTAGCTTTGTCTACTGAACCAGTTGCCAGTGCATTTCCATTGAGAAAAGTCCAGCGAGTGGATTGCTGCGGAATGGGCTTTGATGATTTGGGTGAGCGATTCACCAGTGTCGACGTTCCAGATGATGAGTTCTCCGTTGTGATCACCGCTTGCTATAAATCTTTCGTCTCGTGATACCGCAACTGCCCATACCCAGCCGCGATGACCTTCCATTTTCTTCACCGCACCATCGTCTTTCAAGTCCCACAGCCGAAGTGTATTATCTCCCAAGGCGTTACTACACGTCGCCCATCGGGAAAGACTGCAACTGCATATATAGTGTGTTCGTGAGCTGCAGCCACTCGAACTGGCGTGGTCATTTGGATGATGGATTGAGCTACATCCACCATTCAGTTCGAGGTTAATGGTGAGCACGACTAAGCGCCGGGGTGGACTTTCTGTAGGGACTTTCTTGATGGGCCTTGTGAAGCTTTACGTTAAACAACTCCCGTTTTTATCATATTTCACAGCGCTAATTTGTCGTGTGTGCGGTGCTTCGACACCATTCGGCCGAGGCACAGACTAAGTACAAAACAGGTCACGCTTTGTCTTATCAGACGCCCATATCACTATGACACTATGCCTTTAAAGCACATACTTGCAGCAGGCTCAATGAATGGGAGTAGGCTATATCTTCAGCTGAGCTTATGAGCTTTTGATGAAATGGTCTTCGAGTGGCCTCTACCAAAGGGTACTGGAGGGTACTTACTCCACAAGTCATCAGCGAATTCACACATTGCTTATAATATTATAATCTCACTTGCTCCGCAAATTAAAACTTATTCCCACCTTACTTACACTAGATTACAGCCTGCCACTGCATACGAATAATCGTGTATGCTCCATTGCAAACGAACTATGTACTTAGGTGCTTTCAGGATGTGGTTTCGCTATAGCCACGAATCCAAACAACCGGATGTGTTACTCGACACGGTCCAAGTCCACATGTTGACTGTAATGCAGACACACGATATCGTCCTCTGCAACCACGAGAGCAGATGGTGCCTTTGCATGTCAAATTTTGGATTCTTTATTTGCGAGGATCATTTGCAGGGTATGTATGATATATGAGACTATGATAATGTGATCGTCGATGTGTTGTAAAAAACCATTCAGCTACAATATGTCTAGGGTCCTGATGTTCATAATGTCAATCGAAGCCGGGTCCTTCACCTGCGCAATGATATATTGGTCCGACGCGACCCTCTTGTATTCTCCAACGTGTTGCTGCGCTATCAAAAGTGCGCTAAAAGCCTGCCCAAGGTGAACCATCAAACGCAATGATCGTGAGTGAACATCCGAGTCAACTGACAACTCCTCTTTTCCAGGTGAGTTGCTGGACGATTTGTCAGTGTCATCTGATCCAGACTCGGACTCGGACCAATCCCCTACGCTCTCCCCTTCGTCTGCAAAAGTGAGTTGCTCTGAAAAATCAGGCAGCCCAAGGATACGACGGTCCCATGGACGGACAAGAAAGAACGTCTGCTGAGTGGACCTTGTGCGCGAGAATTGAATTAGGGTCTGGTCCGTGGTGATCAGCAAGTCTTGAAGCCCATCTGCTTTCACTCCATATGTGGAATGAGCAACGCGACCCCGCATGCGTCTGACTTCCGTGACACGGAATGTGATGCAAGGCAGACGGAGTCTGCAGTTTGCGAAGAGCGGAACATTCATGTTCTCGAGTAGGTCATACAACTTCCAAGCTGAATCCACAGGCACAATGTTTCGCAACGAAGAGACTGCTGCCTGAATCTCATCTTCAGACAATGGTAGGGAGTATCGTGGGGTCGCATATGAGATGATGTCGGCTGGAAGGCAACTATTGAACTCGGACGATTGTCCGACCCAGTCCAGGGAAGTGATGTCGCCCGATCTAGCCACGATCTCTTGCAGAAGCCTCCCGAGCGCATTTTGCTTCTTCTCGCCATAGATGACAGGCAGGTGGACGCCGAAGGTACCAAACAACGAGTACGCGATGTCTTCCTGTATCGTGGTGCCACGTTTTGATGCCCATTGCAACATCTCTCGAGCGTCTCTCATCCCCGGTCGGAATGTGGTGAGGGCTCGTGCATCTATGCCCGTCACATCCTCCAACTCCTGCATGATTGCGGGAGACTCCTTGTGATTGGGAGAGCGGTCGTCGAGATACGGGGTCCAATCACTTTGGTAGAAGTGAATGACTTTCGAGGCGAGGAATTCCGGTAGGGTCCATCCTCGCGTGTTCCATATGCTGTTTGCCAGTGCGCCCGGTTTCGATGAAGGCGGAACATCCGCGAGATAGACCATTGTAAGCGCTGAATGGCGATACCAGATAAACATGGAGTTGACCGATTCTTGAAGCTCGACATTGTTTGCTTTGTCGATGCAGCATGTATCCATCCATGCCCAAAAATACCCCGCATCACGAGCGATTTTGCAAAATGACTGCAGTTTTGCGGTGCCACCGAGTCCATCCAACTCGTACACCACTTTGTCCTGGATGTGGTGCAGCAGCGCCTCCGTCTTTTCCCACCTATGCGATAGCATGACATAGCGGAAGTACATCGCCACCACACCTCGGATGCGCTCTGTATGGAGATCTGCACGCTTCGTTGTGGACGACAGAAGCTCCTTGCACTCCACGCTTGTCTGGAAGGCATTTATCTGTGCAAATCGATTGTATAAACGACCAGCGGATATGTGAAGTAGACGAAGTGGGGCGTTTGAAAGTTCTACAAAAATGGCCATCCTAATCACATCCTCGACTTCGGATGGACTGACATGCTGTTGGCGCAGATCTGTGGAAATGTTCAACTGTTTGAAGGTATGTGTGTTTTTCGGGGCATACCTCGTAGCTGAGGGTCGGCAGAATTATCCAACTTGGATAGCATGACTTGGAAAGCCTCGATGGCTTCATCATAGCGTTGTGCACCATGCAATGCCGCGTGTATTAACTTGTATCCGAGATAAGAGGAAGGGTTGAGTTCGACAACCTAGGTATTACCAAAATGAGCATAAGCTATGGAGTAAGATATGTAATTGTACCTTTTGCGCATCGAGGAGTGCATCCTCCCATAGCAGTTTTGCCAACCTGGCCTTACTGCGGTTTGCAAAGATAGCTTCGGTTGCAGAATCCAAGTCGATTGACGCCGAGTATAGCTCAATAGCTTTGTCGTAATTGTTAGCATCGAGTGCAGTATCTCCGCTCGCCGTAAGGGCAGCAGTATCTCCATCGACAGCATAAAGTGCACTACATTTTTGCTTGAAAACTATGTTAAATGTGGGTGAGAACTGTAGTCTAGTGATATGACTGAAGACTTGCCAGTGGACCAATCAAGACAGCTAGCCTTGGTCGCTTCGTCGCTCATATCCATCATATATCGATACGATTCATGGGCTTCTCGAGGCATACCTGCGCGGAGGAGTGCATCGCACCGTCTCTGGCTTGCAATTTGCCACAGTTCCTTGAGGTTCCATCCAAAGAGCTAGACAGATCGCGGAGTTGAACATCAAGTTTTTCGGTTGCATTGTATCAACATACCACGACAAAGTCCTCATATGTAGAATGAATGGCTGACTGAGAGGTGGAAGCGATGGTATTGATAATGACAGCGAAGTGTTCATCAGCTTCGTTTTCATAGGCACCATCAAAGGCGTCGATCCCCAGTTGGAGACGTAGGTACGCCTGATATTGAAAGTTCAAAAAGTTCAGTGTCAACGACCGTGAGTCTGAGAGTGCACGACACTCACTTCCACGATATGACAGACAGGAATGTCTGCCTTGGGACAAACATTAGCCAACCTTTGGATGTGCATGATGGCGTGCTCGTGTTGATTTGCATTGAAATAAGCAATTGCCTGAACTTAATGAAGCAAGGTGAAACATGGAAAAATATCGACGTGCCTTGAGCAGGAGGAGGAGGATATGAGTAGTCTTTGAATATTCGTTCGTAAACATGGACGCGAGGTCAAATGCATCCATCGCGTCCTGGGCTTGCAGTTTTGCGCAGAGGGCGATACCCTTGGAAATATAGCCTGACAAGGAATCCTGAATGCCGATGGACTATGCCACCATCAAGTGAGTTAGCCTTAAGGGATCGTGATGGGAGAGTGTATTTCACCTTGAGTGCATCATCAAGCGCATGGTCCCAGTCGGCTTTTCGCGCCCTAACAAATGAACGATTGGCATAGGCGTGATGATCGTTGCAGTCAGCGTCAATCTGTTGCGTTAGCAGCGCTTCAGCAGCGTGCAAGTCCCCAGTTATACATGCATTGGGGTTGCTGTGTTCATAACGAGGATCTGTGTAAAGCATGTTTACATTCCGCGATAAAAGCCGATGGTAAAAACATACCTTGGAATCGACCAAAGAGTCTTCCAACATTGGCGAATGCCGATCCAATGACTTCCTATCTTTACCTTCACCATGGATATGCTTGCCATACGTGGAGTGGGTGTTAGAGTACACGCCATCAGAGTGCTTGAAAATGGCGATGGTTCGTCGATCCAACAAGCGCTGGAGTCGGGGGTGGTCCATGGACGCAGAGGCTCCGAAGCTATCTGTGGGGTCCCCAGTAATAGCGTTGATCACAGTATGGCCCTTCCAGGATCACCGACTTGCTCCCACGTTGATGTATCCCACTCCTGTATGGTGGGATCTGGATTAGAGCCTGAGAGCAACCGTGTACCATCAGGTGTCCACGCAAGTGAATAATTCCAGGCTGGATTGGACACAGCGTCACTCTCTAACTGTGAGATGCATTCCCTCTTGCCTGTAGTCCATATTGAAATCCCAGGATGTTGCGATGGCGAGATATTCTCCAGACGGGGAATGCCGAACACAATGAACACAATCACTACAATCGATTGCATTCCCTTGCATCTGCCATGTTTCTGTGCTCCAGAGCCCTGTCGTGGTGTCCCATGAACCACTCGCTAGTACTGGGCCGGTTGGAGAAAAGTCCAGCGACACGATTTGTTTGGAGTGGAATTTGAGGTTGAGTGAGAATCACCGGTGTTGCCGTCCCACGCAATGAGCTCTCCGTTAGCATCACCGCTTGCTATCAACTGCCCATTTCTGATACTGCCACTGCCCCCACCGAGGTACGATGCCCCTCATTTTCTTCAACATAACACCAGTCTTCAAGTCCCACAAACAAAGCGTACGATCTCCCAAGCCGGTCACCATACGTCGTCTATCGGGGAAGACTGCAGCTACAGATACAGCACATTCGCGAGTATCGGGGACTGCGGTTGCAGATACGGCGCATTCACGAGCTTCGAAAGCTCCCACAGGTATGGTAATCAGAACGAACGGTTGTACTCCTTCTGCCATTCAGTCGGATATTGATGGTGTTGAGCACCGTTGAAGTAGGCTTGCTGTAAGCAGGTGGATGTCTTGCTCCACGTTACACACAATCATTCTCGTCCGTAGTAATTCCCTTGTCTTATCAGACGCTCAAGGGTGATCATTCCAAAATAGATCGAAGGAAGGCGTGCCGCGATGCCGGGTATCATTTCGTCACGGAAGTGTGAGTCTACGGTAGATTACGCTTCATTCGCAGATATGTCTGCAGGCGCAACGTCCTCTTTCAGCATCATTTTATTGATCAGTGCTACCCCCATGCACCGCGGAAGACATTCAACCGCTACCTGACTGGGTCATATATGGACACAGCCCCTAAGCGTCTTTACACGTTTCCATTGGATTTCCCGAATCCCTGGTGTATTTCAAGGTCTTAAATATCTTCAGAGTGCGACGTGGCTAGGGTTGGTCCACATTCCAACTTGTACTTAATAAAACCAAGCACCGGAGCTGGATTTCCCGCTGTATCCACGACCTATCAGAGCGAGATGTGCTGACTCCCCTTCCTACACCAAGACGGTCCGTATAAATCGTCTCGCAATAATAATCTCATGCTACTACGAATCAGGCGCAATGATGGGTGCGCCGTATCGTTAGCATCCTAATTCCCCATACTTGTTGTCTATCTTGAAAGTCGAACAGCGCGTAAGGAAGGTCTACCAGCTCAGGGATAGGAAATCCTCGATCACGCATTAATTATCTATTACTACTATACTATTGCACCAATAATCTATAGTATATCTTACCAAAAAATGCCTCCTTCATTCTATTTCACAGAGACGCACGAGTCGTCAACGCTTCCTGTATCTTCGCCTCCTCCTGCGCCCATGATGGACGGGCGATCCTGTATGCATCTCCAACCCGGGCATACGAGATGTCTCCCAAACACGCGACGGGCTTGAACTTTGCGAGGTCGATGACACCTTTGTCTGTGAGCACGTCTTTGCGGGCGTGGATGTACTTGACGTGCGCGAGGATGAGCGTGCCGGTGTGCTCGCCTGTGACTGGGTGAGTGATATCTATTGATTGGTAGAGCTGGTGGGAGGCGACGTTGTCAGCGAACGAGCGGGCTTGACGTGAAATGAAATACCTCGCATTCCATGCTAAAGGCGCTTTCCTTGATGCGGGAGGCTTTTACTTGCACCTGAGCACGTCGTCAGCGCATGTATCGTATCATGAACGCGCACGCGTACGCATTTCTCCTTTGTCAAACCACTGAGAGTCCACTCGTCGAAGCCGGGAGGAGCGTTTATAGCAGTTGCATTTGCATTCTCGACGAATGCCTCGCTGATGATGTTCACGGTGAATCCTTGGCCGTTCTTCACGTTCGTTACCGTGTCTTTAAGGCGGCCCGCCGCAGGGTTGTTGTTGATTGCGAATGAGATGACAGGCGGGTAGTTCGTGACCTATTGCAAGAGGTTATTGAACCATCATGTAAAGAGACATATTGTCTGTTGTATTGCTCACTGTGTTAAACCAACTGGTAGACGCAACCCATGTAAGCATGTGAAGCACGTCACAAACTGGACGCGCGTCTTACCTGAACGGTGCCAGGTTCTCGACGCCATCCTCGCTGATTGTGGACACGCATGCGATGGGGCATGGTACGATACCTGAAAGCAAGAGCTTGTACAACTCGCTGCCGATCGCGGTCACAATTGCGGCTGAACAGCAGGTCGAGGGGTACGTACATCTTGTCCGTTTCTGATGTGTTATAAACTTTCCACCCTGCAGATTCGCCTGCAATCCAGTCTTTGCCAGCAGGAGTGGTGTCGACTCTCTGACCATACGTCCAGGATGGATTGGGTGATTGGGTGTAGATGGAGTAGGTGGTGGAATCAAATGCAGGGATGGACATGGGGGGTAGCTGGATGAATAGAGCGAAGCTGGCCCTGGATTTATAGTGACATGGTTCCAAATATTGAGGCCAGTCTTCACAAATAAGAGCCGATAGTGTATGGGCTGACTACTTGGCTTACTACGCTGTTTGATAAGCACGCACGCGGTGATCTGACTACTTAGCTTACCACCGCCACTCGGTCGCGCCAGTCCCCGATTCCGCAGGAAATGAACTCTGGGATTCCATACATTCAATTGCTTTGTTGTCGTGGGCATGGCAGGGAGGATGATTGAGTCTGTGCCCTGGGGCACGCAGGCTTGGCACTAACTCCAGATAACGCGCGCTCGTCGTGGTCGGCGGTGTGCGGAGGTCTATGGGGAGCGAGGAACCCGGCGTGAACGGAGATGAGCGCGTGAGGTACCTGGATTAGACACCCGAGCAATATACTATCGGATTGGGTAAGCGTGAAACGTGTGCCGTCATCGTAAAAACAACTAAAATCACACTGTGCCATATGAGTCCACCAGGGCACACTGTCCTGCAGCGAAAAGAAGGGGCCCCTGCCAGCGGAAACGGCGTGCCCATGGGAGGCCAAACTTCCTGGACTCTCATAGGGCACGCACTTTCATCCGAAACTTGAAGGCAGGGACCAGTTTTCGGAGAAAACAAGTCAGGAACAAAATGACTAGTCCAAAACCTCGGTATTGTAACCATAAGAATGATAGAGATACTTGAGCTTTGCGGCGTCTGAGTGCCTCGTGTCCTGAGCGTCTAGTGATGCAGGTTGAGGCTGTGAAGAAGCACAAAAGGCCAGGTATACGCACCTCTAAAACTTGGATCAAGACACCCACAAGTTCCCCGGCAAGTCGTGCTCGTTGCAAGAAGTTGCAAAATCAAGAGATGACAAATGGATGATCTCGCCGGGGAGCTCATCGCCTGGAACAGAGACGGCGAATCTCTCACCCAGCCTATCCAAGTTCACTCCAAACAGATATTGCCGCTCGACTTTTTCCCAAACAGCACATTACTAGCGAGAGGCTCATTGGATCCCACGGTGGAGCCCTGGAACACAAAAGCATGGCAGGTGCAAGGAGTAGTGATGTGCAAGGCCCAGCTTGAAGCCCTGGGCCGGCCCAAGCCGGGCCCAAATAGGCCGGGCCCAGCCCAGGCCTGTCACGGCCTGAGCCCCAAGCTGCGGCTTTGGTACATAGAGTACGAGGGCACAAATTACGGGGTAGTAAATCCGATTACGCTTGATTCAGTGAGTTGCATGTCTTTGGCTAATTCAAGGATGTGACAATAGCTCTTCAAAGTCATATACGAGTCTGCAGACCCACGATATCGTCCTTTGCAACCCGCCTCGAGAGTAGATGGTGCCTCTACATGTCAAATTTTGAGATCTTGTATTTGCGAGGGTCATTTGCAGGGTATGTCTGATATATGAGGCTATGATAATGTGATCGTCGAGGTTTGTAAAAAAACCATTCAGCTACAATATGTCTAGGGTCCTGATGTTCATAATGTCAATCGAAGCCGGGTGTTTCATCTGCGCAATGATATTATGGTCCAACGCGACCCTCTTGTATTCTCCAACGCGTTGTTGCGCTACCAAAAGTGCGCTGAAAGCCTGCCCAAGGTGAACCATCAAACGCAATGATCGTGAGTGAACATCCGAGTCAACTGACAACTCCTCTTCTCCAGGTAAGTTGCTGGACGACTCGTCAGTGTCGTCTAATCCAGACCGGGACTCGGACCAATCCTACGCTCTCCCCTTCTTCTGCAAAGGTGAGCTGCTCTGAAAAATCAGGCAGCCCAAGGAGACGACGATCCCATGGACGGACAAGAAAGAATGTCTGCCGAGTGGGTCTTGCGCGCGAGAACTGAATTAGTGTCTTGTCCGTGGTGATCAGTAAGTCCTGAAGCCCATCTGCTTTGACTTCATATATGGAATGAGCAGCATGAGCAGGCCTCCGTTTGACTTCCGTGACATGGAATGCGATGCAAGGAAGACGCAGTCTGCAGTTTGCGAAAAGCGGAGTATTCATGTTCTCGAGCATGTTATACAACTTCGAAGCTACATCCACAGGCACAATGTTTCGCAATGAAGAGACCGCTGTCTGAATCTCATCTTCAGACAATGATGGTGGGAGTATGGCGGGGTTGCATATGAGATGATGTCGGCTGGAAGGCAACTATTGAACTCGGACGATTGTCCGACCCAGTCCAGGGAAGTGATGTCGCCCGACCGAGACACGATATCCTGCAGGAGCCGGCCGAGCGCGCTCTGCTTCCTCTCGCCATAGATGACAGGTAGGTGGACGTCGAAGATACCAAATAACGAGTACGCGGTGTCTTCCTGCACAGTGGTGACGCGCTTCGATGCCCATTGCAGTTTCTGTCTAGCATCTCTCATCCCTGGACGGAAGGAGATCAGGGCCTGTGCATCTATTCCCGTCGCCCTCCAACTCCTTCATGATTGCTGGACTCTTTGTGGTTGGAGAGCGATCGTCGAGATATAACGACCAATCCTTCTGATAAAATCTAACGACTTTCGGAGCGACGAATTCTTGAAAGGTCCATCCCGCTCGTTCCAAACACTGCTCGCAGTGCACCGGGTTGGGATGAAGGAGGGACATCGGATAGGTAGACGATGGTGAGCGCGAGTGACGGTACCAGACGAACATGGATTGGACCGATTCTCCAAGCTCGCGTTGTTGCTCTTATCGATGCAGCATGTATCCATCCACGCCCAGAAATACCCCGCATCACGAGCGATTTTGCAGAACGACTGCAGTTTCGTGATGCCACCAAGTCCTTCAACTCGCGCACATCTTTATTTTGGATGTGGTGCAGCAGCACCTCCGTCTCTTCCCACCTGTGTGATAGCAAAACGCAACGGAAGTGCGTCGCCACCACCTCCTTGATGCGTTCCATTTCGAGATCCGAACGCTTCGTTATGGATGACAAAAGCTCCTTGTACTCTGGACTTGTTTTGAAGGAGTTTAGCTGTGCTGCTCGGTCGCACAAATCCCGTAGAGGTGTTGAGCAGACGAAGGGGGGCGTTGCTGAGTTCAATCCAAACCGCTCTTCGAATAGCGTCTTCTGCTTCCGATGGACGGACGTACTGCTGACGCAGATCTGCAGAACAAGATAGGTTTCGAGACGAGGTAGTAATGTTCCATGGCTTACCTCGTATCTGCACTTCTGGAGCATCGTCCAACTTGGACAACATGATTGTGAAGGCCTCGATGGCTTCATCGTAACGTTGCGCGCCACGCAGCGCTGAGTGTGACAACTGGTACCCAACATGAGACGAAGGATTGAGTTCGGTGACCTATGCATCGCCGAAGTCAACATGAGCTACGAAAACGTGGATGCCATCGCACCTTTCGCGCGTCGAGGAGCGCATCCTCCCACAGCATTTTACTTAACTTTGCCTCGCTGCGACGTGCAAAGAAGATATCAGGATGCAGAATCCAGGTCGATCGCCATCGAGTATAGGTCAATAGCCTTGTCGTAATCGCTTGCAGCGAAGGCAGCCTCTCCATTGGCAGCGCAGAGTGCGCTGCATTCCTGTTTGAAATCTGAGAAGAATACAGGTGAGGATTGTCGCCTGCGCGACATTACTGGTTCTAGACTCGCCGTTGGACCAATCAAGGCAGTCGGCTTGGTGATTTCGTCACTTGAAGTCATCATGTGTTGGTATGATTTCACGGCATCTTGGAGTTTACCGCCCGAAGGAGTGCATCACACCGTTTATGGTGTGCCTTTTGCCACAACGACTTCAGGTCCCAGCCAAAGAGCTGGACAAGATTCAGTTATGAAAAGCGTCATATGCATCATCTTGACGTACCACCACCAAATCTCATATACTTCATGAATGTCGATTCGATGATAATCGCTGGAGTCGATAGCGGCAGTGAAATGGTCGGCGGCTTCGTCGTAACGTGCGCCATCCAAGGCTTTGATTCCGAGTTGAACGTGTAGATATGCCTAATGTGCGAGTTGTAAAGATGAGTGTTGATGACCAAGCATGGATGATACTTACTTGCACGATATCACATGCGAGAGTATCGGTATTCGGACAACCGGTAGCGAGCTCTTGAGGAGCAGGTTTGCCTCGTCATGTTGATCTGCATTGAAGAGCGCGATGGCCTGAAATACGCGATGAGGGAAGAGTATGCGAGGCAAATGTAACATACCTTGATCAATAGCAGAAAATGAGTGATTTCTGAATCCTGGTCCGTGTACATGGATGCAACATCAAATGCTGCCCTCGCATCCAGGACGCGGCCTTTTCCACAGAGGGCAATACCCTTGGAGATATAGCCCGTCAATGAGGGCTGAATCCTGATGGACTATGTCACCGTCGAGTTAGTCCTGTATAAGGCGGCGATGATTCTCACCTTGATTGCGTCCAGAAGGGCGCGTCCCAGTCGTATTTTCGCGCCATGACGAATGACCGATGGGCGTAGGAAGTATGGTTGTTCGGACTGGTGTTGATATCTTGAGTGAGTAGTTCTTCGGCGGTAGATAAGTCTCCATTTAGACATGCAATACGGGAGGTCGTGATGGCTAGGATCTGCACGAAACATGCTCTAATTGTGGTATATATGAGTCAAGAACGGAAACATGCCTTTGAGCGATGGACGTAGGGAGTATGGTTGTTCGCATCGGTATTGATATCTTGCATGAGTAGTTCTTCGTCAGTAGATAAGTCTCTCTCTGCATGCATCGCGGACTGTTGTGGTGGCAATAGTCTGCAAGAAGCATGCTCGATTTGTGGTATATGAGTCAGAGACGAAACATGCCTTTGGATGTATACCCTGAGGTACTGTCCACTCTGAGATCTTATCGTCCCTCCACTGAAGATGTGATTGCCGTCCACGGAGAAAGTGACGCGTATTGGCGAGTGAGTGCTTGAAGACGGCAATGGTTTGTCGATCTGAGAGCTGCCAGAGACGATGTGTCACTAGATGCGGATGCAACGAGTGTGCCAGCAGGATGAATGGCAATGGCTTGGATGTGGTCAGTGTGGCCCGTCCAAGGATCACCGACCTGCTTCCAGGTTTTGTATCCCATTCGCGTATAGTAGGATCTTACTGCCGCCTGTGAGAAGGCGTGTGCCATCGGGCGTCCATGCGAGTGACAGTTTCCTGATTTGTGACCCTTGAATTGCGACGTTTCCTCGTGCCTGAATTGTAAATTTGAATATTGTTGTTGCGATGGCAAGAAGTTCTCCAGACGGAATACCGTACGCAGTGACAAATTGACACTCGATCGGATCTCCTTGCAGCTGCCAGGTTTTGGTATTCCACAGTTTCGTCATTTTTCAAATATGAACCAGTGGCCAGCACTGTTCCATCGGGAGAAAAATCCAGCGAGGAGACCAAATGAGTGTGCTTTGATTTTGGTGAGTAATTCGCCAGTTTCTCCGTGCCAGACGATGACCTCTCCTTGTATCACCACTTGCTATCAATTGCCCATCTCGTGATACCGCCAATCTCCACACCCTTTGCGATGCCCTCCATTTTCTTCAAACAACACCTGTCTTTAAGTCCCACAACCGAAGCGTTGTGTCCTCCGAGCCCGTAACCATCCGACGTTTATCAGGGAAAACTGTGACTCCAGTTATGCGTTCTTCATGGCCTTTGAACCATCGCAGGGGAGTGGTGATTGTAATGAGCTCCGACATTTTACTGGATGTTGATGGTATGGAATAACGGACGAGGCTAGACTTTGGAGGGATTATGTCTCTTTCTCTCAGCTGCAGGGGGTGTATGGTGCGTTTTATGGTGCCTCACAATTGCCTCATTTCAATAGACGCCCAGGACATCTACATAGTAAGGCTGTTCGTGCCCACGCCTCTATCACTCTATTAGGGACGCTCAAAGTTGGGGGCGCTCAGGTCGCCCACGCCTACCGCCTACGCCTATGACCCCTTTGGTCTACCTAAAACGTAGCATACACAGTATTATATAATACGGATATGTACAAAACGAGATGGTGTTGTAAGCCAAGGGGGGTCGTAGGCGTGGGCGGTAGGCGTGGGCGACCTGAGCGCCCCCAACTTTGAGCGTCCCTATTGTCATACCCGCTGTCCTCGACAGTATGCACATCTGCAGTGCATACATGCGTCCGACTCTTGTCTTCGCAGCTTCCAGAATGTATCCCATTGCATCAAGTCGAGCAGTCCGTGCTTTCCATCGTTCGAGTCTGACTGTCTATCCTGCATGAATACCGTTGTTTTTCGTATCTAGCAGCTACTCCAGCTTATCACCACGTTATTACTCTTTCGAACGCATGTATATAGCTTACTGCAATATCACTTCTCCATCCAACAGACTCCCACCCAAGATCCTTGTGTGCACAAGATGCAACTAAATTTCGTGGTACAGCCTCGGAATCTCCTCACTATCGGCACACTGCTAATGGCCGCATCTCGCCGCGATCCCCTCCGTATTCTCCAACACAACACCTGTCTTCAAGTCCCACAAACAACTCAAGCGTCTTGTCAATACGAGCTTGTCATCATACGTTGTCTATCGGGAAAACCCGCGACTGCGCTTGCACCGCTCTCACGATCTTCAACAACGTACGTGCGGTGCTTGAAACGAGCTTCGACATCTTGCTGGATGCTGAAGATGTGGAGCACGGTCGAGGTAGACTTTGGAGGGATTGTGGGCATTTTTCTTTAGGCTGCAGAGGTGCGTATATCGTGCGTTTCTATATTTTTTCACCCCATTGGCTTGCCTTGTGTTTCCTTAGACACCCTAGTAAGACGTGGACCCCATTCATCTCTTCAGGTGAATGTGTCTCCCTTACTGCTCTTTCTCGCTTCATTAATCTTGCAACTAGTCTCAAAGACGATATGATCCTCATATTACAACCTGCTGAAGCCCAAACTTCTCGCGGTCGCCTGTGTTATCTCCTGCATTCAATACCTTCTTCGCCGCAGCTTGCTACTCCATCTCACCAGCACAGGCCAATGATGCATGGACACTCCTACACATGTTATCTGGCATGGTGCCATTGATGTGAATGTCAGCTCAATATCGGAAAATGATGCGCAGCGCAGGGGATTCACTCGCTATTATAGATACTGGTGATCACGTTCAATCATTCGCGCGAATCACGATGTTAGATCGCCGCTCCAAGGTCATCATGAGGTATATAAGGGGTATATGAATGTACATATAAATATGTAAGTGATTTGAAACGTCCGAAATGTTCAAGGAAAGGGCATCTGAAAATTCCTTTATTCTTCAAAGTTACACCACCTCTACTGTCTTGACGCAGTCTATGATGTCGCGAATAGACTCGGAAGTCGTTTCTTCGACTTCTGCAATGATATCATATTCTGATATGATTCTCGTGTATTGTTCGCCGTATTGCTGCGCTAGCAAGAATGCCCTGAAAGGCCGTTTGAGGCGAGCAATCAATCGTAACGCTCGTTCAGGACCAAGCGGCTCGTGCTCTTCAAAGAACCCGCCATGCGGATCTGACGGGGATGGGGGAGGGGATAAATCGTCCATGCTTTCGGTATCGTCCGAAAAGTCAGGTAGTTCGAGGAGACGACGGTCCCAGGGACGGACGAGTAAGAATTTCTGTGCAGTGGGTCTTGCTGGCGAGAACTGGACCAGCCTTTTGTCTGTGGTGATGTGCAGGTCACGAAGCCCCCTTGCCTTCAGGTCATACGTGAAACCTATCTCTTCATCTTCAAGTTGATGGCGCCTCCGCTTGAGTTGAGTGACACGGAACATGATACAAGGCAGATGTAACCGCTGGTTTGAGAAACCGGGGTGGTTTGTGCCGTTAAGCTTGTCATACAATTCTAAAGCCACCGTTCCATCCACAGCGACTTGCAGCAACTCAATAGAGTCCTGAATCTCATCTTCAGACGGGTGTGGCAACAAGAATGTCGATCCGTACGACGTGATATCGGCTGGCAGACAGCTACTGAATTCGGATGATTTGCCAACCCAGTCCAGGACGCTGATGTCACGCGACTGGGCAACAATCTTCTCCAAGAGCCGACCGAGCGCCTTCTGTTTGGTCTCGCCATAGATTACGGGTAAGTGAACGCCGAAGATACCAAATAATGAGTATGCAACGTCTTCTGGCTTCTCTGTGAAGCGCTTCGATGCCCATACGAGTTTCTCGCGGGGATCCTTCATTCCAGGACGGAAGGTGACGTGAAACCGTGAATCTATTCCCGTAACACTCTCCAACTCTTGCATGATAAACTCTTTGTGGTTGTTAGAGTGATCATCAAGATACGGGGTCCAGTCATTTCGGTAGAAGAGAATTATGTTGGGAGCCAGGAATTCTTGGAGTGTCCATCCTCGGGTGATCCAGACACTGCGGAGGAGTGCGCCAAATCCCGACGAAGGCGAGACGTCAGATAGGTAGACGATTGTGAGGGCTGAGTGATGGTACCAGCGAAACATGGAGGTGATAGATTCTGGGAGCTCCACGGTGTCTTCCTTGTTTATGCAGCATGTATCGCTCCACGCCCAGCGGCAGCCAGCATCACGAGCAGTTTCGCAGAACCGCTGCAACTTCTCGACGCTGCCGACCGACTCCAACTCGTACACGCTGTTGCCCCGGATGTCGCACAGTAGCGGCTCCTTCCCTTCCCACCTATGTGACAACATGACATAACTAAAGTACTTCTTCACCACCTCTTTGATGCGCTCCATTCGAAGGTCCGTGCGCTTCGTTATTGATGATAGGAGTTCCTTGTACTCCGTGCTCCTCTCGAAGGCCTCTATTTGTGCCTTTCGTTCGCATAAGCGACCAGTGGAAGTGTCAAGTACACGAATCGGGGTGTGTTCCATGCGAGCACGAATGACTTTTTGGATTCAATTCTACGTCAGATCGAGAGACATACTGCTGACGCAGCTCTAAAGAAAGGGTCAAGCATCTTGAGGATGCGTTGTTCAAAGCTTACCTTGTTGTCGCGCGTCGGTAGAATCGTCCAACTCTGAGAGTATGACTTGGAAGGCTTCGATAGCTTCATCATAGTGTTGTGCGGCATGAAGCACTGCATGCTTCACTCGGTATCCATTAGAGGGACTGAGTTTAATGACCTATCACCAAGATGAACGTTGACTACGAAATGATAGATGCCATCGTACCTCTTGTGCATCGAGAAGTGCATCCTCCCATAGCCTTTGTTTCAACTTTGCCTTACTGCGGTTTGTGAAGATGGCATCGCTGGCTGAATCAAGGTTGATTGCCGCCGAGTATAGCTCAATAGCCTCGTCATAATCGTTCGCGTCGAAGGCGGCATCTCCACTTGCAATGATGTTAGTAAATCCTTTGGCAGCATAACGCTCTCTGCAGGCTTGCTTGAATGCTGAGTGAAAATGCAGGTGAGAAATGGGCCCGATGACATTGATGAAGACTTGCCAGTAGACCAAGCAAGGCAGCTAGCTTTTGTAGCTCCATCACTCATATCCATTATATATCGGTACGATTCGAGGGCTTCTCTAATTCCACCTGCCTGCAGGAGTGCATCGCACCGTCTCTGGTTTGCAATTTGCCACACTGACTTGAGGTCCCATCCGAAGAGCTGGATAGATCACGGAATTAGGCAATGACAGGATTTCCACTTGCATCATATCCACGCACCACAGTAAGGTCCTCATATTCAGAACAAATGGTAGACCAAATGGCGGATTCAGATGAGCCAGCGATGGTGTTGACAGCGAAATCTCCCGCATCTCCGTTACGACCCGCGCCACTCAAGTTATCTAGATAAACCTTATGTAAAGTTTTAATAAATATCAAACGAGAACTGGATTGAGTCGGCAAAACTTACTTCCACGATACTGCAAGCAAGACTATCAGCATTAGGAGAAGCGTCTGGAGGCTGTTGAATGCGGGGTATTGCTTCGCGATGTTGCTTTGCGTTGAATAGTGCAATGGCCTAAAAACCGTGATGAATCAGGAATATGGGAGAAAGATTTGACCTGCCTTTATTAAAAGAAGGATGGTCTTCGAATGTCCATCCGTGAACATGGTCGCAAGGTTAAACCCTTCCATTGCATCCTGGAACTCCTGTTTTCCGCAATATGCGATGCCGCTGGAGAGATACCCTGTCAAGGAGGGCATCGCAACGGACTAAATTACCATAGTTCAGCCTATGTTATAGCGGTGTCCAACAGCGTATCTCACCTTGAGTGCATCATCGAGGGCGCGGTCCCAGTCTGCTTTTCGCGCCCTAACAAATGAGCGATTGGCATACGCGTTGTGGTCGTTATTGTCAGCATCAATCTGTTGTGTTAGCAGTGCTTCAGCAGTATCTAAGTCCCCGTTTATGCATGCATCGCGGGTTGTCGAGTCCATGTCGAGGATCTGCGGGAAATATGGTTTTTGCATTGCCGAGAGTGAAGGATTAAAACATGCCTTGGAATCAAACGATGGCACTGCCCACTGAGAGATCTTTTTGTCAAGACCTCCGCTGAGGATGTACTTGCCATCGGCGGAGAAGGTGACACAGCACACTGTATGAGAGTGCTTGAACGAGGCGATGATTCGTCGATCCGACAGCCGCCAGAGGCGGACATAGTGATCATAAGATGTGGAGGCGACAAGGGTGCCAGTAGGGTTCACGACCAGGGTATTGATGCCCTTACTACTAGGACTAGTATTATTGTAGGCATGACCGACCTGTTCCCACGTTGATGTATCCCACTCCCGTATAGCGGGATCTAGATAGGAGCCCGCTGTGAGCAACCGTCTGCCATCAGACGCCCATGAAAGCGAGTAATTCCATGCTGAATTGAACGCAGCGTGGGCCTGGAAGGTTTTGAGTTGTTCCTTGCTGTTTGGATTCCATATTTGGATATCCCGGATGTCGCGATGGCAAGATGTTCGCCAGACGGGGAATACCGAATGCATTGGACATAATCACCGCAATCGATTGGATTTCCTTGCTGCTTCCACGATTTTGTACCCCACAACTTCGTAGCTTTGTCCACTGAACCAGTTGCCAGCACTTCTCCATCTCGAGAAAAGTCCAGCGAGTAGATTGCTGCGGAATGGGCTTTGATGATTTGGGTGAGTGATTCTCCAGTGTCGACGTTCCAGATATAAGTTCTCCGTTGTGATCACCGCTTGCTATGAATCTCTCATCTCGAGATACCGCAACTGCCCACACCCAGCCGCGATGACCTTTCATTTTCTTCACCGCACCATCGCCTTTCAAGTCCCACAGCGAAGTGTATTATCTCCCAAGGCCGTTACCACTCGTCGTTCATCGGGAAAGACTGCAACTGCATATATAGTGTGTTCGTGAGATGCAGCCACTCGAACTGGCGTGGTCATTTGGACGATGGGTTGAGCTACATTCACCATTTAGTTCTAGGTTGATGGTGAGAGCGGTTAAGCGTCGGTGGACTTGCTGTAGGAACTTTTCATGCCTTGTGAAGCTTTATGCTGAACAACAGTTCCCGTTTTTATAATATTTCACAGCGCTAATTTGTGGGGTGCAGTGCCCTGTCACTACTCTGCCACCGTTCGGGTGTCTTAACTGTGGCGAAACTAGTAATAGGTGCCAGCAGTGCAACGTAAGAACGTAATAAGAAGACCTCCCGAAGCCAGCACAAGCCTCACCTTGCTCCTTCCCGTGCTTGCATATACATATCATTCATAGCTAAAATACTCCCAATAGGACATTCTGCACCGCTATACATGTGCTACCAATGGCATCAGAGGGAGTGCGTACTAATAGTACTTGGTACCTTAACAAGTGCCTATTACACATGATCGCCATGTCTTATCAGACACCATTACTATGAGGCTATGCCTTTGGTCCAAACTTGCAGCAGGGCCCAGGCTCATTGCTGCAGCTTTTCATATTGGGCCAAACACACCGCGCTAAACACCCGGGCCATCATGGTTGTTCTGCATATATCCGGGCACATTTGGAGTGTGTTATTCCTCCCTACTCACCTTGTTCAGGAAACAGACACGTATTCACACCCCTTTGCACATCAGGTCTGTGAAAATTGCTCAGCTCAAGTCTTGTAAAACATCTCCTTCATAGCACACCAAGTCATACAAACTCTCATAGTACGTGTAACAGATACACATTGCAGCCGAAGAACCTCGCTTCCCATGTCGGCAACTCCAACAGAGCTTCAAGTTGCTGTTTGTTCATTGCCAAACAGATTGCGGACCGATTGTTCAGTGACGCAATTCCGACATCATTCCCGTTACATTTTACGAATGGCAGGGCTGACCTTGAAGGCGCAGAAACCAGGGTCAAGAGAATTTTATTTGGCCTATGTGCACAGACTTCTTCCACGGCAGTGTCGCATGCAGTAGATAGGTAACTGTGCATATATAACATAAAAAAACATTGGTTCTATATATGTCTGAATTGTCCTGAAATATATTCTGCGGGTAAATATCATGCTCGTACAGTCACAAGATTTCTAATATATCCTAACGTCCATAAAAACATTAAAAACTTTGGTTCTACATTATATACGTCTGAACTATATTCTCCGGGTATATTATCATGCTCTTACAGTTACAATATCTCCAACATCCTGACGTCCATCATGTGGCGAACAGAAGCAATGTCTTGAACTTGTGCAATAATATGACGATCTGACGCAATTCTCTTGTATTCTCCACCGCGTTGCTGCGCTAGCAAAAATGCGGTGAAAGGCTGTCCAAGGCGAAACAGTAATCGTAACGCTTGTGAGTGAGATTCCGAACGGACCAACCACTGTTCTCCAGAGGATGAACATGATGATAGTGATTCCAGCTCACTCCAATCATCCACGCTCTGCTCGTCGTCTAAAAAGTCAGGTAGCCCAAGGAGACGAGGATCCCAGGGACGGACGAGTAAGAATGACTGTCGAGTGGGTCTTCCTCGTGAGAACTGAGGTAACTTCTCCTCCGTGGTAATCTTCACGTTATGAAGCCCGTCTGTCTTGACTTCATACGTTAAATGGGTCTCCTCGTGTTCAACGAGCCTCCGTCTGACTGCCGTGACAGGGAATGTGATGCATGGCAGATGAAGCCGGCAGTGAGAAAAATGTGGACCGCTCCAGCGGTCCAGTTTTCTGTACAATTTCAAAGCCGACTCGATAACCACAGTGTTCTTCAGTGATGAGACCGATCTCTCCATCTCATCTTCAGATATAGATGGTAGCGTGTACGGTGGGGTTGCATATGAAGTGATGTCCGCAGGAAGACAGCTGTTGAATTTGGATGGTTTCCCGATCCAGTCGAGAGCAGTGAGGTCGCCTGACTGAGTCACAACCTCCTGCAAGAGACGCCCGAGCGCATATTGCTTCGTCTCGCCATACATCACAGGTAGGTTGATACCAAAGATACCCATCAACGAGTATGCGACGTCTTCATGCACGGTGGTGACGCGTGTCGATGCCCATTGTAGTTTCTCTCGGGCATCTCTCATACCGGGACGGAAGGTGACAAGAGTCCGTGCATCTATGCCCGTTGCATACTCCAACTCCCGCATGATCGCGACAGACTGCTTGTGGTTGGGAGAGTGGTCATCTAGATACAAAGTCCAATCACTTTGATAGAAGCGAATGATTTTGGGGGCAAGTAATTCCGGTAATGTCCATCCTCGAGTGTTCCAAGCGCTCTTTGCCATTGCGCCAGATTTGGACGAAGGCAGAACATCCGAGAGATAGACAATCGTAAGCGCTGAATGGCGATACCAGGCAAACATGGAGTTGATCGATTCTTGGAACTCGGCATTATTACTTTTGTCGATGCAGCATGTATCAATCCACCCCCATCGGTACCCAGCCGTACGAGCAGTTTTGCAGAATGACTGCAACTTCGCGACGCCGCCAACGGAATCCAAGTCGTACACCACTTTGTCCTGGATGTCGAACAGTAATGGCTCATGCCTCTCCCACCTATGTGATAGCATGACGTAACTAAAGTATTTCGCCACCACTTCTTCGATGCGCTCTGTGCGGAGATCTGCATGCTTCGTTGTGGATGACAGAAGCTCCTTGTACTCCGCGCTCGTCCTGAAGGCATGTATCTGTGCCTTTCGATCGTATAAACGACCAGCGGGTATGTAAGTAGACGAAGCGGGGCGCATTCAAGTTCGAAATAAATGGTCCTTTCAATCACAGCCTCTGCTTCGGATGGACTGAGATATTGTCGGCGCAGCTCTGGGGAAATATTCAACCATCTGGAGGTATACATGTGCTTTTCGGGGCTTACCTTGTAACTGAGTGTCGGCAGAATTGTCCAACTTGGATAGCATAACTTGGAAAGCTTCGATGGCTTCCTCATAGTGTTGTGCGCCATGCATCGCCGCATGTTTCAACTGGTATCCAAGATAAGAGGAAGGGCTGAGTTCGATGACCTAGGTATTACCAAAATCAGCATAAGCTATGAAGCAATAGATGCAATCCTACCTTTTTCGCATCGAAGAGTGCATCGTCCCATAGCATTTCTTCTAACCTAGCCTTACTGCGGTTTGCAAAGATAGCCTCGGTTGCAAAATCCAAGTCGATCGCCGCCGAGTACAGATCAATAGCTTTATCGAAATCGTGTGCATCCAATGCAGCATCTCCGCTCGCCGGAAGGGCATCTCCGTCGACAGTATAGAGCGCACTGCATCTTTGCTTGAAAACTATGCCAAATGCGAGTAAGATCTGTAGTCTGGTAATACGACTGAAGACTTGCCAGTGGACCAACCAAGGCAGTTAGCCTTGGTCGCTTCGTCGCTCATATCCATCATATATCGATACGATTCATGGGCTTCTCGAAGCATACCTGCCCGGAGGAGTGCATCGCACCGTCTCTGGCTTGCAATTTGCCACAGTTCCTTGAGGTTCCATCCAAAGAGCTAGCAGATCGCGGAGTTGAACATCAAGTTTTTCGGTTGCATTGTATCTACATACCACGACGAAGTCCTCATATGTAGAATGAATGGCTGACTGAGAGGTGGAAGCGATGGTATTGATAATGACAGCGAAGTGTTCATCAGCTTCGTTTTCATAGGCACTATCAAAGGCGTTTATCCCCAGTTGGAGACGTAGGTACGCCTGATATTAAAAGTTCAGTATCAACGACCGTGAGTCTGAGAGTGCTCGGCACTCACTTCCACGATATGACAAACAGGAATATCTGCCTTAAGACAAACGTTATCCAACCTTTGGATGCGCATGATGGCGTGCTCGTGTTGATTTGCATTGAAATAAGCGATGGCCTGAACTTGGTGAAGCAAAGTGAAACACGAGAAAATATTGACGTGCCTTAATCAGGAGGAGAATATGGGTAGTCTTTGAGTATTCGTTGGTAAACATGAACGCGAGGTCAAATGCTTCCATCCCGTCCTCGACCTGCATTTTTCCGCAGAGGGCGATGCCCTTGGAGATCCAACCGGTCAAGGAATCTTGAATACTGATGGACTATGTCACCATCAAAGTGAGTTAGCCTTTCAGAGTCATGATGGGACAGTGTACCCCACCTCGAGTGCATCATCAAGCGCGCGGTCCCAATCGGCTTTTCGCGCCCTAACAAATGAGCGACAGGCATAGGCGTTGTGGTCGTTGTGGTCAGCGTAAATCTGTCGTGTTAGCAGAGCTTCAGCAGTGTGCAAATCCCCAGTTATGCATGCATTGCGTATTGCGGTGTTCATAGTGAGGATCTGCGTGAAGCACGTTCACATTTATCAGAGCCGATGGTAAAAACATACCTTGGAATCGACCAAAGAGTCTTCCAGCATTGGCCAATGCCGATCCAATAACTCCCTACCTTTACCTTCACCACGGATATGCTTGCCATACGTGGAGTAAGTGTCAGAGTACACGCCATCAGAGTGTTTGAAAATGGCGATGGTTCGTCGATCCAGCAACCGCCGGAGTCGAGGGTGGTCCGTGGATGCGGAGGCTACGAAGCTAGCAGTGGGGTCCCCAGTAATAGGGTTGGCCGCAGTATGACTTCTCCAGGGATCACCGACTTGCTGCCACGTTGATGTATCCCACTCCTGTATGGTGGGATCTGGATTGGAGCCTGAAAGTAACGTGTACCATCAGGCGTCCATGCGAGTGAATAATCAGGCTGGATGGGGCGCAGCGTAACTCTGGCAACGTGCGATGCATTGCCTGTTGCTTGTAGTCCATATCTGAATATCCTTCGATGTTGCGATGGCGAGATATTCGCCAGTCGGGGAATGCCGAACACAATGAACATAATCACTACAATCGATGACGTTCCCTTGCATCTGCCATGTCCCTGTGCTCCAGAGCTCTGTTGTGGTGTCCCATGAACCACTCGCCAATACTGCGCCGACTGGAGAAAAGTCCAGCGACACGATCCGTTTGGAGTGAATTCTGATGGGTTGAGTGAGAGATTCACCGGTGTGACCGTCCCATGCAATGAGCTCTCCGTTAGCATCACCGCTTGCTATCAACTGCCCATCTCCCGATACTGCCACTGCCCCCACCCAGGTGCGATGTCCCTTCATTTCCTTCAACACAAGACCTGTCTCCAAGTCCCACAGACAAAGCGTGCGATCTCCCAAGCCGGTCACCATGTGTCGTCTATCGGGGAAGACTGCAGCTACAGATACAGCACATTCACGAGCATCGGGGACTGCGGTTGCAGATACGGCGCATTCACGAGCTTCGAAAGCTCCCACAGGTGTGGTGATCAGAAGGAAGGGGTATGCTGACTGTGCCATTCAGAAGGATGTTGATAGTGTTTAGCACAATTGAGGTAGGCTTGCTGTGAGCAGTGAATGTTGTGGGGACTTACTCCACGTTATACAGAACAAGCATTTCTATTCCGAACCAGCTCAGTTCTTATCGGACGCCTAAGGCGAAGCTCTCCTGGGGGAAAATTACGATGGGCTGATGTAAATTCTGTACACGCTGCCAAATGCTAAATGAAACAGGGCAACCTGGTCCGAGTAGGTCCCGATATAAGTCATATCATACTAATTATGTAGTAGTATTGTGTAATGGCAGTGCCGCAGAACGCCCATCAGTAGCGTAGTCAGCCAATTTCACATCATCGTCACGTTCAGAGCACTTCAGGCACCACTAGGGCATGAACTCTACACTGGCAAGACTGCACTCCGGATCGGCACCGTCGACCTCGAGCAGATGGGCGGAAGCAGTATAATGTTCCAAGGATACACATTTGAACATACTCTCAGAAGACTCAGAACAGGCTGGAAATGAGCAGGTCTCCCACCATAATACCATGGCGAAAAGGCGGAAGACAAGGCCAGCTCAAAGAGGTAGCAACCCGTATTGAGGTCTCAAAATGCATCCTTCACATCTTTGGGTACTTTTCACTAACATCACGGGTCCTGTCATCTCAGGCTGGATGATCCAGTGTTGTTAGGACCTAGAATAAAGTCAACGTTTCGGCATCCGAGACAGGTGGGCGGACCCCAGCAGTCGACAGTCACGCTGCGCAGGCCTGTGCTCTAGTTGCAATTATAGACTCATCAATATTGTTGGTCGATCGAGCTGTTGAGCACTCGCCACACATCAAGTAATCTGTTGTAATCTCCATGCGTGCGATTACAATATGTTGCTATTTTCAGCCCTGCGTCAGTGTGATAATAGAGAATCAAGGCTGCCACGTACGTCCGCTTCCTCCAGGGTAGTACCCAGGGCTGTTGCAGGAATGGAGACACAGACAACCGCCCAATTGAGATATTTGTATTTGAAACAAGGTCAATGTCTATCACAAAATGGATCAATACAACTGGTTTAACCGTTTGTGGGTGAAGAGGCTTAAGAAGCGAGCAGGGGGCCAATGTGAAACAAACCGACCAGGGTCCGGTGCATATATTCGAGCCTCTGTTATCCACTGCAGTACGGTATCAAGTCGTCCACAATTTTCATCCCAACATCACCATCCGACAGCAGAATGTGGGAAGCAGCGGAGTCCATCGCTCGCATGGCAATACGAGAGCCTGAGGCTCGTACAGATACTGTACGTGCAGTCGCAGCTTTCCCTGGTGGACGACGTGTAGTCCAAGTCACGGGCTCGGTAGACAAGACACTCTGCCTGTGGGACTTGAAAAAAAGCGTTGTGTTGAAGAAAATGGAGGGGCGTCACAACGCAGTCTAACTTACGCATTACGGGCAATCGCGGTGTTTGCTATTGAAAGACGGGCAGTTCATAGCGAGCGGGGATTATAACGGAGAGCTTATCGTTTGGGACAAGCGACACTATAATTCTCTCACCCAAAATCATAAAAGCTCACTTCGGGTCGATCCACTCGTTGGACTTTTCTGCAGATGGTGCACTGCTAGCAACCAGTTCGTTGGATCCATGGCGCCGTGAAGCTCTGGAACATCACAACTTGGCATCTGCAATGAAATCTAATTGACTGCCATGCAGCAGTCTACTGCATTCAGTATGCACCATCTGGAGAATACCTTGCTATTGCGACATTCAGGATCCACTGATGAGTCCAGATTTTAATTACGGACACGAAGGAATGCATCGCAAACCTCACGGCTCAGTGCTCACGCTGTGTTCAACTTATCACTCGCATGGATGCCCGATCATCCGATGGTTCACGGCTTCTCTCAGTGAGCATCATTCTTGATATGGGTTTGGGATCCATCAACCTGGTAGCAGGTCGGTGATCCCTGGACAGGCCATACTTATCAGGTGAATGCCATTTCCGTGAACTCTGCTGGCATACTTGTCGCCTCTGCATCCGATGGTAAACACGTCCGCCTCTGGCGACCCTCTAGTCGACGAACCATTGCCATATTCAAGTCCTCCGATAATGTGTATCGTGTCGCATTCTCAATGAATGGCAAGTATATCATCAGCGGGAGTGCCGATAAGGTCTCACAATGGGTAGTACCTGGTATCGCTTTGCTAGAGGATTCTCCCCAGGAACGGGTCATAGAAGTACGTTCCTATTCATCTATTGTACCTCCGTTATCTCATCTCGTTCTAAGGACGTGTTGTTGTTGAAGTCTTCAAGCGAACAGTAACAATGTAAGTTCACGTTGCATCTCCAGCCACTTCGTTTGCTTCCATATTGACTAATAGTCTACCAGCATTCAGCCCTCCTCGACAGGTTGTATCTCCAAAGGCATTGCTCTCTGTGGAACAATGAACCTCAAAATGCGATGAAAGCATTCGACCTCGCGTCCATATTCACCAGAGATTCGCAAACAGTTGATCCTCTCCCTATCGACTTAGTTCAAGGTACGCTTACTATTTCTCGCAGAGTCCCTTTCTCATTGCCGTTTTCAGGCTATTGTGCTTTCTAATGCAAATCAGTACGAGGACGCAATGCAGCGTGCTCAAGAGCTGGTTGTCGCATGAATGCTGACACTCTTGTTTGTCGTACTGTGGAAGTCAGTTTCAAACCATATATCCAGTCCATATATGTTTGACGGATATTTATAAATTTCACACATCAGGCATATCTGCATGTTTCAAATCGGAATCGACGTCTTGGATAGCGCGCGTTACGATGAAACTGACCACTTCACTACCGCTATCAACATCCGCACGTTCTTACCTGAATCAGCCATTTATTCCAGATATGGAGACTTTGCCGTGGTACGTCGATAACTCAACGTGCTTCTCATGCCCAAAGCCCAGCTGTTCGGGTGGGACTTCAGGTCCTTGCGGCAAATTACAAACAAGAATCGGTGTCATGCATTCCTCCATGCGGGTAGACCTGGAGACGTCCTCAAATCGTACCGATGTATGATGGATATGAGTGATGATGCTACGAAGGCAAGCTGCCTTGATTGGGTGTACTGGTAAGTCTTTCGGAACGTCTACAGGCTACAATACTCACTTGTGTTTCACGCCGTGATGCAGCTTTCAAGCAAGAATGCAGCATGCTCTATACTGCTAACGGAGTTGCAGACCTTGCTGTAAGCGGAGACGCTGTCCTTACTGCGGGCGAGTATGACAAGGCTATCGGGACTTACTCGGCAGCGATCGACCTGGATTTTGCAACCTATGCTATTTTTGCCAATCGCAGTAAGGCAAGGTCGGAGAGCGCTTTCATCGAAATCTGGCGCGCTGGAAAAAGCACTTGGAATACGGGGATGGACTGTTCCCAAATTTCTGGCTCCCAAGGTCGTTCTCTTCTACCAGAATGATTGGACCTTACATCTCGATGACCACTCTCCGAACCACAAAGAGTCTCCCCAGATCATGCAGGAGTTGCAAGGTACAACAGGTATAGATGCACGGGCTCTTGTCGACATCCTTCCCGGGATGAGACGCGCACGAGAAAGATTGCAATGCGTGTCGAGGCGTGTCACCACATTGCAGGACATCGCATACCCTCTGTTCGGAACCTTCGGCGTCCAGCTACCTATTGTGTATGGTGAGAAGAAACAAAAGGTACTCGAACGGCTTTTGCAGGAGATGGTAGCTCAGTCAGGGGACATTACTGCCTGACTGTCGGAAGATCTTCCGAGTTCAATAGTCGTTTGCCTGCAGACATCACTTCATACGAAGCTCAACCACACCCTCTGCCATCTAAAACGAGATGCAGATATCAAGTCTTCGTGCTGCGACACTCCGGGGATTTGAAGCTAGCTGTGAAAATGTACAGCATACTTGATAAACTGAGCGCCTCCCGTTTTGTACAACGCCGTCTGCATCTGCTCTGCATCGTATTCCTTGTCAAAGAAGTTAAACAACGCGACCTCGTGAAGACCAATTTACGTATCAAGTCAAGGCCGACAGACTTCGTGACTTGCTAATCTCGACGCAAGACAGGTTTCTTCTGTTTTCGCATGCACGGCCCACTTGACAGTCATTCTTGCTCGTTCGTCATCTTCTCGGGCTGGCTGACTTCGAAGACAACACGCAGGGTTCGGATGATCGTATCCTACCTGGGTCCCCATTACAAGATTCTCCCGAAGAACGAGAATTGGATGATTCAGAATTGATTGATCCAGCGTTGCGATTGATTGTTCGCCTTGAACGACCCTCAAATCGCGTCAGATCACGATATCATTGCACAGGTCAAAGACATCGGTTCCGTTTACGACATGAATAAATGTTAAGACATCTCGTATCCGGATCGTAATATGCTTACCTACTTAAGGACTCTCAGCATAAATTACATCTGTGCTATATATTTATGGCGCAATTGAATTATTCCGCCTGAGGCTGTTCGGCGCATTTCGCGTCAGTTCTTCGCTATCGATTTCTTGGACACAGGCTAACGGTAAATACGCGGTCACGTGATTGTACTATGGGTTCATTCGGTGCGGTAAAATGTTGAATCTGAAGTTTAGCTCGGCGAGGGTGTTGCACCTAGGAAGTTACACTTCGAAGGAGAGCATAAATATAATAAAACGACGACAGCAATCATAAAACAACAACAGTACTAGTGCAAGAAACAATACACTTATAGAGGTACATCCAACCCAAGAAAATCATATGATAATACCTCAAGTCCTGCTGATCAACTTTCTCCTCGCCTGTTCTGAGCTCGTCTCTTCTTGAATTCATAGAATCGCGCTGTTGCAGCCGCCGAGCCTACATACATGACGCATGAATTGATCGTCAGCCATCTGGCACATCGAGCAAAGGAGAGACCAAACACACGCACCTTTCTTCGGCGCACCCCTTCCTATACCCATGAACCACAGAAGAGCTCGCACAGGGAACCATACGACCATTAGCACCCATCCAAAAATCACTTGGAGTGGGCCAACCGCGAGGATGTTGAGTAGTAAGACGACCAAGCGCAATGGACCGCTGCCAGGCGTTCTGTCGGAGACGTAGAGAACGCATCTGGTGCATTCGATGGTGAAGAAGATCGGAATGAGGAAAGAAGCATAGACTGTGCGTGGTAAGTATGAGTCGCAGTCGAGCGGAGTAAAGATTAACAATCACGTACTAAAATCGTTCAGAGCGGAAGTCATGTTGTTACAATAACAAATACTGGATCGAGTCGAGCAGGAACTTTTGAATTACAGACTATAGACAAGGCAAGATGCCTCAGGCCTCAGGATTGAGATGGATGTTAGTGGTGCAGTTGTGATGTACACTCCGTGGATTACAACAGTGGTTCAAGAATTTGTCAAAAATCAACAGAAGTTCGGCCAATTGGAAGCCACCCACAGTTGTCAAATTCCGACGCTTCCATCAACCAAGGTCCAAGATAGGACCTGGAGCTCTTCATACGTTCACGAGTCACGACGGTCTCCTTTCAGTTCTGCAGAACATCCAACATGTTTATGATTTAAATTAATAGAACAAGGCTGCTTTCGGGCGTCATAATTATCCGAGCATTCACAGAAGTACACATCTTGAAACTCTGTTTCGAAGTTATACATGCATTCACAGGCTCTTTCTTTACAAGCGGTCTACGGCGATGTTCACGTCAATGACCGATCAACGATCAAGCTCAATTTGACACTCACTAACGTTGCCGAGGTCACTGCAAGCCTCCTTGACCCGCGCCGAGAGCGTTTTTCTCCTCACGAACCCAGACACGGGGGTCATAGAACTGCAATCAAACATGAATGACAGAAATCTCAGAAAAGATAAGCTAGTAACGAACCTTCTTGTTAGGTTTGTCTGCGCCCTCGGGGTTACCAACTTGAGTGAGCAGGTAATCTTTTTTCTTGAAAACAAAGTCCTGAGAGATAACGGTCAGCCATTGCGCGATCTCCAGGACTGATGGTCAATCGTACCCTGATACCAGCGAGATAAGCAAACTGGGTATCTGAGTGACAGTTTCCGCGTCAGCGACTGAATTCATTGCTAAACCTAACAGACTTACCAGTATCAACGTTCATTTTGACGACACCATGGTCGACTGCAGTCTTGATCTCCTCCTTGGTTGACCCGGAACCACCGTGGAACACGAGGTAGAGAGGTTTCTCGGACTTGCCACCGAGTTTTTGGCTGCTGTAAGCTTGGTGCTTCCCAGCAACTCAGGCTGGAGCTTGACGTTTCCAGGTTTGTAGACGCCGTGCACGTTACCGAACGCAGCAGCAATGCTGAAGTTGGGGCTAATAGAACTCAAAGCAGCGTGAACATCGTAGATGTCCTCGGGTTGCGTGTAGAGGGATGCGTTGTCGACACCAGTGTTGTCAACACCGTCCTCTTCACCTCCGGTGATACCAATTTCCATCTCTAGCCAAATACCAATAGGTGCCATGCGCTTGAAGTACTTGACGCAAGTTGCGATGTTCTCTTCTTTTGGCTCCTCGGACAGGTCAAGCATGTGTGAAGAGAAAAGGGGCTCTTGGTGCTCCTTGAAATAAGCCTCATCGGCAGCAAGCATGCCATCAAACCATTGAAGGAGCTTGTGGGCACAGTGGTCGCTGTGAAGAACGACAGGCCTGATATCCATCGTGGATCAAAATAACATAGATCCCAGGCAAAGGTAAGACTCACACGCCGTAGGCCTTCGCGACTGTGCGAATGTGGGCAGCAGCGATAGCTCCCAGAATGGAAGCTTGCTGGTTGTCATTTGAAAGACCTTTCCCGGCGAAGTAGGCACTTCCACCCTGAGAGACCTGGAGGATGATTGGAGCCTTGATGTCTCTGCGGAGCTGGATATGAGCATTTCGTGAATGACTAAGGCCCTTTTGCTGACCTTGCGGCTTCCAAGACCGCGTTAGCGGTGGATGAGGAAGTGACGTTCTTGACGGAGTTAAGCCAGGAGACTCTGATTGATTTCGTCACTCACTATAGCCTGGTGAAGATATCATCGTTTCAGCAGGATCTTTACCTCCGATAGGGAAGGCACTCACAGGAATGGCAAACTATTGAAGTTGAATCGCAAGGCGCCTCATTAAGATAAAGGATACAGTGAATCGAGAGAAATGTACCTTGTTCTCCTTTGCGTAGTCGAACAACTTGCGAACATTATCTCCAGTTAGGACACCAGCCTACGAGGGCGTCAGTGGATCAGCTTGCCCGATGATTGACTGTACTAACGGGAACGATATCGAGGACACCCATGATGAATCGACGAGAGTGCGATAATAGTAGATCCGGAACAAGATGGAAAGAGCGTCAGAACAGCCTTTAAAATGGGAGCGAAAAGGTACCTTATTAAGCTACCGATGGAGTAGTGAAACGAGTTTGAGATTGATTATAAGCCTCTCCCTCGTCCGATATCACCCATTACTAATCGCAGTGCATACTTACTAAATTAGGGCATAATCCTTGGAAAAACGTTCGATACAACCATACGACATTCAAGTTTTGGAAGTACATTCACTTCGGGATCAACAAGTATGTGATTCCCGGAGACTGTGGTTCTGCAATCTGGTCCCAGGCCGCACCACCGTCCCCCTTGTTTCCTAGGCAGACTCCCAAAGTCCCATAATCGAGCACCGACTTCACACCAAGCCATCCCAGGCTAGTCCCACACTTGCTCTTGGCCGATCTTAAAGCCACTCACCACGGGAAAACACTGAGCTCAACTCGGATTGGTCTGTCCCTTGGCGGGAGTAGAAGTCAGGTGTTAGACTCAAATAATGATCAGCCGTACATATCATCGACGATCGTGCCAGCTGCAGGTTGCGGCCCCGAAGCGGCATCAGTTTTAGAGTGTGAACAAAGTTACTCTTGATGCAGATTACTAAGCCTTGAACGACCCTCGTATTCTCATCACTTGCTTTGATCTAATTGGTCCACCCGGGATACCAGAGAGTGCAGGATTCGGCCGGTCTGTGTGCAAAGTGGATACTCGTGTCCTGTCAGCGAGTTGCACGGATTCAGAAAGTGCTGGGAAGTCTGTCGAGGCTGCCGTACTACGTCACTATCATCCCGCCTGCCTGCCATCAGGATCTTTGCCTCCATCTCTCCTTGTCCCTGCGAGTCTCTCACGCTTCCCCGGGCCTGTCTGTCTACTACTGTGTTTGCCTATTTCATGCGTGTCTGTCAACACTATGCCGTTGTCTGCAGCTCCCAGCCTGTAGCTACCATGTCCTGCCTCAAGATGACTAGAACCGTGACGGCAAGCTGACAAGGATGACGGGATGGCATGACGGTTGACATGACGGGATACGTATTGGTGGCTGACGTAGATGGCAGGGTGGTTGCGATCATGCAGACACCTTTGACCGCCCGGATCCTTCCGATCGCAGACTGCAAGCACACTGGCTTACTGGAGTTCCCATAATCTACATAAATACCGTCCGCGATACTAAAACACAGACTTTCAGTATTACCACCTTTTGTTAAGCGACAGTCTTGACTAAATTACGCAGACACGTCCCCGGACTTTGGCACGCAGTCTGTGCAGATTTTATGCAGACTAGCCATTTCCTGCATGTCCTCCGTGACACGGCTTACCGTCTAACACGCACTGGTTCATCCTGTCAGTTATTATCGGAATCGCGTAGATTCCGTATGGGCGACCTTCTGCCAGCAGCCGACATACAGCACATGGCAAGAAAGGAACAACTATATTTGGACGTCTGCCTAGGGAGCCTAACAGAGCACGCTTCCAGCTGTGTCTGCGGTTAGTGGGTGGGTACTAACAGCATTCGGTATGGCTTCATGTCACGGTGGCTTGCTCATTAGAACGTAATCTGAGCAGCTCGCATCAAATACAGAGAGCACCTGCATGTGATGGCCCACGATAGATTGTCATTGATAGTGCTACTGTGTATATCTCAATTATGAGAGTCCTGATGGTGCTATTCCATGAACACTATATAACAGGGGGAAATAGCCTTGTGCTCATATTCTGTGCTTCCTGATACGAATTCTGCGCTCCAATTTGAGCTGGGGTTAACGAGTCATATGTCGGGCAAAGTTCGTCCCATGCATCTGTGTACACCATCAGTTAAAGCGGAGCATAAGATGGACAATCGAATAGTTACGGGGTATATGGCCCAGATGCCGCTGAGTATCCGAAGGACTTTCGGCCATGATTACAGCGAAACCACTAGCAACACGTGTCAGATTACGGCTGTCGAAGATGTCAGTGCTCAAGACACGTACGCGTCAAGATGCCAATCAATATGACTATGTAAATGATGAGATCAGTGCTAGTGCGAGATACATCAATATCGCAGTGCTTACCAGTGCAGGAACCACGGGCCGGAATTATCTGTGACCCATCTAATCACCATCTGATCGCCTGGGAGCCCATTGGATACTACATCCCTGCGTACGGGATTGACGTAGTTAAAAGAACTGCTTCCGGCGCTCTGTACGACATCAAAGCTATGCTATCACTACAGTGAGCAATCGGATGTCAACTGGTAACCAGAAATACTTACACCGTGAAGGTGAATCGGATGCTAAGGAGATGGATGCCATGAGATGTGTGTAACGTGGTGAACGTGCGGGAAACTTACAGGACCAGCAGCAGCAACAGCTGGCATCGTCAATTCGACGACCTTGTTAGCCCCTAGAACATATACACTTCCTGTTGGAAGGAGATCGGTTGCATGCTGTGCGCCGCTGAGGATCTGAAGTAATGCGGGCACCGTGGGAGGGATGTATGGGGTGCCGTTGACCGAATATACCCCAGCATTGATGTTGACCACCAAATGCAAGTTGATGTCTGCCTTTCCGTACTCTGGAATCCCAGGTGCACCAGGATTGATGAATGCATGCAAATTGCTCTCGGAGAGCGGGTTGGTACCGGTGGTCTGGTTTGTAGTAGGCTCCGCAACGGGTGCACCGTTATATCGCAAGATAGCAGAGTTCTGGTTGTTGTTGAAGTTGTTCAAGCCTGGAGTGTTTGGGAGCGCCCGTATCCAGTAGTTGTCGACCGGTTGGTTCGCGACGAGTACAACAGAGTATCGCTGTCCAGCAAGTATCTGAAGCGAGTCCACGAGGAGGGGCTGCGTCAGTTCACCGTCCGCTTCGATTACCGTCAAGTTATGGTTGTCAATGGAGAACGTAAAGGTGGGATCGCAAGACATTGCTATAAGGCGTAGGCGATATCTTTTCCCGTACTCGATACTGACCACTGCAAGGTCACTCAGTGGTCCCCCTGGATATCTACCGAGACCGTTAATGAGTATGGAAAATGCATTGGTGCCAATTATATGGCCTAAAACAGGGGCAGCTGTATGGTACCTATGATCAATTGGTGAGCGCAATGCAAGTCATAAATAGTTCTGAGATGTACCAGTCAGCAAGAGTGATGACGGTGGTCTCTGTGAATGTTTTACATAAATGAGCGAATTCATGACTATGATAGTAGTCACTGTACCGTCGTCAACGTCGTATAAATAGGATAGGGGATCTTCAGGATCATAGATAATAAAACCTCCGCGGAGTCCATCGCTAAAAGGGTTCGGATCATTGATCACGGAGTTAAACATTTCTTATCAACATACCACTGTTGGACCGAGTAATGGCTATGATACCAGAAGGTGCCAGCCTGATTCCGAGCCTCGAAGGAGTACAGGAAGGAGTGATTTTGCGCAATAGGGCATTGAGTAACGAACGAGACTCCATCCGCATAGTTAGTCCTATTCTGCCTGATTCCGTGCCAATGCTAAACAGACTCGGATAAGCCTGATGCATGAGTACCGAACAGATGTTTACCCACCACACTGGTGCTCAAGAGCATTTCATTGTCGGTGAGTCTGTTCACGACATTGATATCGAAGTGTTCTCCCTTCAACTATAATCAGTGTCTGATGGCTCGATCGAATTGGCATAAAAAGGGACCTTTCTGGCTGTGATGATTGGACCCGGAAACGTTCCTCCGGCAAGCGTTACACTATATCAATGATTAAGATGCAAGGAACACGGCAAAAGACAAACTCACGAGCGCGCGAACCCGTCTGGAGATATGACTTTATTAGAAATTACCAAGTCAGTCTTGGGGCCTAGTGTATATGAACGAGAGTTGAGTGAATAGGGATTGGATCGTGAGATGGTGGATGCAGCAGATACTAGATGAAACCATAGCATGAAAATGACATTAAGGAAGAGCATTGTATTGAGTACAAAGGGATGGAAAGCACTTGATCATAAGGACTCACCTCAATGTGGTTTGCTCTTATAGAAGTCTTCATTCTAACTTCGGCTGCGAGTGACAAATTTCACCGTAAAAAGGTTACAGTCGTGAAATGCCAAGCCCCGGCTAGTTAATTGGTGCACAAGCCCACAGCCCGCCATGCCAAGTTTGACCATAGCACTCATATGGGAGTAATGAGAACCGGGACGGAAGTTCGGAAAGATCAGCCAAGTGGCACCGAGTCACTTTCAGTTGGAAAGTTCTGGCTTGGAAGGACCTAATTTATCTATGGTCGTCATTCGGCAGATTGAATGATGACTTAGATTAGCCAGTTCTGGTGCCTGTAGGGATTCATATACATCAATTCAAACCAGCGGTAGAACACTGGAAATGAAGTTCAATTGTTCTACCTGGCCGCTCGATTGAAGCTAACCGTGCGCACCACGTGCATCCCCTGACAAGTGTCCTCGGCTCCGTGCCTGACTTCACGCCACCATGCAATGCAACGGAATTTCAATCCGTCTCGTTTGGGCGCGATTTGACTGATCTTGCTCGTTTGATCAACAAGTCACCGCGAGAGTCCAGAGTGGGCGAACACAATGCGTTGAGTGGGTTCTATCCGATTTCAGGATGCGAGCAATCCGGAGAGCGTTTTGTTGTTATCATGGATGACGGATCTTCGCCGATGCATGAGGATCAAATTATTCGACACGTTTCTCGAACTGGTCTCTTGCTGAGTCCACGCGAACCGCATCATCAATATGTAGTAGTCGCTTACTACTACCGAGCTCCTGTAAGTAACAACTGTCAGACACCAGGAACTGTGATGTAGTGGATGGGGCTGTACAATGTACCGGGCCTGTTGGCAGTGAACGCTTGTCAAGGCGACTTTGGTTGGTTTGGTAGGGTGTTGCATTCTTGATGTATAGGAGCGTATAGGTTTAAGGTTGAGGTTTGTACCTGTGCACGGAAGTATGGAAGCCAAGACTGCCGCAGCCACGGTGGACTTTGGCCCCAGAGTCTACGTGGAGTAACCCTAGAATGGTTAGATCCTTGTGGATATGTGATGCCGACTAACCAGCGCGGTGACCGGTCCCAGTAGCCCTTTTCATGTTCTCCATATGCTTTATTGTACTATATCAGGTGAAAACTGATATAGAGGAATGAGCTGTCGCGGTGCCGTGGCGTGCCTCTGCCGCCAGATCGAAAAAGTATCTCACAAAGCGTTAGGTCGGTGAGTATTGGGTCCCTGGCATGCTCGAACGTCGAGGGAACACTAGTGGAGTAATGTGGTAAGCTTCAAATTTTCCTGTCCTTAGATATTGTTCAGAGAGAAATAATACGAATTTCCGGCAGCATGCATTGACCGTTGTCATGACAAAGGAAGGTCAAGGAATTCGGCCTGGTATAATAATATTACCGGATATTACCGGGGAGAGTTAATTATAGCGGTTCCTATTCTATGTAGAGTAAAATATGCTAAGTAGAGATTGTCCATCAGTATGCTACCCCAGTATACCCCCTAAGAGATGAAAATGATTAGGACGTTTACTACTGTATCTAAGGAAGTGGTGATGGCGGGAAGAGAAGTGTGCTGATTTTGGATGCTTCTTCATAGGACTCCCGACCTCCGCCCCTAACTGTGAGGGTGATAAAGAGTCAAAGGCCGGACATAACTGATGCCAATCCTCTGTGAAGCAGTTCAGCCATGGAAGTACATTTTACCCGTATATTTCGTACCTGGAACGGGGTTCAAATGTGCGCGGGTGTCAGAGGGACTTTCGGCCATTACCACCGCAAAACCGCTGGATTTAAGGATTAGCTATTTCTTTCACGAGGACGTGGACAAACATACGCATCGAGGTGCCAGTCAATGTGACTGTTGGTTCGGGGTTAGTATCCTTCTTGACAACTAGATCAAATGATGGCATACCAATGCAAGAACCAGGGGCCAGAATTGTCCGTCGTCCATCGGATCACCATTTGTTGGTCAGGGGTGCTGCCAGCACTGACTACATCGCGACGAACGGGGTTCACATAATTGAAGGTTCTGCTCCCTGCGCTCTGTACGACATCGAAGGAATGCTAATGATCATCAGTCAGCCTGAAACCATGCCGTCGAAGTTACAGCTAACTTACCCCATGAAGGTGTATGGGATGCTGGTACAAGTATGTCAGCCACATAAGAGTTGAAGGAAGGGGAAACACGTACAGGTCCACCTGGACCGCTTGTTGTCAATGTCAACTCTACCACTTTGTTAGCCTCTAGAACGATGACATTCCCCTCTGGAAGCAGCTCAGACGGTTCTCGAGCTCCGCTGAGAATTTGGAGTAGAATAGGAATGGTGGGGGATTGGAAAGTGACATTATTGACATAGAATGAGCCGTTGGAGTTCTTAACCGAGAGGTTGAGGTTGATGTCTGCCTTCCCATACCCTGGAATGCCAGGGGCGCCGGGATTGATCAGAGCATGCAAGTCAGTCTCATTCAATTGGTTCTTGGATGCCGTATAGACCGTGGTCGGGTCGGCAATCGGGGCGCCTTGATAGCGCAGGATTGCAGAGTTCATTCCTCCCTCGTAGGAGGCTTTTGTCAAATTAGGAAGACTGCGCATCCAGTAATTATCCACCGGCTTATCAGCTACCAGAACCACAGAGTAGCGCTGGCCCGCAAAAATCCGGAGCTCATCTACTACCAGGGGTTCGGTCAGCTGTCCATCTGCTTCGATGACGGTCAAGTTGTGGCCATCGATGGAAAAATGGAAGCTGGGGTCGCATGACATTGCAACCAGGCGCATGCGATATCGCTTTCCTGGCACGACATTGATCACAGCGAGATCAGACATGGGTCCGCCAGCGTATCGACCGAGTCCGTTGATGAGCGAGGAGTTGGCGGTCGTGCCTATGATGTGGCGCAAGACCGGAGCCACAACGTGATACCTAGTGACACTACACTGAGCAGGAAGATCACCAATATGCATGAGACTCACCAGTCAGAAAGTGTGATTACGGTACTCGCTGGCAACAACAGATGGTCAGCAGAGGGTAAATATGAATCAGTTGTTCGCTCACCATCGTCGACATCATACATATATGCCAAAGGGTCATCAGGATCATAGATTACAAGGGGTCCCCTCAGACCATCACACTGTTAAAGAGGTCAGTCCTCTACTGCATGCGCAAAGTTCGAGTGATACTTTCATATTGGACAGAATAATGACTATGATACCAGTAGGTGCCTGCCTGATTCGGAGCGGAGAAAGAGTGTAAAAAAGAGTGATTTTGCGCAATGGGGCATTGTGTAACGAAGGATGCCCCATCGGCGTAATTCGTCCCATTCTGGAAGATACCGTGCCAGTGCTGCAGTAAACAAGGTTAATCGATCGACAACGTGGATGATTTAATGATGCTTACGACACTAGTACTCTTGAACATCGTTTCGTCTTTGAGCTCGTTGACCACCTCGATGGCAAAGTCATCTCCCTGATGTGAGGTCAGCACTGGTGCACGAAAGGAGAGATCAATGGATGTTCACCTTTTGGGCTGCAATTAATGGTCCAGGGAATATACCGTCAACTAGAGTTGCTCTATTCAAGATCAGCAGTGATCTTCGCGTGCCATTGCAATAGACTCACGAGCGTTCGAAGCCATCAGGAGCGATGACCTTATTACCTATGGTTATTCTAGTCTTGGGGCCAAGCACTGCTGGCTGAGATAATGGGTAGGACTGCGAACGAGATGCTATCGATGCAGCGTTGATTGATGAAATGAGGGAAACGAGTAAAATAGGAATAAGCATTGTGAATATTTACAATAGGTAGCACTCTCTTCACCCGGGAGAGTAGTGGGATGCAGGATAAGATTGTGATGCATACTTCTCGCAGCTTTTATCTCGCAGGGAGGTAGATAGACTTGAGTGTTTCCCGATTCAAAGCTGTTGTTGCCTCGATCAATTCTCCAGGCCCGGAAATGGTTGCTCAGCGATCTTCAGCGCCTTGGACATCTGAATACCGACAGTGTACTGCTCGTGGGGTTAGAAACTGTCTGCCGACACCTTGAAGAATGGTGGCGTACCATGAAATCATGACTCGGATGGCACAACATAAACTAACTCAGTTAGAACAGCCAACAGACCTCAGATATCCCATAGCAGTGCGAATGCTAGGTTGCTACAACCAAGACAACTCGTCAAGTATAGGAATGCCGATAGCTAGTGACCCCTAGTCAGGCGGCCATACGCTGTGGGCGCTGACCTGTCCAAGTGTCTTAAAACCGATCAAAAGTGTATATTGATGTTATCTGTGTTAGGCAACGTGTATAATTGTAATGATCACCTTGACAGAACGGGTGACATAGCGGGGATGTTATGCTAGCTTCTAACCCATACTGTCACTGTGAGAAGCAAACCGAGTGATGTACTAGTAGCTCGTCAAAGCGCTGATCAGGCAGTGACTAGGCGATCCAGGAACAGAGCATGCTGTGCCTGTTTCGTAGTTTCATCCCCGTCCATTAACGATCAAGAACGTGTCGTGTGTTCCAGATCATCTTGGGGTAGTATATAGGTTGAAACCATCAGTGAGTGCTGATTGCTAAGCTGAAATACATGTTAGCTTGTTGTAGACCTAAGATACTGACAACGGTTTTATCGTGCGGCTATATTGCAAGATTGCCATTTCCAGATTAAACGTCGCCTACTTATGGGCTAGATTAGCTCGCAACACAAACCAGTGCATTGTTTCACACAGACCTGAGGACAACATTGGCCGGGACGACAATTTCCGAAGGTGTTGCACGAACCGTCACACAGAATGGGACACTATAGCAAGTCACGGTATACCAAGAGGTACATTAGTGATATCACGGTAATTATGTTGTGAAAAGGTAATGCGAGGGCGGTATTCAAAGCGGATTCTTTCCTCAAGGATAGAAAACCATGTGATGACTCCAAATGGGAATGGTTGTACAGTTGAAATGCTCATAATGCATACCGTTGGGATCGCCAAAACGTTAGGTCCTGTTTGGACAGCGAATATTATAATTCAATTCAAAATTCGACCATCATGTGACACTACACGTAAGCCAGCTGTGAACCTCGGGTTCACCGTGTCGAGTGGCACACTAATTCCATCACAATGTCTGATAAGTCTGGTACTGGTTCTACACGCTCCCTTCGGTCTCAAGGTCCTGCTGATAAGAAAGCTGAGGGGACTGGCACATCCCGCAAGGCTGCTGCGATCTGGACAAAGGAGGAGGAAACAGCATTGCTTGAGTCTCTTCTGGGCGCTCTTTCTTCCTCAGGTGATGGTGGCTTCAAGGCACCTGCTTTCAATGCAGCAGCAGAAGATCTGAAGAAGAAATTCCCTGATCAAAGGGGTGCAGTAAAGACTGGGACAGTGTGCAAGAACAAATGGACATCGGTATGTTTACATAAAAGAACTCAAATTTCTTATCGGCGCTGGCACTAACATCAGTGCAATATCTTTCTAGTTGAAAACATTGTATAATGCTGTAGTTGATATCAAGAATACATCGGGATTCACATGGAGTGATGAAAATGGGGCAGGTATTGCATTGAAAGATGATGACGTCTGGGTCAGATACATCAAGGTGAGTATCGTACAAAGGAGCTCTAATACATGTACTCAATGTCATCTCTTTTGGCAGCACCATCCCACCGCAAAGCCCTTCAGGAACAAAGGATTCTCCCACCTCGCCCTTATGGAGCAGCTGGTTTCTAGTCAGGGGAAAGGCAAATACGTCTTCCGACCCCATTCCACCAGTACTAGTGCCGCCCTCAACTTGAATCCCACACCAAGTCCCACCACATCTACTACCACTGGCTTTATCGTCCCCCAGACCCCTAACCGTAATTTCACCACCATGCGCACTCCAGACACAGGCTTACTGGCCAGTGCAAATTCAAGTCAGGGTATGGATCCGGAATCCATCTCACCATCTGTCCCATCCACCTATCTTTCTCACTCTGCTGGCTCCTCAGTGGGAGCATGGACAAGTGTCAGCGATACTAGTGGAGCAAAGCGCAAATATAGCGCACTCTCTCCTGAAAGCGCTGCAGGCTCCAGTCACTCGAAACGGAGTCGTCCTCCATCTGCAACGCTGAAAGTTCAGCAGGAAGGCGCGGAAAGTATGAAGGATCTTGTCACTGTAGTTCGTGAGATGCAGAAGAACATGGGGCTGTCAGCCCCCCAGCAGTTACCATCACCACCCCAGCAAGTTTCAATGGCCGGGCTCGTGCAGGCTATCGCCCTCCTCAACCAATATGCTAACAGCGATCTTTTTGAAAGTGTTGAAGAGCAGCTGGCTATCGCTAACTATTTAGCGGATCATGAGAGCCAGGCGGTCCTTTTCTGCTCATTAAATGAGCAGACAAGACGTGCCTGGTTGGAGCAGAAGCGGCGCCAGCTGTGTGATATGCATGATACATTCATTGTCGTTTACCAAATTACATGATAGACTGTTGTGTACTACGTACTAGTACTTTGAACTTCGATCCCTATGAAAACTGTATAGCAGGCTATTCTACAGTTACAGCAGCCCCCGACGTGCGCGCTCCGCAAGATAATCGGTCCACATCGCTGCAGCGATTCCATCTCGACGGTTGTCTGCCTCCCTTCTCTCCCCAGCATCTGGCTGTCCTTCTGAAAGTGTGCCCAATACCGCACCATGAGTATCATCATTCTCCGCGAGATCATAATCCTCCTCGGGGTCGAAGAAGTCGGGATCGTGCTGGCGAATGAAGTTGTGGATAGCGCAAAGCGCTGCTGGGATCCGTGCTTGAATCTCCATGCTGTATTCTGGCGCAACCTGTAAAATCCGCCACTGACGCTTCAGGACTCCGAAAATACGTTCAATAACGTTGCGTAGCGAAGCATGTCGTAGATTGAATAGCTCTTTAGGATCTCTGGGCCTGTACATATAATTTAATCACACTAAGTACTAAGGAGACTCAGAGAAAACTCACGCAAGGTTCGCCTGACGCCACTCCTTCAGATGATAGCGCACGCCTCGATAAGGGATCAGTAGTGCGTCACAAGTGCCAAAACCGGCATCTGCGAGAAGATATTTCCCTGCAGGCATGTATAAGTCGGTTTTGCGTGCGTCATTCCAGAGTGATGCGTCAGCGACTGAGCCATCCCAGCCACAGAGAGAATATGTAAAGCGAAACTGGAAATCGCAGATGAACAGACAGTTCTGGGACAAGAATCCCTTTCGGTTGCGCAGGACGACATGGTCGTCGAGTGATGCGAATGCACGGATGTGGGTGCCATCTATGGCACCGATGCATCGATCAAAGAACCGGAATGACGGGTTGTCATGTATCATTGCGGAGATTGGTGTATTTTCGTTAGGAAACTTAACTTGCGATGTGTAGAACGGATGGGATGAAAAGAAAAAGAGCATCCGCTTGAAATATCTAGAACATGGTCATATTAAATGAATTAGATCAATAGATGTGAATGTACTACCTTGTTATGGTGTCTGGAGAGTGTTGAAACCTCTCCCCAACGAGGCGAGATGAAAGTCCAGTCACACATGTGTAAAGAAAGATACCAAGTTGCTCGTCGACCGAGATGCCATTGCGCGACTGAACAAATCCATGCTTGTGAAGAGTCTGCACCAAGCTCTCAAAGACTTCAAGATGGACGCCAAAATTATGTTTGATACGATCTGGGTGACCAGTAATCAGTTCAATCACCCATGCCTTCCCTGTTAAGATTGATGTGTGGTATGGCACTTTTTCAGCGCGGGATGTAAGTAGCAACTTGTAGTAGTAGGTGATCTGAGCGATAGCGATTGTTATCGCAAGAAGAATGAGGTGTTTCCGACGCAAGTCACTTTGTGCTTCGAGGTCCATGCTTAGTTGCGGTGATGGTTGCAGTGCAAGATCTAATTCAGTAGTATTAAGTTAATCAATAATCAGAATCAGTCGGAACAGTCGGCGGAATCTAGGTCACCAAATACATCACGTGCAGTGTCACATGATGGTCGAATTTTGAATTGAATTATAATATTCGCTGTCCAAAACAGGACCTTATGCATTATGAGACATATGCAATAGCATATGTGTCACACTATTGTGACGCATGTGACCTCCGCCAAAAGTGTGACAGAAAATCGTCCATAGTCCTACAGAAGTACATGTATTATACCGAGAAGAATTGTTCTAAAGAAGTTTGTCTAGCATTAAGTAGTTCTTCGCGTCGTAGGTTCGCGCGAAACTTTCGAAGTTGTGATGATAAATCAAGTGAAAATTGAGGATCACCATATTGCATGCATCCAACTTCAAGCTGCTGGCACAAATCGAGAATATTTTGACGAGTGATTGATGGATCCGCTTCGTCGTCGTCGTCGTCATCAGAATCAACCTCGATAACTTCACCATTTGCAACGGCAATTTCGTGGCGGACCGTGTCTGCAATGGATGAGTCACCACCTTCAAAAGCAGAGAATTCTCCCTTATCTCTCTCCTCGGCGGGGTCCAGAAGTTCATCAATAGTTGGCAAGGTACCGAAAATGCGATTGCGTGCTTGGAGTTCTCGGACTGATTGCATAAGCGCAGCTTCGGTAGAAGATAGCTGGGCAGCTTGTTGTGAGCGCGCGGGAATACGAATTTTGAGGCCGGTACGACGAGATGCAGCTTGCATAAGTGCATCAATGGCATTTAAAGCCATCTCCACATCTCCTTCAGCATCCATTACAGCTTTGAGGGCCGGTCTCCAATCAGAATCTATGTAGCGCTCGCCAAGAAGAGCCTGTAGCTTGTTCTCCGTATTGGGAAGGGACATTTCGGTAGTTGCGAATTTGTGGACGATGTTCCACGCAAGTGGATCCGTGTGAGGCCGTGTGTCAGCGTTAGTCGTTGGATCACTGTGATAGACTTGAGCACCCAAAAAAATGAGGTCAAAAGATGACTTACACTTGAATGTCAGTGTGATCCCAACAATGTTTGATGGTTTCGGACGTGACAGCATACCATGCTTGCTTCGCCATTGTCATGCCTTCGAGAATATTAATTTTATAAATATCCCGTTCGCCAGCTTCGTCAAGATCAATAGCACGCGCGCAAAAATTACGGCGATATAGTGCCTTGAAGCATCGGATGATTCCAGCATCGCATGGTTGGACAAATGGTGTCCCGGCTCACACATAATTACATCAGCGTATATTCTCACGACCATCACTTTGCTTTGTTGTGGCAGTCGGCGCGCTAGAGTCCTTGCTCGTGGACGATCACATTATAATCTTCGTTTATATCGGAATTACGGTAATATGGTATGTTCTCTAAAACATGCAAATTGGGCTTTCATTGACCTTGTTTATAGGGCATTCCCGCACTGTTCCGTTGGTTGAGCAAGAAATATCCGAAAATTGGTGAGCAACCGGTGCTTAACTGGTATTTGCTTGGCTAACAGCTACCAGTATCATCTGTCATTGAAGCTGAGGAGGAAGTTCTCGATGCAGCTGGAGATCCTATCAAACTTTCCGTTGACATCACACAACCTAACCCCAATGGTGAGGAATTCGACAGCTTATACCTGGATATGAACGGTATCGTGAGTGATAGTAGTAAATACGTTTTTCGTGCTGACCATCCGTACGCACAAAGGTTCATCCTTGTACTCATCCCGAGGGCAAAGTACGCATACTTCGTTCTATAAATTTGCTTTACTCCCTGACTCGTTCCGCAGCCGGCTCCCGAAACGGAGGAGGAAATGATGCTTGAAATTTTCAAATACACTAACAGAGTGGTTAACATGGTACGGCCGCGCAAACTTCTTTTCATGGCTATTGGTGCGCTTTACATTTATGTTGTCTCATACCACGAACTTACTGCAGTGTGCAATTAGATGGCGTTGCACCTCGTGCCAAGATGAATGAACAGCGAGGTAGACGGTTCAGGACTGCTCAAGTAGCAAAAGACAAGGCGGAAGCTCATAAACTTGCTGTCGCTGAGTGGGAAGGTACGTCGTTCTCAGAGCCAATCTATGCTGTGTTTCTGACCGATTTCATCATTGCAGCTATGGGTAAAATTATTACTGATGACGAGAAAAAGAAGGAATCTTGGGACTCTAACGCTATCACACCCGGTACGCCGTTTATGAACCTTTTAACAGCATCGCTACGGTACTGGGTTGTGGAGAAGATGAATGCCGATCCAGGGTGGAAAGACGTACGTAGTGAACATTTTCTAGGAATCCTTCTGACTCATTTCTGGTATAGCTGCAAGTCATTATCTCGGATGCAAGTGTGCCTGGAGAAGGAGAGCATAAGATTATGGACTTCATACGCAGACAACGCACAAATCCCGGTCATGAGCCTAATACTCGACACGTAATTTATGGTTTGGTGGGTTGCCAGTGATTTCCCGCTATCGTGTTCTGTGTTATTGACCGTATGTTCAGGATGCTGATTTCATCATGCTCGCCCTCGCGACCCATGAACCATATTTCCGAGTACTGCGGGAAGATGTATTTGCCAGGACAAAGGTTCCGGGTGCCGAATGTGTGGACAAGAAGGTCACTATGCCGCTCAATGTACAGCACTGAAATCAGAGATTGAAAAGCCTCCTCCACCGGAAAAAAAACCGTTCATTTTCCTCGATATCGCCATTCTGCGCGAGTATCTGGAATCCGAGTTGAATGTGAACAATACGCCCTTCCCTTTTGATTTGGAACAGGCTATTGATGACTGGGTGTTACTGATATTCTTTGTCGGCAACGATTTCTTGCCGCATTTGCCGTCACTTGAGATTCGCGAAGGAGCGATTGATACTCTCTTGAGGATCTGGAAGATGGAGTTGCCCAGAATGGGTGGATATCTGACGAACCACGGTCAACTAGTGCTTAGTCGTGTGCAGATTATATTAGAGGGACTGGCACGACGAGAAGATGAGATTTCCGTAAGCGACAAGAGAGTGAGTATCTATGATGTGATCCGTCAACGCCTTAGAAACTTACCATATCTCAGCTGAGCAACGCCAAGATCAGAGGCGAAACGTCATAGATTGAAAAGTCTGAGTCTGGAGAGAACGCCAGGCGATATTCAGTTCGCCGTTCCGTCTGCGAAACTTGGTCTGACTGCATCCACTACATCATTATCATCTCTTCCTCAACGTGCAGATAATGCTTTTGCTGCCAAGGCCGACTCTATTGGTCTCGGAGCGCCGCGTAATGCTCAGTCTCTTGAAGTCGCTCCAGTTTCAGCGCAAGCACTGGCTGGTTCGAATCGTGATGTAGTTGCCAATCGAGCTGCTATACGGATGGCGAACATGAGTGCTGCAGAGATGCTCAAGGCTGAGCTATCTGGACTCATTCCTGTGAAACAAAGTGCTTCTGCTCCTAAACCTGAGCCGGTTGTTCCTACTCCTCCACCCAAAACAGACGCTGAGCTTATGGATGGCGGAGATATTCCGAGTTTGGGAATGCTTCATCAGCACTTGAATTTGTCGATGATGGGGCTGGTGACATGGATGTCGAGCCCAATGATCCTGTAACCTTCCAGCTGATGAGCCTGTAACACCTGTCGCTGGTGTCAAGCGGAAGCTCGAAGATATCGAGGGAGAGGATACCGATGACGTGGCTGGCATTGATGAGGAGTCGTCTGAAGATAACGAAGATGCGTCTTACGCCCTGGTAGTCAGGCCGATGGCTCAGTTGAGCAGGCCGATAACGTGAGGTATGAAAAAGCTGTGAAATTATCCAATGCTGTGAATAACATTTCCTCAGATTGTATGAACCCGGGTATAAGAAGCGATACTATCAGCAAAAGTTTGGCATATCAGAAAATGATAATGATTTCGTAGAAAGTGGGCACTTTTGTTATCGATTTCTGCACAAACTGGCTGACTCTGCTGTGCAAAGGCTAACAAAGCACTATGTAGAAGGTATCGCGTGGGTTCTGCATTACTACTGTCAAGGGGTGAGCTCCGTCCGCCGATTCGCCTTTATTTGCTGACTCGGTAGTAGAACCCCTCATGGCAATGGTATTATCCATATCATTTTGCACCTTTCGCGTCGGACTTCGAAGGTTTGGAAAACATGCAAATCGACTTTACTCTCGGACAGCCATTCAAACCGTACGAGCAACTTATGGGTGTTTTTCCCCCTGCTAGGTACGTCCACATTGAGTAATAATTTTGCTACGTAGCTCACCAGTATCGTCAGTCGCAAGCACATACCTGAAGTCTTCCACGATCTCATGACAAACGAAGAATCTCCGATTCATGATTTCTACCCATCGACTTTCCAGATCGATATGAATGGGAAGAAGATGTCTGGCAAGGTGTTGCTCTCTTGCCTTTCATAGACGAGAAAAGGTTATTAGATGCCATGGCCGAGCACTACCTAAGCTCACTGAGGATGAGGCCGAAGAAATAGCTGGGGTCAAACTGTCATATTTGTCGCTGATGAACATTCAAATATCCATTCTTCGAGGGATTGTATGGTAAGCGCAAGGAGAAAGAGGTATGCCGTCAATTCGACCAGAGCCGTTTTGTTACTGACTACAATACTCAGCCCCAACCCATGCCTACCAACCTGTCCAAGGGCATTAGCGGTAGTGTTTACCAAACCCCGATTGTTTACCTGGCTCGACGTATTACTCCCCTTGAGTTCCACGAACCTGCAAGATATCAAAAATGATCGTTGTCTCTCCGCGTTATACTTCTTCCCAAAGCAACTCTCTCCCCATCGATCGATGTTTCTTCCAGGTTATAAACCTGCGAGACAGCTCACTGGCGAGGATCTAGCTCGGAGGGGCCGAGGACATGGCAGAGGGGGCGGTATGGATCGCGGCGGTCGCGGACGAGGTGGTATCAGAACGGCTCTTACAACAACGGACATGGGTATGGCAGCATCCATGGCCAATCGCAAACTCCGACGTCATACGTCTCCTCGTACACCACCACTCAGTCTCGAACACCGTACATCAAGGGCCCCAGCAAGGATTCGGAGGCTATGGCTCCAGTGGACGCCACCAATTCAACTATGGTATGGTTATTCTGGTCAGTCGCGTGGTGGTCCACCCCCTCGAGGAGTGCCCCTCCCTCGCGTGGAATGCTACCAAACCGCGGTGGTCCTCCCCGTGGCGGCCCTCTCGTGACGGTAGTTCCGGGTATGGAGGTTCTACGTCCTTATTAACCGCTCATCAACCGTATGGCCGTGGAGGCTACTCTGGTGGGTACGGTGGCAGCAGTGGAGGGTATGGTGGACAGCGAACAGTGGTACGGGGGCTACGGTGGCAGGCAAGCCGAGGTGGCTATGGTGGTTCAGGAGGACAAGACAACAGCGGCAGTTACATGGGTTATGGAAACCAGAATGGCGGACAGGCTCGTGGTGGCTATGGAGGTGGCTACAATGGAGGAGGTTACAGAACCTTCGAGGGGCCGAGCCGAGGATTCTAGAGTAAATTATTTGGATACTACCTCGTTAATATTTTCTTGGCAGATATGTTGTATTTTAGACCATTGATGTATATATTTCTTTCTGATTATACCAACAAGTGTTCCGTTTACCTTCGGGGGCGAGGCGTATTGTTTCGTGAATTACAATAAGCACACTATGTTCGCGGTCGTCTTTTCCTCATCGTCTGTTGCACCGTGAATGCTCGAATGGCTCGCCGACATCGCACTCGGAGTCCAGGTTTGGTCCAGGTGGAGCTCACAGACAGGAGTGTCACGCGAATTGCTTCCGCAGGATCAAACTCGCTACATCGATATGAAAATGGCCTCAGGCACCTAGTGTGATATCAGTTTTTTGGATGTCACGGGGAACACTCTAATGACTAATGAATACTCCCTGGTACTTAGTGAATGTCATCCACGGTCCTTGAACGGTGTCGCAGTGATTGAAATGCATTCTGGGTTCTGCCATGTAGTGAGAAACGCGATAAGGATGTCGTCTTATGACGCACTAGACGAATGTTCGAGTTGTATTTTGGGCTGAGTAATAAAAATAGGAATAGTCTTGGCGTGCGCCACAAAATTTGCAATTCAAGGGCGCTTCAGGTGCACAGCCTTAGTCCACCCCAGTCAAACCAAATACATAGACTGCAAAGTGAACACGCGGGTGACAAAGGCTCCGTGTCCCTGTGCGCGTCCGTAAGTCAAGTCCTTCGTTTCTCTCAAGTAATGATCGATTCCACTCTCCCAGGGTGACTCCAGTGGGTGCTTGATGGCTACACACAGCATCCTGCCCAACTACTCGTCGTTGACTAGTCGACTTCTCATCCTGTAATGCATTCCTGACCTCATGTTGTCAATTTTCTGCATGACCACGCATCCACGATACATCGTCCCGATCCCGACTTTTCTATCGGGTTGGAGATATTCTCTTTGGCAGGCCAAGTGAGCCGCACAAGCATAGCTCAGCAGTAGTTGACGTCCCGTATGCCAAGGGCAGCGTATGCTCCCGTCTTCCTTCACCAGTGTTTGAACCCATCTATGATATCACGTGGAAAAACGCCTCAGCAAGAAAAACGGAAGCCAATCTCAAAAAACGCTGCTAAAAGTAGTTCGCACCCTCCCAATGGCAATGTCACACAACGTTCCAAGTTGCAACGGACAGCTCAGGCTCGTCTACCACACCCCCCGTCGTTGTTACTACCTCGTGTAACGATAAATCACGCTGGACGCTGGACTTTCTTCTGGTTCTTTGTCTGTTGTGCATCTACTGAGTATACTGTCGGTCATCATTAATAAAGATCTCTCTCGTGACTCGGACGTTATCCCATCCCTTGAGTACAAGCAATGGTAGGAATGACTATTTTCCTTCTCTTATGATCTCACTAGGGGAAACTAATACAATGGACGTACGAAGTCGTTGTTGCATACTTACTTTATACGTGGTAGAGAGGTTAAACGAATCATCCGTGGCCTGGCCGGATTGAGCCTCGTATAGATATCCCGGCCATCATTGGTTCTTATCTATAAGTAAGTCTCATTCCTTGTTCGCAACACAGTGGCGCAGACATAGTGGAATACCATGGCATATTTGACAGCAGCTGGTTGTTTCTGACTGGGACTGAGACATTCTTTTACAGCCGAAATCAAAGGCACAGCGGCGGTCGACCTTGTCCACGCGATATTCGTGTCTCAATCGCCTCCCACACCACACACACTTTCGGGTTCTTGGTCTCATGATGAACTTTGATAGTCCTTTTAACTTTCCAGGCTATCTTTGTCTGTTTCCTATATCACCACGTGTTAATCAGGTGCTGAACAGACAACACAGAAATACTCTCGGAGCATGTAACATACAGTACAAAATGTTCTCCGTCCCAGAGATCTATCCTGATTCCTGATTCCCCTCATAAGTCGGCGCCGAAGAAAAATCGTACTTACACTGACAATGAGATACCTTACGGGTCGAGTCAGAGCTGGAAAATGAAGCCTGCTGGAACTTTCCGGCACCACGCGTCCAGCTGAGCAAAAGTGACACTTCCTTTCATAAATTCCTTCGACGACGAGCTCGAACCCGCTCTCTAAGCCCACGCGGCTACTCGGTCCTTACAAAGGCCACCGGCCCACCGCCGTGATAGCGGTCTAGATTTCGCTATTATGTAAGCAATACCTGCCTGGTGTATGAAAACAGCAAGTCACCAGTAGGTACAATATCTTCAACATGTTCGTCAGCTCATGCAGGACTATACTCGGGCTAAAAGTGATAAGTGATTGATCACCCTTGCCCAGCTACAAATATTGAGTTCGGAGACTTCAATCTTGAATTTCGTCGGAGGCTGACCTGGCCTGAAACGGATCCATGTTCTGTATTTAATTCTCAATGGTGAGTAGTCTACCTCCTTTCACCATCCCCCAGTCGATCATAGTGTCATGTCCATAACGGACGTTGCCCACCGTCTTATCCTTACAGTGATCAGTCTTATTGCGTTTATGACATCCAAAATCCTCAGTTACGCCGTCGAGCGCCAGTGGAGCGGGACGTCAGCCCTGGGAACGCTGAGTCCTTGACGATTTGTAAAGAAACACAGTACAAGGCCAGCGATATTTATGAACTACTACACTTGTATTAAACTTTGACCATTCCTCAAACAGTTCGCCAATCTCATCAGCCAAGGGGAATTTTACGAGAGGATCGTATTTTACCACTCATCGAAATGGCATGTGTACCAGAAAGGGCGATATGCAGGATTTATGACAGTCTTCCCGGTATGTCGTTGAACCTTTTGTCTTTCGTTGCACGTTTCTGAGACCTTCTTCTTTGTTTACTTCTAGGCAAGTGAATCTAATTGCGTTGATCTATACGTGTCGAAGAGCCTGAGATTCTTCGGGAAAATTCTTGGTGTTCTCGGCTTGGTATGCTCACGTCATTATGTTCCTTGGCGCACTATCACGATCTATGAGCAGCCACGTTATCCACCGAGAGTGCCCGGGATGAGGCTAATCAAATATGCACCTTTGTTTCCACGCTTGGCTTCCCAGCTGCCCTGGAGCTCTCGTCATCTCGAAAATGTTTCGAGCGTATGCAAAGACACCCTAAGGAGAAGAGAGTATGTCGAGGTCCTTGCAAAAAGTATAATCAGGCGCAAAGTGAAAGAATCGCAATTAGGCCACGGCAGCATCAGTCCATCATATCATCCGGTCCCAAGTCCGAATAGCCAGAAAGCACACGACCTCCGCAAAGCTCTCGTGAAGACACTAGGAGCTAGCGCATTGAAGAGGGAGTCACTCGTGATCAAGGAGAAAGAAGCACCCCACACTCCGAAGGAAATCCGTTTGGAGCGTCGCATGCGTTTGGCCCTTGGAGAGAATCTATCGATCAAGAACCTTGCTTCCGCTGCTATTGCGAGAAAGGCGCCTGCATCTCCTCTGCCGGACCGTTCGCCATCCCGAATCCATTCTCTACAGCCGAAGACGCGTTATCGAAACCAGAAGTCGAGTCGTCACAGTCTTCATGAAGCGGCGGCCACCTCGTTCACACTGTTTGTGAACCTCGGCCCGGACTCGGAAGACGCTGTTCCGGGTTCAAACGTTCACTCGCTGTAGTCTCTATGTAAATATTGTATGCCATGCTTGTGAGCTTATCTGTGAATGAACCTGCAAGTTGAATGAATGAATGAATTTTTATTTGACCGTCTATGTGTAAGTAGTCGAGACTGTCGTCCCTCGACCGTTACTAGGCCAAAAGGCAGTGATAATCAAACGTGCTTCGGACAATATTATTTATGCTGGAGCGAGCTTACACTGCGTTCTCATAAGCTAAAGCACTGAATTGAATTTATTTGGCCGCATCTACGCTCACATCAGCCAAATCACGAGGACGACCAGTTCGTACCGCATCAGCCGATTTCCCAGTCCGCTACAAACCCCTAATCTCCGGCTTCAAAGCTTCAACCTTCGTAGTGTGAGCACGCGAAGCTTTTGTCGCGGCCTTGAAACTATCTCATCGATTCCTCGTCAGTCGGCATTCATACAAGCTGGTAGCTGGGCATTCCAGACAAAGTACTTGTGGTTTTTGAGGAGTGTACAAAATGTTACGCAATCATAGTAGTATTACATGTTTTAAATTTGTAATCGGACAGTCGTGTGTCAACAATTTTGATGTGACTTACCTCCGGGTCCGTATATAGCCCATTATTTATATCAGTCAGCTTCGCCATCGATAGTCGTTGTCGCACCTTATGGCGTCTTGTCGGGACGTTGAAGGATGGTGCATCGTATCAAAGCTTCGTGAACTTGATTTTACTCTTTGCTTTGAGGAAGGCGTCATTTTAACATCTCTTTTGGCTTTACTGCTACTGTCGGCAACATGCAGAATTTGGGCTTTGAGATATCTTCCGTCTCGTGATATCTCGCGGAAAAGTCGATGGATGTTATGGGCGAAACTGGTGCGTTCTAATAGCTTCATGTGTCTACCTCGAACTAACTTGGTGGGCAGATTTTGTTGGGACTGGCCATTGTTGCGTCCTGCTTCAACCTCTTCATCGTCTTGTCACTCAAGAGAACAGCATCGGTTGTGTGGCCTTACATCCTCGAACCACTCGCGCTACTTGCGTCTTGGATACTCACCCGGCTGAACCATCGTCGGACACGGGCATCATCAACTATCCTCCTACTATTTTGGCCTTGTTACACCGTCGGTCTCGCAATATGGACTAGATCTTTCGTGCAGGGCGAAGCTTCCAAGGGTCTTTTCGTAGTTCTTTCAAAATGGGCCGTCGAACTTTTCTCTCTCCCGGCATACGCGCTGGAGTGCGTCTCCCCTGATGATTCGGTCCAGGATAATACAGAGAGCCCGATAGTCACGGCAAATGTATATAGTATCTGGTCATTTGCGTGGTTGACGCCATTGATGCAGAAAGGTTCGAAAGAGTTCATCACTGAAAACGACTTGCCTGCTTTGCTTCCCCGTGACGAGTCAGAGAATCTCGGAAACGATCTAGAGAATGCTCTGGAAAAACAGTGAGTGCAATTTTGATAAAAAGGGTTTTCTTTGTCCGACCATGTTGCAGCTCGTCCGTATGGCTCGCATTGTTCCTATCTTATGGTGGCCCGTATGCGGGTGCTGCAGCCTTGAAAATCTTGCAGGATATTCTTGCATTCCTGCAACCTCAACTTCTCCGATGGCTCCTGGCATACATCTCGAACTATCAGAGCACCAAAGGCGCGTCTAACCTCCTTGTTGGTCCGAGTCCACTCGAGGGATATGTCGTTGCTATCATCATTTTGTGGCATCCATGGCGCAGAGCGTTGTTCTCCACCAGGTAACCCAGCCAATGTGATTGTGTTCACGACACTGACCACAATACAAACAGTACTTCCAAATCTGTTTCGAGACAGGTATGCGTGTCCGCGCTGGCTTGGTGACTGCCATCTACAAAAAGTCTCTCGTGCTTTCTAGCGATGAGCGAGGGAGTCGGGCATCTGGAGATATTGTCAACTTGATGTCCGTCGATGCGAGTAGACTACAGGATCTATGCACCTATGGTCTGATTGCGATCTCTGGACCATTCCAGGTAAGGCAGATTACTCCCTATAATAACCAGGCTCACACTATCGTCAGATTACACTGGCTTTTGTATCGTTGTACAACCTTCTCGGATGGTCAGCTTTTGTCGGAGTTGCGATCATGATCATCTCTATTCCGCTAAATACGGCAATTGCACGGATGCTAAAGAAGATGCAAGAACAACAAATGAAGAATCGCGATCGCCGAACGAGGCTAATGAGCGAGCTTCTGGCCAATATTAAAAGGTACGTCAGCCTCGTGTACGCGGAGAATTTCATTAACGATCGTTCTTTGTACAGCATCAAGCTTTATGCATGGGAATATGCATTCATCCGCCGCGTTCTGCATGTGCGCAATGATTTGGAGCTGAAGATGTTGAAGAAAATTGGGGTCGTAACGGTACGCATTGATTTCAAGACAGAGTAGCCCGTATTCATCCTTGCGCATCTATCAGGCTCTCAACACGACGCTTTGGGGAGGCATTCCTTGTGTGTCCCCCGCCTTTGACTCGCTGCTCACAACTAACAAACAAGTCTCTCAGTAATCGTCGCGTTTAGTTCTTTTGCCACCGCATCTGTGTTCTCGTCGCGACCACTCACGGCTGACGTCATCTTCCCTGCGATCTCACTGTTTATGCTTCTCCAGTTCCCACTTGCTATGGTGAGTGATAATTGCATCGCAACTTCAACAATCGTTGACTGTGTCACAGTTCAGTCAAGTCACGTCGAACATCATCGAGGCACTTGTTTCCGTCAAACGCCTGTCAGATTTCCTGCACGCTGAGGAGCTGCAACAAAATGCCCTCGTGAAGGTGCAGAAAAGCACTCTGAACATTGGTGACGAGGTCGGCAATTCTCTAACTGCTTATGATCGTTTTCACATTTGTGACAGGTGCTTTCAATCAAAGGTGGCGAGTTCCAGTGGAACAAACAAGATATTTCAGCTGCTCTGGAAGATATAAACTTGACGGTGCATAAGGGGGAACTAGTGGGTGTACTTGGTCGTGTGGGCAGCGGGAAGAGTAGCTTGTTGTCAGCGATTATCGGGGACATGCGAAAGGCAGAGGGTGAGGTGGCTTTGTCCGGCAATGTAGCTTATGCCGCTCAAAATCCTTGGTGCGTCACATGTGCGGCATTTTCTAGTATGTTCACTCACAAGCGAATAGGATTCTTTCTGCGTCGGTTCGAGATAATATCCTTTTTTCACACGAGTACGATGAGGTGTTCTATAACCTTGTTATTGAAGGTATGTACATGACTAATTGTATGAGATTGGACTGACCTTTATCTACAGCTTGTGCTTTGAAGCCCGACTTAGAGCTTCTCCCACAGGGTGATCTGACAGAGGTCGGCGAAAAGGGTATGTTTCTGACCATCTCTTTGGCGAGCCAACAATGTTCATGGGGTCCGTTCTATAGGCATTACTGTAAGTACTTCAGGATAGTAACATATCAGCTGAAGGCAAATGATCTCTCAGCTCAGTGGTGGTCAACGTGCTCGTGTCGCGCTTGCTCGTGCGATCTATGCTCGTGCAGATCTGTAAGTGTCTTCTGTTCACAGATAGTATGGTGCTAACGCATGCGTCCTCCAGGGTTCTCCTTGATGATGTTTTAGCTGCCGTCGATTCCCATGTTGCCCGACATGTCTTTGGTGAGTAAGAGCATCTGTCTCAGACTGACTTCTTTCTAATGATACTATGTAACAGATCATGTTATCGGTCCTCAAGGCTTACTTGCAACGAAAGCGCGCGTTCTTGTCACTAACAGCATCTCGTACCTCAAGTATTTCGATCAACTTGTTTACCTGCGCCGCGGTATTATCTTGGAGAGTGGCTCGTACGATGAGTTGATGTTGAATCCGGATAGTGAAGTGCGCAAGCTTGTGTGCGTATATTTCGATTCATGATGTTCGATGCAATCTAATTGAGCCATGACAGTCACGGTCATGCCACGAGCGGTTCCAACTCTGGAATGACCACACCTGGACGGTCCAGCGGCATGTCCACTCCCACTACAGCGAGGGGGACATGCAAGCCACCCTTGTTGGAGAACTTGAATCTGTATCAGAGAAGGTATCGCGTAGAGAAAGTTTCACAAAAGCTGTCCTCGCTACGGCGCCCAAGCTGCGCGACGCGTCTTCCGATGGCATCACGAAAGAGCACAGTGAACAGGGCCGCGTCAAGATGGAAGTGTACTCGCAGTACCTCCGAGCAGCATCGAAAAAAGGGTTCCTGTTCTTTGTACTTGCTACGGTTCTGCAGCAGGTGGTATCTGTCATGTCGACCGTAATGCTCAGGCTCTGGGGCGAGCATAACCGCGAGATGGGTGCCAACGCGGGATTGACCGACAAGTATTTCCTGGGATATGGTCTGTCCAATTTGATGGCCATTTTCTTAGGCGCATGTGCTGCGCTTCTGATTTGGGTTTTCTGCTCGCTTCGGAGCTCAAAGCACCTTCATGATTCGGTTAGTGTTGCGTTCCAAGTATGGATGAAAATTTTCATCTATTTTTCAGATGCTGCATTCGGTCATGCGTGCGCCTCTCAGCTTTTTCGAGACAACGCCAACGGGACGGTGCGTCAGATCAGTCAACTGTGGAATGATTTCTGAGCTCGAACAATCTCTTGTTGCAGTATCCTGAACTTGTTTTCTCGTGATACATATGTTGTCGATCAAATCCTGGCGCGAGTGATCCAAAATATGATACGCACAAGCGCGGTCTGCGCTTCTATTTTATTGGTCATCGGGTTCAGCTTCCCGCCCTTCTTGATCGCCGTCGTTCCTCTGGCATGGTTTTACTACAAGATCACCGTGTATGAATTGCTCTGTTCTTCTTCCAGAATCATCCTGATATTATCAATAGGTACTATCTCGCGACGTCACGTGAACTCAAGCGTCTGGATGCGGTGTCCCGCTCACCCATCTTTGCGTGGTTCTCAGAATCCTTGGCTGGAATTTCCACTATCCGGGCTTACGACCAACAAGCCGTCTTCATTGCGAACAATGCTCGCCGCATTGATCGCAACCAGTTGTGCTACCTTCCTAGTACTGCCGTCAACCGTTGGCTTGCAGTAAGATTGGAATTTGTTGGAGCA